CACAATGCCCAAATTTCAGCCGAAACCGGCGCTTGTGTGCCGCGCAAATCAATTAAACAGTCACGGTAATAATCGTACCGGGATCGATCGAGGCGACGCCCCGAGCGTTGCGGGAGAAACCAGCAGAAGCAAAGGTCACGTGACCCTGCGAGGCCTGGACGCGTGACGTCACAAGAGACGTGTCAGCGATTGGTCGAAACGAGAAACGTGCCCTCGGTCACGCTTTGGTTCGTGGTTTTTATGAACACTGTTCTAATTCCACTTGAATAACCATGAAAACTATAAATTGAACCGAAAATGATAACTAAACCGTAAACAAAACACCCTATTTATTTTTCTCTTTGCTACGCTGCACGCGAAACGGGCAACGAGCAACTATGGGCAAACGAAATACATAAAATGAAGAACACAGCACGGAGCACGAGGAGTTTTTTGGTTCTGGTTTCAGATGTCGGTGCCGTGTTTACTTTAGGAACACGGCACTCGAGGGATTCTGCAAAGCGGTAGTCATGCCAAATTTGTGCGCAGTTGAAGGGTGTTCAAACGGTCGACTGAAGACCCGTGATCGTGCGGGCGACACTAGTTTTTACCTACTCCCAAGCGATGAAGCATTGCGAAGTCTCTGGTTGAACAGCGTTGTCTTGCGCAGAGGTCTCGGCGATGGCGTCAGAATTTGTTCGCTAGGTTTTCGATCAGGAGACTTTGAACAGAACCTTCAGGTTAGCCGGAGTCTGGGCGTAGGTGTGAGGCGAATCACTCTGGGTCGGCGGCAATTCTAGGGCGTCCTCGTAAAGAGGCATCCAGAGTTCCGTGTCCTTAGGAGCATCTCCCGTTCTGTTGGTGTCAGGTAACTGAACGGGAGCCCGAATTCGCTCGCGAGAGCGGCATTGCCGTCCATGTTGGAACGACGAAACGACCGCGCCACCGCGCTGCTATAACCCACCGCGGTAACCAGAGTCTCGACGCCCTAAATGTTGCCGGTACCGACAATTCACATGTGACGTCACTCGCTACGTCACCTCCGTTTTCGGAGGCCCAAAAACGAGAAACGCAGATAGTTCAGTTTCGGTTTCTTCAGTTCTTTCGTAGGTACAGAAATACGCGTCACAAATGTCTATAAAAAATTGGGCAGTACGCCAGGTTCCCAAGAAGCCTAAAAACACCATTTAAAAAAAAATAATTAAAATCGCCTTCATTGTCCCTTTAAATAATACTGAAAACAAAACAGCTGCAGGCCTCGCTACCGGGCCGGATCGTTAGGGTAGGCTAGTGCGAGTTTTCAGGACTTTAGATAATCGCCTTAAATAACGTACTATTCGATTTGATTTTGCACCACGCGCTGACAGTAATCGGAAGTTTCGGAACAAGTCTCGTGGTCTGTTCTGCGAACTTGACGTCGCGATGTTGCGTGTCTTGCTTCGCCGCAGCGCACCCGCGTGCTAAGGGGAAAGGTACTCCTTCAGAGCGAGACGTGGTGCGAGAAGGAATATATGGACTCTTTTGTACGTTTATTTTTTATTCTTTTTTTTTGTCTTAATTAAGAATTGCAGTTTTATTCCCCCCCCCCCCCCCCCCTCCTTCCCCTAGAACTTTAAGGACACATAAATCTAGGTGCTCGAAATGATTGTATCTTAACATTTCTTCAGTGGGATTTCGTACCTAAAATAATCATTCACGGCAGTTTGCGCTGTCCTTCATCAGTCTTCTTGATACCGTGTCTGATGCTTCCACACGCAACTAAACAGCTAGTGTTTGTTCTCCTCCTAATATTTGCCGTCTGTCCTCCTCACATTTTCAGTGATATAAATGAAAACGAAGTGTGCGGTTATACTGTAAAAGCACTTGTTTCTCCTCCAAAATGAACTTCTGGCTGCTCCAATAGCTGCTCCAAAATGACTACGAGCAATCACATCACTGCTGTGAGCTCGCGCTTGTAGCCTAGTGGTGGTGTTGCCTTTCCGGTTGGTTGTTTTTAGACAAGAAAATAATGAGAAGCCAATATTCAGACGAAGCAATACTGCGTCCAAAAGATAAGCATAGTAGTGCAAAATGCGTGAACACGTTACAGAAGTAGAGCTTCTTTTTGAACGGAAATAAATTGACCATATTAAGACATTATTCATGGCGCATGTGGCACTTGAGGCATGTGAGCGGGAGCTCGCAGTTGCTGCTTTAGAGTGTATGGATACACACGCATCCATTCACACAAAAAATGTAAATAAACAAGTATCTAGATTTTTTTTTTGTCTTTTGATTTGTACATTTTTGCTTCATCTAGTTTATTCTGCATCAATCCGTGTTTTTCGCCAAAGTTACGAGATCGTGCATCACGAAGTTTGATTAGGCTTAACGGTAGAGTTTGAAAGCTCTGCCAAAGGACCGGTTTAGTTTGTCTTCGAGTGGAAAGCTTTGTGCGACATTCCTTTAAAGGGACCACTTGTAACAAGGCAAAGAGTGCAAGGAAACTAATGACGCCATAAAGCAGCAGCTAGAGAGAGAGCGAGGGGGGCGCGAAGATAAGAGGAGATTTGCAGATTGCGTCGGCGAACGAACAATCTGTTTATGAAACCGAGGTAACCGCAAAAGGAGGAGTAGTACGAAACACGTTTCGGGTCGTTTCTTTTTCAGCTTCCCAGAATATAATATGGAGCCAACTGAAGAAGACCGGCTTTGCCTCGCCTTTTCCTGTTGGCTTCGGCTTGGCTTTCGTTCAGCTCGAAAGGACGCGGAATATTGCGTAACATGGAACGAACAACATCCTCTTCCGTGAATGCGCTCGTTCTCTTTGCGGGATGCTCGCTGGTTTCGTTTTCTGTTTTTAGTTCGGGACTGGTTGTCCGTAAGCCTTTTCATCGTAAACGTTTTAAAAGTGAGCTCTCCTAGGGTTGCTGCTCAGATACCCTGCCGGTACTTCGAAGCCGGCCGAAGCGCGTTTTCAAATATTTTCAACGCCAACGATGTCTGCAGCCAAACTTGCCAGGCGAGCGTTCATGTTTCACGCACGCGTAGTACACTCATGAGTGTGTTGGTCTAGAATCATTTCGTAATAGCCTGTGCTAAGAAGATTGATCCTGTCGTGTTCCTTTTTAATCCGAGACCGGTTGTTTATGTTTATTGGCGTCGCCGTGGCTCCGCCGGCGCCGTTACGTTTTCAAGCGCCATCTTTCGTTCGTGCTCGGCGTTACTTCGGCAGACGCCGACGCGGCATGTGGGACGCGGGATTTGAATGGTTCGCGAGTGAACGAAAATTGCTTTGCATCGTGCGTGGCCGATTGCACCTGCCTCTGGGGAATTTTTTTATTGGCGCTTGTTTTTGAGCTTTACATCATCGTTTGTTGCAGGTCCGACGCGTAAGCATTTGAGTTACCTTTTCCTTTGTTTTCTTTTTGAACAACGTACAAAAAAAATTAGACCTACAGACAGCGTCTAAGCTGATAGCAGGGACCTACAGACAGCGTCTAAGCTGATAGCAGGGAGTGTATTGATATTATGCAGTTTGTCATGACTAGTCCATCACACCTGTAGGCTAAATCCAATGGGTATTTTTTCAGGGCTCTATTTCCATGTGATTATCGCTTTATATCTGGTATTTACGAGCTTTCTATTTGTATTTTGGCCAGTCACATTCTAATTAACTTCTTGAGGAATCCTCATACCCATTTCAGGACGTCACCATAACAGACTACTGTTATAAAAAATTGAAAGACGTTTGCAAATCTCTGTAATGCGAAACTAGAGAGCAGCTCTTGAGGAGGGGAGGGTATGCTCCTCCTCCTCCTCCTCTGTACCCTGCTCTCCTACCCTCATCCTCCTCTCCTTCTGCTGGATTTGGTCATGGGAGACGTGACACGAAGTCATGCCGTCATTTTCCCCGCTAAATTTAGCTGGGAAACTGAATTGGTGTTGAGCTCATGTGACGTCAAGTCCGCTCTAAAGTTGGCGGGGAAATTCTCCCGCTAATCCTTGCGGGAAAATTTATCCGCTGAATTTAGCGGGATAATTTCTGTTAAGTTTAGCAGGAAAATTTCCCCGCTAAATTTAGCGATAAAATTTCCCCACTAACTTCAGTGGGAAAACATCCCATAATGCAATGTGCACGGTTACGCCGACGCTGTTCAACCCGGAAACGGGCGCCTAAGAGCTGCATTCTAAAAGACAAGCAATCATGGCATCACATTTTATCTTATTGTATGCAACTGTCATCGGCATGAATGAACAACACTGCAAAAGTAATTGGATGCATCTCGGATGATGGTGGAAGCTTGCTGAATGAATTGTACCCCCTCCCACAGGCAGTATGAGCTGCACGATTTGATCTGAACTTTTGGTAGAAGTGCAATCCTGTCTTTACTATTTCTTGATTTGTCGAAAAAATGGAGGGACTGGGACTTAAGCTATGCATTTCAGCCCTAGTATCATATGCATCAAACCTTCCTAAACCTTCCAAAAAGCAGAACCATGGCAGGCAGTTCACGCTTATAGCGGGTGTTCCTGCGAGGACTTAAAAAGAAATCCTAAACCTACGGTGCTTGAAAAAAATGACCTTTTTTTACGGAACAGACCGCCAGCCACGGCGGACATCAGAAATTGCAGAAAGCATGCTAATTAGCAAAATAATTACGTAAAATTTACTGATTTAGGGCTTTTCATTGACGCTCAGCAAGTTTCTAATTAGAACCATATGTTAATTTTCACTAATTAGAAAGTAAATTAGTAAATTTAGCATAATTATTTTGCTAATTTGTTTCTTTGCATTTTTTGACATCTAATTCACCTTGGGTGTCAGTTTGTTTCCAAAAAGGACTTCTTTCTTTTTTCTAGAACACCTTATACTAGGGATGTTTCAAAGTCTTCGCAGAAATATCCTGTAGTATTGTCCATGTTAGTACCGTGCATAGTTTAGGCATCATTGAATGTTGTCTTAGGATGGGGCAAGTGCAAAGCCCGGCGCGTCTTGAGAGCGAAGACTTAGACTGTCGTCTCGTTGTTTCCGTGCGCAGATCTCGGACATCACGTTCACCCAGAACAACGAGAGTTTGACGGCCAAGGAGGCCCTGCTGCGCTGGGCCCAGAGGACCACAGACCGCTACCCCGGAGTGAAAGTCCGTGACTTCACCTCCAGCTGGCGCGATGGCCTCGCCTTCAACGCCATCATCCACCGAAACCGGTCAGTCCGGGCTCCCAGCGTCTTGCGATGGGCAGCGCCTTCAGCGGCAAATAAACCTTTTGCTAAATCACCCAAGCACTTAAGGAGCATGCTCCGAGTGTAGTTACATGCGCTGCAACTTGTGCTGGTGTCTGCCGCAGTAACTGTCCTAAAGCAAAAACCTGAAATGAGTGTCAACGTCTTACTTTGATCATGTTCTTCGGATTTCTTCAGTTCTTTATACTGTTAAGGTGAGCGTGTGTGGCGCATGTACCCATGTTGCCAGTAATCTCCTTGCTAGTTGGGTAGGCTGCCAAGGGGTCTATTGATGCAACAAAAATTATGAAAAGGAAGCCAGAATTCATTTCCTTGTTACTGTATGGCCAAAATAAGAAAGGTCCCGTCCCCTTTTTGTCATCTTTAATCTTGCTTTCATTCCAGTTCTGAGATTAGTGCCGCCATGTAATATTTTTCAGTATTCAGTGAAGCTAAACTCTGAAGCTATACCAAATAGTCAAAAGTACACCCAAGGTGGGGGAAGCAGGGTTAAATTTTCCAAAAACCAAGAGGGCAATATAGATTAGAGACTAAGCAGTCATACTCTTCTCAGCTGGGCATACCAGCTTATACTAGTAATATTGCTGTTCAAAGCTTCCTCAGTTGCAGCTGCCACTTTTTTTATTGTGCAACCTAAGTCTAGTTCTCAGCTCGCTGTTCCAATTCTTTGAGTTTGCTTGTTGACAGAGTCATCTTCAGAGTGACTCTGGTATTCTGTTTGCTGCTTTTTTTCTAATGTATGCAAAGACGGTACGATGTGTTCCCTTTTTTCTTTAATCCTCAACAGTTAATTCTCGTTGCGATTGTATGATTTGGAATTAAGTTAATGTAGAGCCTTGTGCTGCCGCTTCTTCTTAATTAGCCCTATTGTTTCACGTGCGTGGCCTACGAAGAAGTGCACCTCTTAATTTTTTTCTCGCCGCTCTGTGCCCGCAGACCCGACCTTCTCGAGTTCCGTTCGTGCCGGACCCGAACGGTTAGAGAAAACCTCGAGATTGCTTTCACGATTGCCGAACGAGACCTTGGAGTCACCAGGCTTCTCGACCCGGAAGGTGAGCCTCCTTTGGGACAGGTGGTGTCTCACTTCAGGGAACAAAAATTCTTCCCTAGAGTAGGGGCTCCCAAACTTTTTGCCCTTGTGAAATGCCCATCCCCCTTGAAACCTCTCCTGGTCTCGACTTTGAGGCAATAAGTAAGTGCAGAAGTGAACCTCGTAAGCAATAATGGGCGTACAGGGGAGTGTTTTAGGCATCATTAGATGGTTCAGATCTTACGAAATAGTGCCTAGACTAGAGGAACACGGAGGACGTTTTGAAGCTTGGGAACCCTTAACGGTACTCTAGGAACCCTGTTTCAGAATCCCTGCCCTAGAGTATGGAAAACCTTGAACAACTGGAATAGGGGAATTTTGGATACCCAGATTGGGACGACAATAACCTAGGTTTTCTCTTCTCGAATAACACCTAAAATAGGGATACTTGGAGGAGGTTTTACCTACAATAGAGAAAATTATTTGTGGATAAGGACGCCATTCAGGTCATTGGGAATGGTACCTTAATTTAATTTTTGGGAAAGATTTAAAATGTGCTTCTATGCCCTTAGCAGTACACGGAAAAATGCACTGTTAACGAAGCGAGCTATTTTTTTTTTTTTTTTTTCAAATGTGATGGGGCAGATAACGTCCTTGTACATTATAAATATAATTTGTCATCCGAAAGAGCAAAGAATGGTAGCCGATGATGACGATTCTGTCTTCTGATGCGGAGCAGAGTCCCACAACCGAGTCGATCCAATGACCTTCGTTTTGCCCTCTCCGTTTCCAGACGTGGACACTCCTCAGCCGGACGAGAAGTCCCTCATCACATATATCTCGTCCTTGTACGATGTGTTTCCCGAGCCGGCGAGCCACAACCCGTTTGCGGATGACGAGAAGCAGCGCAAGGCGGACGAGTACCGCGAGCTCTCGAGCAGCCTCCACCTGTGGCTGCGCAAGACCATCTCCATGCTGCAGAATCGCAACTTCCCCAACACCCTGCCCGAGGTCAAGGTGAGAGGGGTCCGGGTGGCAAAGGGTAGACGTGAAAGCGCCCCTCACTGCACTTCTCTTTTTTGGGCTCGTCGGGGAGCACTAAAAAACACGGGGGAGATTTTTTGGTAAGGTGCATAGCTGTTATACTATTTCCTTTGCAGCGATGCGCATACAGTCTGAAGGTTAGCATAGTATTCAGTGTGTTTGTGCTGTACACAGTTTGGCTTGGACACAACGTCTGTGATCTCATTTTGCTCAAGGAGGTTAATGTCAGACGCAAAATTTGATTGACTGTACTTGGTCTTACCTTACAATGAACCTTAGTGGACGCTACGAGCCAGCTCACCCCATTCAACGCCGCGAGTGCATCGCGTGACTTCGCGCCTGGCGTGTTGCATCGTTGCTGAAGGTCGCACGACACTAGTGTGGCATTGGATTGCGGCTCATAACGTTTGCTGTCGTTCGTCGTAAGATGAAACAAAGTTTGGGCAAGTCCTCTGGTGACATTTTTTTCATTGACGGTGAGCTATAGTCGCCGACGAGATGAGAGCGGCAGGGCGTCTCTTTCGAATGCCCACTCTCCGACACGCACTCGTTGCCTTTAGCCGTGCATTGGCTGTGCTTACGCACTTGAGGCTTGCAAAACTCCCTAGTGCTGTCGAAAGTGGGAAGCTCGTGCCAAAGGTGGGACAGCTGAAACTTTTCTCTGCCAGTCTCATTCTGTCGGTGGTCGTAGGAACGCAAAGCTTCTGCAGGTGTGTGCGTGTGGACGCGTCCCTAAAGGCACACATCAACCTCTTTCCTCGTCTGGCAGGCCCTCCAGTCCGAGAACGGGCGCTTTCGGGTGGAGGAGATGCCGCCGCGGCTGCAGGAGAAGCAGCGCCTGTCCCACCTGTGGAGGGACATGCAGAAGCTGATGAAGGAGAACCGTATCCACATTGACGAGGAGCTGCGCTACGACAGCCTTGACATCTCCTGGAACCGCATGCTCTCGGCGCACGCGGACCGCGACCGGGCCCTGCAGGACGAGATCGCCAGGTGGGTGGCCCCTCGTATTGACGACGAAGGCAAAGGGAGCTCTAGGCTAAGGGGCCAGGAGTTTCCATAGGGCAAAGCAGTGTATGGGAAGGTACTCTTAGAGCGGTCTGTCTCGAATCCCCTGGTGCAGGGGTTGGCAACCTTTTGCAATGGCGGGCCGAGTCGTTGCACAGCAGGGGGGGGGGGGGATGGCAAGTAGTGAAGGGAGGCGTTGGGGGGCAGGCGAAGAAAAGCTTTGTTCATGTCTAACCCCATTTAAAATGAAAAGTTCCGTGTGGTCATTGAGTTTGTGCGAGGAAGCGGCAGGAGTGGGGGAGAAGGGGGGAGGGGTGCCTTCTGGTGTCATGCTGGGGTCTGCTTGCAGTGGGTTGCCGACCCCTGCTCTAGTGTAGTGTGCCTCAAAAGTAAGTACCTCTGGGGTGAGGTGCCTGGGATCTTTGTAGGGCAGTCTAAGGAAGCATACCTTTGAGTTCGAGTGCCTTGACTTTCTCTAGAGCAGAATACTCTTGTTACCTCAATCGTAGTATGCCTGGAATCTTTATAGGGGCAGTGTGGCAAGGGGTACCTTAAGCCTCTGGTGTCTTAAAATTCCTCTAGGCTAGGGTACCTGGAATGTTCGTAGGGCAGTGTAGGGAAGGGTTTCTTTTGGGTGGAGTGTCTTGAATTCCTCGAGGGAAGAATGCTCTTGTTGTAGGCTACCTGTACAGTAGAGTGTCTGGAATCCTCATAGAGAAGGAAAGTGTAGGGTAAGGTGCTCCCATGTTGGGGTGTCTCATATTCCTCTAAGATAGGATGCCTTTAGTGTAGGTAGGGTACCTCTAGAGTGTGGTGCCTGTAATTTTCATAGCACAAGGTCGTATAGGGAACAGTGCTTCTATGGTCAGATGCCTTGAATTACTCTAGGGTAGGTGCCTTTAGAGTAGGTAGGGTACCTCTAGAAAGAAAGCAGACAAGCACGGCTTGCGTGTCATCTGATTTCTTTTCTCCGGTCTACCGTTGCTCTTTTTGTCGTTCTTTCTCTCAAGACCGGCAATGTCGGCACTTGCAATTTGCTATGCTCCACTCCTGTCTTTGCCCTTCCCTCAGGCTGGAGAAGCTCCAGCGGCTGGCGGAGCGCGTCCACCGGGAGGCGAAAAACTGCGATGCCCGCATGGACGACGTGGAGAAGCGCATCGTCGAGGAGGAGCAGCGCCTGGGGCGGCTGCACCCGGCGGACGCCAAGCACGTCTGCGACCAGGTGGACCGCGACCTGAGGCACCTCGAGGACTCCATCAAGTCCATGTTCAAGGACGTGCAGGTCCTCTTTGACGGACGCTACCACAGGGCCGCCGACCTGCACAAGCTGTGAGTTCTGGAGACTCTTCGGATTGTAGGCTTGGTCCGAACTAGATCCAGCTGGAAATGAGATTAAAGGCTTGTTTACCTCGGTGTGTCGGCACGTGGTAGTTGATGCAAGACACGCCATGTTTGCCACGCCAGACCTGTCGGAAATTCCACCCCTCTACTGGCAAAAAGGTCAAACTATGGGGGACGCTTTGTCCAGCTTGCTTACGTAAGGCCTGTGGACTGGATTCTTCATTTCATCTTCTTTGATCGAGTGCGGGGCACAGATTGGACGTTAGTGCTGCATCAATCTTCAGATGGAACTCGCATTCATTGGTGCTTTGCCGATTGAACACGAGCCCCAGCCAAACGTTGATGCAGTGCTGCGCACAAACAAATATTTTATATTGTCGTTTCCATAGGTTAAGTTTTTAATTTAGCTGCTAGGAGCGTGACGGTTGGATCTCCTCTATAGTCAAACTTGTCTAGGGCCATCCAACCTTAATAAACAAACATTACTAAAGCCATTTTTGCCATGGGTGGTTCGACTGCCATGCATCAGCCAGTTTGCATCATCCGCCAATAACTTGACCATTGCTCGGTTTTGTCAAGGGCTGAGACGAGGCTTCCACGTGCCTATAACACTGACGTTGTGTGACTCACGTGTGCAGGGTGCAGAAGCTCCACCAGCGCTGGTCTGAGCTGCGGCTGGCTTACCAGCAACGTCTGCTGACGCCGCTGTCGAGCAAGCAGTACAAGGTGGAGGAGCGACGGGTGACCAAGCAGCGACAGGTCATCTCGGAGAGCCGACTGGTGGAGACCAACGAGTACTTCAAGTTCCTCCAGAACTGCCTGGACTGGGTCAACGAGAAGCTGGTAGGTGCTTCACTCTCGCTCGTTCACTCTCCTAATCATTTTATGTCATTCCTTTTCTTTTACCCACTCTTAAGCATACTGTCTCACTCATTCTCACTTACCCTCATTCTCAATGAGTAACTCCCTCTCACTCTTACTTTCGAGTTTCAGCCTTTCGAGTCTCATAACAAATGTTGCATTTATGAAATGTGTCCTGGGGGCAGGCGTGTTGCAACTTCTTGTGTTCCAGCTATTATGCAGTAGCGAAAATTCAAAGCTTCTACTCACTGTACTCTGCTTCACCTTACGATGGATTGCAGAGAATGCTACGAGCCATTGAAGCCGGTATAGTGCCGAGTGGCCTTTGGGAGGGGCGATACAACATCTGAAATGCGTGCCATATATTTCCGCATATAGGTCAAACTCCGAATATAGGCCTAAACACCTCCAAATTCTGACCATTAAAAAAAATGTTTTTGTTAATTAAAAAAGAAAAATTTAATATTTATTATTGAGGTATCTGAATTTGAGATATCTATTTCTGAAAAGGTTGACTTATAAACAGCAATATACGGTACTCACTTGATATGCTCACACTCAAAGATTCACTAGGATGGCTTGTAGCGTCCGCTGCTGTCTGTCGGAGGGTGAGGCGGGGTACTATTACACCAGATAGCATTGCCATTAGAGCAATAATTAGACATCTTCACAAAGGTGCTCAAGAACCGTATGCACCTTTCTGCCGGCCGGGAAGTGGGACGTGAAAGAGGTTTTGACCGCCTTGCAGAAGCACCTGGAGGACGGGGACTATGGCAGCGACCTGCCCAGCGTCCAGTCCATGGTGGACAAGCACCAGGCCGAGCACCGGCTCATCGACCAGTTCCAGAAGAACGTCGACATGTGCATATCCCGCAAGGTACGCACATGTGCTTTCCTCTCAGTTTTCCTCCATGTTCATTTGTTTTCTCAATGATTGCTTTTAAATCTGCTCCTCGGTGAATGTTCTTGATGTCGTGGCGACTTGTCTTGGCTTGCGCAGAACCAATTCAAGGGAGAAGAACAGGAGCAGTACCTCAAGCTTCTCAGCCAGCTTGAGAGAGGCTACTCCGAGCTCTTGGTAAGGGAATCTTTTGATCCCTGTACACACCTCATATTTGTTTTTGTTTTTTCTGGTGCAGATCTAGCTTTTAGTTGCTGTAGCAAACTGGAGAGCTGAAATGGTGGTATTGGCCAGCAGCAATAACTACTCACCTTATCTTGTCAAGGCAGAATTCCCTCTCTGCAATGGAATGTAAAAAAAACCCTGTTCTGAAAAGTTCTGAAAAAAAAAAAAAAAATCTTGGGACAGTATCATTTACGCTTGTTTCTTTAGATACTTTCTTTAAAACAACTACTTCAGTTGTCTCAAATGAAGTTTAAGTTGGTTCATGTAAGATGTCTTCAAAGAGTTTGTAACCTGCTGTTGCCTTTTGGACAGTCTATTATGTTTAAAGTAGCTTCTTCTAGTTGGATTTTTTAATTTCCTTATTTTTGTTTTTTAGCTTGACAGGAAGTGTGACTTCCCTAGCTCTGGTTCATCTACATTACTTTAGTGTTGTGGTGTCTCGTCCCAATTCAGCAGGCCTGGTTTGATACAGCCTTTCTATGTTGTGGCTCCATCGAGGAGCTCCTCGTAGAAGGTCACCCAGTGCCAGAACACGCCTGACCTTTCCACCGTAACGGCGCAGGTGCTGTCGAACAAGCGCCTGAGCGACCTGGAGGCTCTGCTGGAGTTCATCCAGGCGGCCACGGCGGAGATGATGTGGATGAACGAGCGTGAAGAGAAGGAGGTGAACCGGGACTGGAGTGCCAAGAGCCTCAACCTGGTGGAGGTGGAGCAGTACCACGAGGCCCTCACCACCGAGATGGAGATTCGGGAAGGGCAGTTCAACTCCGTGCTGGACCACGGGTCGGGACTGATTCGCCAGCAGCACCCGGCCAACAAGTGCATTGAGGTGAAGAGACAGGAGTGCATCTGCCTCTTTGATGAGCACTTCTTGCACTTCGAGATTTGTTTTCTGTAGACGTGGCACAGTTTAAAAGCTATCTCTCTGACTGTTGCCAAGGGAGATGCGATAGCATGGGGGTTCTTTTGCCTGCTACGCTTCAGACGTTTCTCGAGCTCCCTCGATGTCCCTTGACACTCTTTCTACCCTCGGGTTTCGGCCAATCACGGCGCCCATTCGTGCGACGTCACGTGGGTGTGGCATCGTGAGACATGGTGTCATGTGATGCGGTGTCGCGTGGTTTGGCAATCTGTCAGTCACACACAAATTCGGGTGTTCCCGCAACATCAAAATGTTTCCCGCTAGATTTAGCCAACAAAGTGCTTATGCATGGACGCACACAATCTCGCAGCTTGGTGGACTTCGAAATACTACTACATTTAATAAAGGAAATAACGGCTCGCCCCTAGTGCCGGTCAGCTAGCCCAGGCGGTGGAAATGACCCTTGCACGTCGTCAGAATATCCAGGGAACATTTGAATGTCTTGAGGATGTCCTTCTAACCACAAGTGCTGTTGGGGTGCCCTTACCATGGTACTTCGGGCTAGTTTGCACTTGTTTAGAAAGATTTTTAATCCTGGCTCCGGTTGGTAACTCATCAAGTTTACTCCTTGTCTGTGTAGGCATACCTGACAGCAATGCAGACCCAGTGGGCCTGGCTGCTCGAACTCATCAAGGGCATGGAAGTGCACCTGAAGCATGCCTCCCACTACCACCAGGTGAGGAACCTTAACTTTCGTTTTTTCTACTTATATTTGTTCCCCGATTAACAGGGAGGAGGTAGGGAGAGATACATGATGCCTGACGAGGTGTCTGCATCGTTTGCAGTTGTAGCGAGATGCAGTTGAAATAGTTTCTTGCACAAAAAACAGTTTCTTGCACAAAAAGGGAAATTTTGCACATCAGGATTGAAATACAAGTTGTATGTTATAAAACGGAGTGCACAAAAAACGGACAAAAGACACATACGACAGACGAGGGGTCGTTTGCAACTGATTGTTTATAGGACTTTTTCCCCTCGACTTTGTCCGAGTAGTGTGGGTGCCCTCCTCTTGTTGCGAGATTAGGGGAATTGTTTTGTGCGAGAGCAAACTGCTTTGTTGTACAGTATGCTCGCTATAATTCAAACTTTGATATTTCATGCTTTTGGGTAATTCAAAGAAAGAAAAAAATTTGGTTGTCCCGTTATGTTTTTAATGTATTTATAAGCTGCCTAATTTGAACGGCATTTTCGTGCAATTCATACCTTTTGTTCTCGCGGCCCTGTTGAGTGCGCTTGTTTCTGAGCACCGGTGCGCTGCGGAAAAGCAAAACCCGCGATGGTCTCTTCCGCGGGTTTCTCTTCTCTGCAGTGCACCGGTGCTAGATAAGAGGCGTGCTTAAGGTGGTTAAAGCCAAGGACATATGAGCGATAAGAATGGGTCCCGTGTGGCTGTTACTTACACAGACGCCGTGATGTGGCGGCGTGGCACAGGTCCACATCACAGCGTTCGCGCAAGTTGCTATCGAAGCGTTTCCATCGCTCATCTGTCCCCTGCTTAATAGTAGTCCACAATAGACAACTTTTTTGCTGGAACAACAAGCTTAATTTTATTTTGAGGCGTCACATGCTGTCTAAACAGTCCACGATAAACAACATTTTTGAGAGATGAATAAACTTGTCATACATTTCACCAGTGTTTTATGTGTGGCATGCCCGCTTGTGGCTTCCTGGAGTTTCAATTAATGATTCTGTCGTATCTCCCTGTTTACGAACTGTAAGAACGAACAATTGGTTTGAGCAAGTGCTCGTCTGTTGTACCTGTCTTTTTTCTGTCCCAGTTTGCTGTGAACCTCGTCTTAAAAAATCGGTGCCAACTGGCCCAATTTCCCAGCACTTCTAAAACTTGTCTCACAACTTGCACTTCTATTAAAATCTTGCAAGTGCTGTTAGCACTGAAAGTGCAAAACAGCCTTGTTCCGGTTGCCCTTTCGGCCACGACGAGTTGTTGCCAACGATCTCTCCCCTTGTGTCCGGCTGCGCAGTTCTTCAAGGAGGCCCACGAGTGCGAGCAATGGCTCCAGCGGGTGGAGGAGAAGCTGAACACGACGTTCAGCCGCCACAGCTTTTCGATGGACGAGGGGGAGCGGCTGCTGCGCCAGATGCAGGAGCTGCGGGAGGACCTGGCCCGCTACGCGGCCATCGTCAACTCTCTGCTGGACCGCTCCCACGAAGTGCTGCCCCTCAAGCAGCGCAGGGCACCCCTGCCCAGGCCCCTGAGGGTCACTGCCGTCTGCACCTACAACCAGCTCAACGTGAGTCCCTGCCGCTCCTCCGCTCCGAAGTAGGGGCTCGTAACGGAACCTCTCTGACATACTGTAAAATACCGCGAAAGCCCCCACTTCGTCGTTCAAGTGCCCACTATTGACATTTTCCAAACTGGGGAACTCTTCAAATTATATGTTAAGCACCCGATTGGACAGGACAAGTGACCACATCTAGATTAGCCCAGTTTTGAGTGAAAGCGGGGTGGGCGCTCCTTGGTATTTTACGGTAACTAAGCCTAAAACGCTGAAAAAGGAAGAAATGTAAAAGTGTAAGCATGTTTTGATATCTGGTAAACTCAGACATGCGCGGAATGTGTTGTGAATGAGCTGGGGCACATGCCGTGTGTGTGTGTGTGACGTCATGTGACTGTGACACTCGCGCCAAGCTAAGTGTTTCAACATGCTCTTTACTGTTTTGTGTCAAGCACTTATTTTCTCAGTTACTACCTGCCTCGTTTATGATATGGCGTGTTGTGGGAACAAAACTGGAGAAATAAGTTTTAATGTGAAGCAGTGGGCCGCGCGTTTTAAAATTAATTTTTTGTCCACTGTAGTCTTGTTCAGTGCTTTTTTCATATATCCTAATTTTACCACTCCTTTCAATAACGCCCATAATTTATTTCTATTTTTTTATTTTATTTTTTAGTAATATTTGTTTGACCTTATATTCTTGTTGAATCACTTTCTACGGAGTACCTTGAGTCATCACGCTACCTATTTTTACACATGGTACATCTCGCTTGGATGGCTGTTGTTCGACGGTAACCACATGTGCGTGTGCTTCTTTCAGATGGCGGTCACCCGTAATGAGCAGTGCTGGTTGCATGACAACACCCAGAAGAACCGCTGGAAGGTAAGTTTCTCTCACATTTTTATCTAAAAATTTTGAATATCAATTTGCGAATCTGAGTTACATGGTTATCAAAAACACACTCATAAATAGTCTCAGATTCAAAACTGCATTAGCTCAAACTGAGTCCCAACTCCTGAGAAGGTTCATATGAACCCAGTTTTGAAGCCCTTGTCTCAATGTTGTCCTAGAGTTATCCTAGAATTTCCCTAGAGTTACTTTAAAGTTATCCTAGTTACTAAAGGTACCTATTACCTTGGGGTTACCCTAGTTACTCAGAGCTTAACCCAGTTGCTTTAAAGTTGTTTTCGTTTGAATGTCAGTGTCATCTTTGGGTCCTTGTTTTTTAGGTGATCAACGCCAAGGGCACTGAAGGCCTCGTTCCTGGCGTGTGCTTCGTCATCCCTCCCCCCAACCCCGAGGCGATTGAACTGGCCGAGAGGTAGGTTGACTAGTCACCCCCCTGAACAACTCCCTACAGTATCCTTGATATGGACGCCGGGGCATAATTCCCTGAGTGGGAACGAACGCGCACACGCGTCAGCCCGAGCTTTAACTCTCCGGGCCCCGCCACCGCAGGAAGACCCATCCCTGGTCCCCATCCCGATCCCCCTTACCTATCGTGACATCCTTCAACATCTCCGATTGAGTCGCCGCACCCTTCCTCCGCCGCACAAATCTCTAACGAGGGAGGACGCTGTAGGTTGGCGCATGTTGCAAACAAATACTTTCCCCCACCTCGGCCCCTTACATGCCATGTACCCTACAGTATACCCCACAAACAAATGCCCCCTGTGCACCGAAAAGGCTTCACTATATCACATCACGTGGGCATGCCCTAAGATTCAGGCTGCCCCCCCAGTTCCCAACCCAAACGCCGAGCAGTGGGAAGCTGCGCTGTCCAGCTGGGATCCGGACGACCAGCGTAATCTGGTCTCGCGGGCCCGTGCCGCAGCGACAGCTACAGGGGCCCTGGAATGAGGGCTCCTCTCGCCTCGGAAGAGCCAAACGAATTGTTTATTAAAAGTTTTTTTTCTCTCTCTGACAGGTTCCCTCTGAAAGGTGAATGAGCATGGTATAAATTGTGAATGGGAAATAGATTGTAAAGGGATTTGCTGTTAGAATCTAGTAGATTGGCATAAAGAACCTTGTTGCATCATTGCTTGCAAAGTGTGTCCCACCTGGAATTTTTCAATTACCCTACTGACACTTGGTTCCTCTTATAAGCCCTGCATGAAAGAATATGCACATATCGTTTGGAATGTACTTTCTGTGTGCGACAAACCACTGTGTCCAGTTCTGAATTGAAATTTTTTTATCGAGTGACATGTGTCCACAAGCATTCTTTTGTTTGCTGTTGAGTGATGCAGTATCGTAAATGTCTGTTCAGGCGAAAGCCTTGTCCAATTACGGAAAAAGCGACGTCGTTGTGCCCGAAATATGGCCATAAAAATATGTCATCAACCACCCGCTGCTCAATGACATGCTCAAGGACAGCACCGTCCTTGGCATCGTCCTAGAAGTTGCCCTAGATGTCATCCTCTAGGCGTCGTTCTCGACGTCGTCTTAGAGGTCGTCCTAGAAGTCGTCCTTGGCGTCGTCCTTGTCATCCTAGATGCCGTCCTAGATACCATACTTGGTGTCAATCTCTAGGACGTCGTCTTGTACGTCTTTCTAAACTTTATTAGGTGTACAAACATTACTCAAAAACATTCCTCCTGTGGGGCTTTAATGCTTTCGCCTTCCTACACATAAGCAGTCTTGAGTGTCCTCCCATAATTTTTTTTCAGTTAAACCACCTTATGAGCTCAACCTGTGAGAAAATTCATGCATAGCATATTCTGGTTCCCACTTGCACACATTGGCTGCCATTGTGGTCGCTGCTGTTCGTAGTGACTGTTGGGTACCAATCGCTCCACTGACCATACCTTGCTCTCTCCTCGCTCTGATTGGTAATTGAAAAACTATTCGTCCGCACCGATGATACGCCTCTAACGCATTGTGTCGCCTATTTGTTGATTGAGTTGCCTGACACTAAGGCAGGATTGGAATGGACAGTTCATTATCTGTAGCTTATACGATGGGTGTACGTGAGGCTCTTTGAGCAAACGTGCAAACAACAGTATTTTTTGATGCACAGCCTGAAGCGCAAGTATGACCTGGTGGTGAAGCTGTGGACAAAGAAGCAACACAAGCTGCGCCTCAACATGATCTTCGCCACCATTAAGATCGTCAAGTCATGGGACCTCAAGACGGTTTGTGTGCAAATTACTCATTGTTACGGACAACATTGATGCGACTCAGAGTGTATTTCCCCTCAATGTTTTATGAATTTGTTTAAATTCTGAAATGGAAACGGGATATCACCCTTTTTGTAGCATAGATTCTACTTTCCATGTTTTGATTTACTGCCATCCGTTTGTAATTGAATGGCCTTGACCTGCCCCTGGCTATGCCGAGGTGGCAAAAATGAGCAAGTATTGTGTTCATTTGTAAGCAGTGAGAGAGTGCAGGCGAGCTGGTAATCAATCGACATCTTGTAAACCCTGAGATGGGGAACAATCGTCCGTTTTTTTTATCGTTCCCCATCTCGGGGTTTACAAGATCTCGAGTGTTCATCTTTCTTTCCTAATGTAGCAAATTATGTGCAGCATTTATTTTGCTTTTCTTTCTGTAGCAAACATCAGTTCCAAGATGGAGGACAGTGTTCAGTGGTCAACTAATAACCTCAGTTTGCTTTGTATCATGAAGGAGCATGCTTCTTTTCTGTTGTCTCTTTTAGGCGTTCCTTAGCAGCTGGCAGATTAGTGCTATTTCGCATATTTAAACGGACGTAAGAATACAAGTTTTAACCCTTTCGATCCTACCGTAATATCTCGAAAGATAGCCCACTTAAAATCGGGAGTAAATTTGGTGAAAATAAGGAGTGGGCTAACTTTCGGTGTGCAAAAGAGGAAAGTTGAAAAAAAAAATACTATTTTTAGATCACATGTTATTGCTTGTTATTGCAGCTTGCAACTTGTTATTGCAGCAAGGGGCAATAAAGCAAAGATGAGTGTATTTTTCAGTCAGCAATGTTCACATATGTCTCGCCATGGTTAACTAGACACATTTACGCCAAGACCATCATTGATCCGAACACTAGGATTACTAGAATGGTCTATCTTACGGTGTTGAAAAGAAAGTAGGTTTTCGGTTCATTTTTGGTAGGGTTTTTTTAAATTTTTTATGGAGCTTATTAATCTTTGGTTTAGTCTTTCTGCGCTTCACTTCGATTTAGAATATAGCAAAGTCTGGGGTCTAGTTCGGCTGCAAATAACTTGCTGGAAACATGATACAGTGGTAAGGTATCTCTATGAGAATCTGTATCAATGTTTCTGATTCACACTGGTGTGCCACACATAGATGATTATGTGGAAATGTATGTTCAACGATTATGCTTGACTGCATGTGCGTGCAGTTCCGTGCCATGGAGCCAAGCCAGAGGGAGTCCATCATCCGCGCCCTCAACGAAGACGCGGACAAGCTTCTCGCCGAGGGTGACCCCACCGACCCAGACATGCGGCGCCTCCGCGAGGAGATCCGCCTCTGCAACAAGCTTTTCGAGGAGCTCATGGCCAAGCTCAGGGAGGAGGAAGGTCAGTATAGGGAACCTTACTGCAACACTCTTGCACCTTTCAAAGCTTGGCTTTTTTTGGTGGTTCCATTCTAAGGAGGTTCAGACTAGTTAGAGGGAACTCAGTGGCTCGTATTAAACATTTCTGCTTTTAATAAGGAACTGTAAGCACTGGTCTGGTACAAAAGGATTTCTGTACTTCAGCGTAGGCCTTTCTCGTGTTCCCTATAGAAGCCCTGCTTTATCTGACAATGCCTTCTGTGAAAGCATTTTTTCGGTGGCTACATGGAGGTGATGCTTTGCACGCCGCTTTTATTAGACCTGTAGTACAAAGCAAGTTTACTGTGGCTTTTCAAACATACTTTCTAGATTCCCCTGACCGATAAACTGATCTGGTGATACATGCAGTAGGCTCGCGATAATTGAAACTTGGACATTTCATACTTCTGGTTAATTCAAACAAATTTCGAACTTTTAGTTGTACCACTATGTTTTTACAGCGGAGATGTTAAGGGCTAGTTTCCCTAGGATCGTGTCTGCCAGATTAGAAATGATGACACCGAACTCTGGACAGCTACCACCATCTATGCGCTGCGGCGGCAACCAAACAACTGGTTGCCGCGGTAGCCTTTCTTCGGGGGAAGAAGAGTGGGAGCGGAACGAGCAGCAATGTGGCGCCGTGGCGCGAATGGTTCCGCAACCGCCGCAAAGCCGCCATCGCCTAAAGTTTTACTGTGTCGAGCGCTTCAGATTCCCTTGCGAAAGAAGAGCAGATCGCTCGCCTGGAAAGCCACCGCCGTGAACAGAAGCTACAGCTTCCGCTGCTCTTCCTTCTTCACCAGAGTGGAAAGGCTGAAAGTTTTTTTTTAGTGTTAAAAGAAACTCGAACGGCATTTTCGTGTAATTTATACTTTCTGTTCTCGCGGCCCCGTTGAGTGCGCTTCTTACCGAGCACAGGCGCACTGCAGAGAAGCAACACCCACGGAGCTCGCTTTCGTGGGCATTGTCTTTACGCAATGCACCGGTGCCTGGTAAGAAGCACGCTCAACGGAGCTAATAGTCCACCATAGGCAACTTTTTGCTAGACATACAAACTTAATTTTGTTTTAAGGTGTCATGTTCTGTCTAAATGGTCCACAATAGACAACATTTTCGAGGGATGAACAAACTTATTTCATACATTTCACCAATGTTTCATGTGTGTCATACCTGCTTATGAATATGGTAAAATGGTCAGTTGGATGAGTCAGTACTGATTAAACATTGTTATAGTTGCTCACAAAAAAAAAAAAAAAAGCATAAAAAGTGTGCTTGTCTATCTAGATGTTTCCCTCCTCTGTTCTTGTCTTTTTGTGTGCAAATTTAACCCTGCATATGATTAGTAGGCCTGTGTAGAGAAAATCATCAAAATTATCTGCTTTGTATGTGTAGCCATCCATATAAAAATCTTAATTTTATCTTGTATCATATTTAGACGAATTTCTGCTAATTTAAACCTCCGTAAATTCAAGCAAAACTTTGTGATTTCCTGGAGTTTGAATTAAGGGGGGACATGGGTCTTCGGAGCCAAAAACGTCCTAAAACTAAATTCTTTTGAAAATGGCGATGGCTGTTGTTCTTCTGAATTTACCAGGCTTCTAATTTCGTGGATGAATATTTGGGCTATAAATCGATTAATAATGTCTATCTGGGCTGAATGTGCATTGAAGTTGACCCTGAAACATTGTTTTCACAAGGCACAATTTTTGGACTTGTTGAAAATTTGCACGAGGGATATCTCAGCATTCAGAGCAGACAGAAATATAACCTTTCCTGAAATGTGTAGCTAAATGTGTGAAGCATACAATGTTGAGAGCAGATTTTCTAATATAAGTTTAGAAATTTTTCTATTAGATTTTTTGTTTTATTACTTGTTAGCCATGCATTGAGCACTGAACTTTAATGTGTGCTAAATCATTAATACAGTGTAGACCGCATATAACGTATGTCGCGGGAGTCGAGAAAATCCGCACTATAAGCGGTACCGCACTATAACCAAAACATCAATTTTTCAGGCCAAAATACATGCCATGAGACAACTTACACTTGTGAAACGAATTTATTTTATGTTAGATGAAAAATAAAGCTTAGTTTGAGGAAAGTCGTTATTTCACCTGACTAGTACAGTTCTGTCTCAAGTGTGTTACACATTTTGAAAGAAATGAGCAGCTTTCGCCAGGCGCAGCCTTTTAACGGCGTCGCGGGTTGCGGACGGACGTTGAGAGCGTTCAGGATTGCTAACCCTAATCACTTTTCTCCGGAGATGAAAACGCGTGAAAATTCGTATCCTTCACACGGTACGCGCCAGTAATACCTTGAACTTGAGCGCACGCATGAAATGCGCCAAATAAGAAATCCGGGCGATGTTCGAGGACACGAATGCTTAGAAATCACCACTGTAGTCGAAGTAAACAAACACGACGACACGGGCGTTTCTGCCGTCTTGAAAGCGCCGCCACGACATCGCCGCTCGAGTAGGTGGATCTTCCCTTCTAGTACGTGCTGGGTTATCATAGCGACACACAACGAAAATTCACAGTCAAGGATAGCGCTTTTACGCGGAACGATGAGATGAACGCCGTCTACGACGACGATCACAACCGACGCCGTGTTTGCGGATAGGAGCAGCCGACCCGCGACCGGCATGTAACGCGCGCAACTCTTCTCCTCGACCTGCGATTGGTCTGTCGCTGCGGTTGTTTGTTTCCAACGCAGCGGAGGGACGCACGCACGTGAACGACACGTGCGTGCGTCCCTCCGTCGCTATGGCAACTGAAGCCTTTCGCTTCTTCCCGCTTCTTCGAGCAACTCGGCTCTGGAGCAACTGCCACGCGAGTGCCGCTTGCTGCTCGCGCCGTCAGCGCCGTTATCTAGTGTCGCACAGGGAAGCGCGCTCGCTGCTCCGGTCGTCGGCGCGGCCGGCGGGCTGTGCCAGAAACCGCACTATAACCGGTATTTCCCTTCGCGCGCCTGCATTTTAAGCGGTATGTAAATACATGGAGTTCTATGGGAGGCGAACCGGTGGTTTAAAAAAACCGCGTTATACCCGGTCCTGCACTATAAGCGGTTACGTTGTAAGTGGTCTATACTGTAGTGGGTTTATCTTAAAAAGTACTTCCAACATTGTATGCTCTACACTTTGTAGTATCTAGCCATGTGTTAAAAAAAATATTTTGTTGAGCAGTTTTTTTCCTATCATTCCTCTAAACAAAGGCAGGCAAGTTTTAATTACCTTGAGGACAATTCTACTTACTGAGAAAGTGACCAGATATATGAAATCAGCACAAAAAGCTGAGCAAGCTTGTGCAGTATCAATGCGTTTGGTCATAGAATAAGAAAAAAAGCTCAAAGACCAGTGTTCCCCCTTAATGAGTCTACTATATTACTTTATTTCTAGAGCAGCTTATTATCCCTTTTGAGTTGCCGTTCTTGTAAATCGTTCTGCTATCCATTTGTGCAGGGTACCTTTACGAGTGAAGTGTTGTTCTCTCGTTCCACTCCCTTAAGCCAAGGTAGAGAAACCAACTTTAAGTCGACATTGCTGGTTTATTTCACTGCCCCATTGCTATCGCCCACAATCCAAGGTGTTGCATTTTTATTTCCGACTGCTCAGGATCGTGCCGAGTATTTAAACACTTCTACCTGTCTGTGTTGCAGCCGAGAAGTCGCCGGAGAGCCCCACGCGACGCTTCCAGGACCTCTCCGCCAAACTGGAGAAGGTGCTCCAGGAGAAGGAGAAGACCCTGAACACGAGGGTGCAGGCACCGATTCCTCGCGACCTGGACACTCTGGACTCGCTCGTGCTTCAGCACAAGGTGCGTGTGGTGTCGCTTTCTGCACTGTCTGCGTTTATATAGACGGTGCAGTCTTTGAAACTTCAAACACTGATTCCTAGAAGTGTACAGTTCAGCTCACAACGTTTTTAAGATGTGTTTTGTGTGTTCAGTAATTTTTTTCTAGTGTTGAGTGAATACTGAAAATTTTGAGTAGTAGTTTCGAGTGATATGCTATTCGATACTTGCTTCAAGATGAACTGCGATATTCGTATTTTTCGAAGGTTTGATCACGGCGGGATTAGCCGCCTTGGGTGCGCTTCTTTCCGAGCGCGGGTGTACTTCGGAGAAGCAACACCCGCGGAAGCGGGCTCCGCTAGTGTTGCTTCTCTACAGTCCACTGGCGCTCAGTAATGGCCGATTCACACGACGCACCGACTTGCGATTTTCGTCCGCGGAACGTATAGCACGTGACCGGCACGTCACCAATTCCTGCGATCCGTGCCTCGTCTGAGAACGCGCGGACTGATAAGGTTGACTACCTTTTTATTTGTGGAGTTTTGGCGGGAGATTGACATGAAAAGTGTTCAGTCTGGAAACGGTACAATGTTTCCTTGTTGTTGTTTTTTTGTTTTTGGACAGTTAAAACAAAAATGGTGCATCGTTGTGTTTTGTGCATTCGCTGGTTCAGTTTTTTGCGCTATTCTTGGTTCCACGCGTGAAACTGCAAAACTAGTTTAATACGCTGCAATAATTCTTGCACGTCCAATCGGGCTTTCACCGAGCAAGACCTTCCTTGTTGCTGTGATGTACTTGAGTGTTGTGCACGAGCGCGGATTGCGTGAAGGAATCTCAAAACCTCTGCGAGCCGGAACTCCGTCGCTTCTATACCGAAGCCTTCTCGAGCACTACCATGCCTGTGTCACTGTCATATCTTGGGTTAGTAAAGCTAGTGGCACTTCGCGCAAAGCCAATCATGGTGTTTTGTCTCTATCTGTATGTAACAGCGGCTTTCGATTCTTTATCGCAATGGCAAACGTCAATTTCTCTCTTGGACAACAATGCCACGGTGCAATGTTGGAGTTTTACAGCACTGTGGGTGGTAAACAGGTTCAGTTTGTCCTCGCTAATGTCTGCTCGCTGTCTCCCTCGTGTGGATGCGCTTGGGAGACTGACGAATTGTGGCCATGTCATCACGGGATCAATCCATCCGCAGATCAGTCCGTTGTGTGAATCGGCTATAAGAAGTGCGCTCAGTGGAGTAATTCGCTGCGATCAACGCTTGGAAAAGCACTAATATTGCAATTGCAGTGCTTTTCGTCATTTATTTGCCATCCCAAGCCATCAAACTTTCTGAGGTTACAGTCGATAAATATAGTTAGGTTAATATTAGCTTATAAATGCACAAGTGGAAGCTTGGGAAAACCCTTCATGACATCAGCTGGGTTTTCTTCTAAGCATGATGCAACATTAAAAAACGACTTGGAGAAGCTATTACTAGATATTAAATTAGAAAATATTCTACCAAAACCACTATTCGCTTCTAATTCACTTTGAAATCAAAATCTACTATTGGCACTTGACTAGTTTTTTCAGATTTAAAATAAATTCCCCAAAATTTATAGCTGTAAATATCCAAGACCAAGAGCCTTCCACTCTAAAATTGCATTATTCAAAGATGGTGTCTCGAAACACTACATTTAAACAATAATTTTTTGTGCATATCATAAATTTACGAAAGAAGTATTCAGAATGCATCAGAGATATACATTGCGCCGTAACGTGTTGTTACGGCGTCAAGCCGTGGTGTGACGTCCCGTGGCACGGTGTCATGTTACCCGACGCTATGCGACGTGATGTGATGTCACAGGACCCGTCGCGCTTTCACGTGGCTATGTCACATAACTAGGGGTGTGCAAATACTCGAATATATGAATTCGAATCGAATAGAAAGTTCCCGAATAATTCGATTTACAATCGAATTCCTAGTATTCGGTCACTCGAATATTCGGTCACTCGAATATTCAATATATTCGGCCAAAGACGCGCGGTCGGCGCGGAGCTGACAAAAAAGCCGTTCTTTCTCCTGATGTAAGCGCCGTGATATTAGACAGACCATGCGAGAAACACCTCTTGGTCCTACCATTCCAGAAAAATATAACTCGCAGGTTAGAAAAAATAAAATTAACGAACGCCACAAACTTTATAGCACGCAGATTTACTCACAATTGTGACACAATCTTCCCTTGAATCACAACCGAAACATCCCATTATGCCGCGCCATGCCTAATTTTTTTTCACGAGCGCCCATGTAGAACACACTTGCCGCATTCACGGAAATCGCCGACTGCACGGTCACACAAAGAAAATTATGTTAACCACGCCGATGAAACCAGCCGAGTTATTGTCATTCTTTTGGAGCCGCAAGCCGCAAATTCTGATTCGGAACAAAACGGAACGGAAAAATAGTGTGCCTAAATTTGAGAGGGTTTCCAACCGTTCAATAGCCGCGTTTGAAATACGAACTGCGAGAAGGTGACGAAAAGACGAAAGCGTCAATCAAGATCGGGCAGGCAGGGCAGGCGTCGTCGCTCTTTTGTTTGCTTGCCTTCTTTCCACGCGACAACACAACACTTGCGCACTTACGACCAACCTGCGCTGGAGCAGTTTTCGTAATTTCAGTTTCGCTTGCTCCCTCTTTTAAATCAAGGCTCTCTAAAACAGGATAGATAGACGGAAAGATGGATGCATAGCGGCAGTTGGACGGTGACTTGCGCCACCTAACCAAGTTTTGTTTCCTTGCTTCAGATTATATTGTTTAAGCCTGTTTACTCAGATTTAAGACCTATCTGTTTATTTATGAGAAATAAAATCCCCGGTGTCCTTTTTCTTCCTTAAAATGGAGACCAAATATCGCAAAATGCACCTTTTCTGAGATACACAAATATTTTTTAAAAAAAGTCGCGGTGTTAGGTTGTGCTTTTAACGAGAAAAAAAAGGCACACGTGGCTGTAACTTTTTTTTTTTTTTGTGACGTTTAGGGTAGATAGATTATGTTTGCGCCATAAAATTGGATCTTTAGTGGCCAACGTCCAACAGCAACTGCTTTTATTTTTTTGCCAGAACTTTTTCTACATTTTTGCTCTTGCTCCGTAAAAGATGCGTATTCTACACCAGGCGCATACTCTGCACATATAATAGTCTCATTTGCAGCACACTTTGAAAAATTCCTACAAATAAAATCACTATTCGATATTCGATTCAATATTCGGCTTTTTTTTCTTGATTCGATTCGGTATTCGATTCGAAAACTACTATTCGGTATTCGCACACCCCTACACATAACAGCCCGACGGTCAGCCCAAGGGACAGTGGCCTGACCACAACTCGACGCCGAACGTTGCCAGATCTAATAAAGTCATCAGCAACCGCACAAAGAAAAGCTCGCCAATTCCAAACTTTCGTCGGCACGCACATTCCCAGGAGTTTGAGGAGGGCCTCCAGGACCTGGAGCCCCAGGTGGCCGAGATGCGGGTGGCCTTCAAGCAGATGCCCAAGAAGACACCGACTGCCCAGGACCGCCACGACAACGTGGTGCGCGTCTGGGACCGCATCTGGAACCTGTCCCACCTCTACGTGGAGCGCCTCAAGGCGGTGGAGATCGCCACCCACGGCCTGAACGACGGCTCGGCCTTCGTGTCCGGGGTGGAGGTACAGCTGGCCTCGCTGGACGAGCTGCCCGGCGACCAGGAGGCTCTGCGCAAGGTCCACGAGGACCTGCTGGCTCTTCAGCTGGAGATGCAGCAGCAGCAGCCGGCACTGGACCGGCTGACGGAGGACGTGACCAACGTAAAGAAGGTGACAGAGAGGTCGCGCCCCAACGTATACAGCCACCCTGACATCCGCAAGTTGGAGGACGACCTCCGCAAGCTGCTCAAGAGGTGGTCCAACGCCAGCAACCAGCTGGTCGAGAGGTACGTGTCTGGGGCTTTTTTCAAGCTTTTGTGTCGAAACACGTCGCGAAAATGGGTTGCGACAGAAGGCCGTCGATTATGTGTGCTGGCTGGGTGAGGCAGATCTAGCTTTGGTTCAAACTCAAACATTGGGCTGTTTGAATCGAGCGTGTCGAGTTGGAGATCAAACGTCCCGCACGGCCGTCTGTTTCATTACCGGACTGGTCCCTGGGGATGGCTTGAAAATCGCCGCATCGAGAGGACTCGGCTGGTTTCGGAAGCGATGTGAGCGATCTCAAAGGACTCTGATGAGTCGTCTCTTAATAATTTGCGAAATGAAAGAAAACATTGACTGACAATAGTATGCGACGACGTGCAATAATGGCCTCTTTAGTTTTATAAATACTCTTATATGAAACAAGCGTAAAGCGATTACAGAATTTAGAGTAAGCCTCAACAAGTTTGAGTGCTAGTTTATTTGAAAAAAGAAAAAAAAAAAACATCACTGTAATAAACTTTCGAGGAGTGCATGTTTGGGTATGTTTGCAGCTTTGGAGTTTATTTTGAATGGGTCGCACCGTGCTTGCGTCCCCGCTAGCCAAAAACAATTGCCACGGGGCTTGCTGGAGACTGTCTGACTCGCTGCTGACCTCCCTTCCGTCGCTCTGCCCGTTGCCCAGACTGCGTAGCTGCGAAGCAGCCTCGGAGCTGCTGCGAGCCTATCGCAACAAGATGGACGACGAGCGCGTCTGGGCAAACCAGATGACCATGAAGGTGAACAGCGTCAAAGTGAGCAAGCCCTCCAAGGATGCAGAGAAGGAGTACCAGCAGGCACTGGTGAGCGAATCGACAGACTTCTTTTTTTCATTCCCGAATGACGGTGTCTTCGAGAGATCTCGAGGACGCTGCGTGCGGTTTGAAGCTACCTATAGTAGGAATTGTTTCAAAGGTGATGGCAACATCTGCCCCGAGTCACGTGCACTTTCGTTATTTGACGATTGGGTAACGTGACCTTGCAACTGTTCATAACCTGGTACCTAACTGCCAAGGTTTTTTTTTGCCAAGAACAGTGTTTCCCTTGCAGGAAATTCTTGAACAAGCCTTGATACAATTAACTGACAGCATATTCCTTAAAAAAGTGTTCAAATGTTATTGGGTGATTTGGAAGTGGTAGTTTTGCTAGCCATGAGCATACCTGTATGGTGCTGTGAGCCTCTGAAGCAAGAAATTGTAAACTGCACCGGTTATGCACAGCGATGTCCGCCACCATCCTTGTGATAGTTGCATAGTATTATTTTAGCTGTTAATTTGTTAATGTAGTTTTAGCTCTTTCCAGCTTTTGATGGGCAATGTTCACTTATGGACGAGCAATCGGAGGAAAAGAACTGGTGATGTTGAATACCCCTACATGTAGTGAATCCAAAGCAAACAAGGTAATGAATAGTAAGGTTGCAAAGATGGATAATCTAGTCAAAATGCTGGTCAACTCAAGTATTTAGAAAGTTCAAACTATGGTATGCAAGTTTTGCAGCTATAGAAAATGAAAAAATTTTTTATGTCTACAATGTTTCACATAGGTACTTGGTACACAAATTTGCATTGCTTGTCCAACTTGCATTTAAAGTTTTTTCAAGCAGTGCAGCCATTGAGGCAACATTGCTTGTTCCATAGAAACTTACATTCTCATAATGCTTACGAGGCTTTTTCTTGTAAATTGTATTTAAGAAGTAGTACATTCTCATAGAATTTACGAGGTATCTTATAGAATTTACATATTGAAAACGTACTGTACACTGTTTTGTTATGAATACATACAAACTCGCCCAATTATTCATTTTGTTAATATTTGCAAGGCTCAAAAATTTATTGTAGTTTTAAGGTTTGCAAAACCTTGAAAGCTTGCAATCTTTATGCAAAAGTCCAAGTCCTTCAATTGTAGCCTTTCATATCCAACATTTTTTGTTGCCTGAGGAGTCTAAAAGTGAATAGGTGCAACTGAGTTCATTTCAAGTGTGGTCAAGCCTTTTTCTTCTTGAGAGTTCTGCCTAGAGTGGAAACAAAATTCTGACCTCAAATTGCAAGATTTTTTTGTCAATAAATGTCTGTCTTCCCATGCATTAGTTCTGCCTAACCAATAATGTTGTGTTTTAGATAGAGGTATGAGAATATCAAATGTTTGATTGTACATCGAATATGAATATTGATATATGATTAGCTGCGAATTGAATTCAAATGATACTTTCAGAAGTATGGCTGGAAATATTTTCTGGAAAGCATACATATGAAAAGTAACAGATTTATTTCGTTCATGAGAGACATTTCACATAGTCCTTTTATGAAAAGACAAAGGCCCTGGTAAGATGAGTTTGGTGAAACCAACGTAACCTGGGAAGTAAAATAGCGACTATTTTATTTATTTGAAATAATCTGCATCTTATTAGCTTAAACATCTGATACATCTCCTATTTGAACCCAAGATAATATATTCTTATTTTTAGAATGTGACAGTGCTGTTTCACCTTTGCCACAGATTCGCTCAGTATTGCACTGCCTCCGGGATCATCCCTTGAAAATTTGGGGAAAACTCGAATACTTCGGAGAGTAAAAGACTTGAAGCAAATCGAATCTAATAGCATACAGTATTCACAAATTATTCTAAGTTTTTAATATTAGCACACCTCTAGTTCTAGACGAATGCTGGCTTCACCACACTGTCAGTCTTTTGTATTGTTTTTGTTGCATTGCAGTGAATTGATGTTGTTGTATTAAAAGAGATGTTGTGCCTCAGGGCTTGTACACTGAGATCAGTGGCAAGAAGCCTGCCATTGAGGAAGTGAACGTGCTGGGAGGAAGGTTCGTCCGGGAAGCCAAGGTTGGTCCCAAACCACTGTGCTGCCTCAGTCACTTTTTGCTCGTTGTTCACTCTGCGTCGTGCACTGTTGTTACTCTTTTATTTCGCCGTCTGGATCTGAATATATTTAAGAGTACTGTTCGGTTATCAATGCTGTTGCATAGAAAGCTAACATTTTTTTATGGAAGTTTGCCCCAGTCGGAGCGGTAGATTCACAAAAACATATAAGAGCAATCGGGTCGTGGGAAGTTTTTTTACGGCGACTCGATTTATGGAAGGCTCTACATGTGCTGTTTATTCGCATAAACCTGTATCGGGATGGCGCATGCCTGATGTTTTTCACTCACCTGTAACATGGCTGTACTGGCCTGAAACAAATTTATCCTGAGATCTCTTCTGGCTTCTTTTACTTTATTAACGTGTTGACATTTTAACGTTCCAGCTCTTTTTTTTTTATCACGTTTTTAATTTCTAACGTTGCACAGCAACGCCTAACGAGGTTTTGGAAACGCATAATTCCGCCTGGGTTGATTAACTGCTTTGGTACAAAACTGTCTTTTTCTTAAGAAAAAGGCAAAAGACCGTTTAATTTTTCTGGTGTGGAATGCGATAGGCTCTTAAATAAGCATGTAGCTGATTACAATGGGAGTCTTTTTGTTTTCTTTCTCTGATGTTCTGGTTTTTTTGACATGTGAGGTGTCATACAGGGTACGGTGGTTGTGCTGCTTGATTGCATGCTTTCCTTTGTATGTGGCATTTCGTCCATGTGTGGCTATCGGACTATGCATGCATAGCGTTAGCTTTGTCTGTGGTGAGGGAATGGGTGTAGCACATAGCCCTCAGATACATTGTCCGAGTGTCTGTGTTTTTCTATTTTCAAAGGCTTTCACTGCCTCGTTGTGCTTGTGTTTCTTACAACACATTTCTCCATTCTTTTCTGTTGGAGGTTATAGATGTTTTTCTTGTACCTTACATTGATGATGATTAGTACATGTTCTGAGAGATCATTGTTTCAACCTAGACAGAATTTTTTGTATCTATTTCTTTTTTTTTCAAGCAGTGCAGCCATTGAGGCAACATTGCTTGTTCCATAAAGACAACTGCTTAGCTTGATGAACTGTTAATTTCCCAATGCTGATTTATCACAAGTAGCAGTTGTTACTGAAAATACTTTTTAGCAACATAGCAATCACTATTAGGGATCTGTTCAAACTCGATTCAAAGAAGCCCAAATCAAATACTGTAGTGTCACAGTTTGAACCAGGACTGCAAATGCCGTCAGTGACACCACACTATTTTATTCAAACTTCTTTAAACCGAATTGAAATGCACCTTTCATCAGAATCCTTTTTGTTTTCTAAAAATAGTTGCAGACCTTGAACTATCAAAGAAATTGAGCAATGGAAAAGTTGTTGCCTCTTTGGACCCTCTAGTGTCTGTGTACCCTTGTATGACTCCCCTGAAAAAAGTATCCTTTCTTTCTAAAAGGGAGCTGGGGAAGGGGAGGGAAAACAGTCCTAAGGAAGAAGAGTGTACACCCTCACACCTCTGACGGCCCTACCTCTAGAGTGTAGCTAGTTGCTCTAAACCGAGAGATTACTACAAAAATAAATAAATAGACACAACCCTCTTTACCCCTGCCCCCCTCAACCCGAGAACAAAAATAACCGCCTAAACAACAAAACCGCTTCCTTGGCTCTCAAACCCGGTTTTAACTTGCCTGTGGTGGTAGCTTGCTAATGCATTTGCTGTGTTTTTGTTTTTGTTGTTTCCTCGCTGCCTCGGCTTCTTTGACACCTTTCGCCCGAATAGAAGTGCCGTACCACTCTCCTGGATGTCTGTGTTTTTTTTTTTTTCTTCTTTGTTTTGGTGATGGTTTAAGTTAGCGACGCATAGAAATGCTCTCTGCTGTGCTGGGATGCTACTTGGGTAAAGGGTCGCCGCAATTTTTGTTAGTAGCCTTTCCACTGCTCCCATACCTTTTAGCACCCTCCCGTCTCGTGTACGTCGTTCTCCGACGAAAGACGAACTTCGGGAGGCAAAGGTAGCCTCTCGTCGGGCGCCGCTTGTCGGAGAACCAGCCTCTCTCGACGGGCGGACAAAGGGACGGACGCCCTCCGCTCCCGTCTCCGTGCCCTCCTGCCCTGCTTCTCGTACCGCACATTCCGGAAGTGCGTGCTTTCATCGTTCTCGCTTCTTAATATTTCTTTTCCTAGTTCTCGTGGTAGTGGTTCTTTTGTGTTGCTTGTGTGGTAGCAGTAGACATCCCGTGTTGTGTGTTTGCGTGTGTGCGCGCGCTTTGGAGTGCACGTTTTGGGAGTGGTATCTTTCCCCCCTCCCGACGCCACGCTTCGTCGTTGCACCGCAACTCCTGCTTGCTAGACGCGACGAGCCTGCGACAGCTCGAGACGCGACTTTGAACGTTGAACAAACATACACAAATCTAGAGAGAAATGAGGCGAGTTACGTCGGTCTTTTGAAGGGAACCCACATGACACGAAATGACCCGAGACAAGAGAGCAAAAGGAGGTCAAACACCCGCCGCTTCAAATTCGTCGACGACTAAAACAATTTGGCGACGGACCGTGCATTGTGCGTGCTCAGAAGACCGGTAAGAGCAAAGGCCACCAAGCCCACGAAGACCACGAAGACCGTCAAGACGTACGACGAAGAAAGACCGGGAACACACTATGCTGCTTCGGCACGACTAGCACGGAAGTAACCCTTTGCTCTCTGGAGAATTCGGAAAACTAGGCACACGTTCGTAAAGAAGCAAGAGTGGTCGGGTACCCGTGCTTGTTAGACCCTCTGTATGTCTCCCGGCTCGCTGCTGCTCGCTGCGCTATTTTTTCCTCGCTGCCTCTCCTCGCGCCCCCCGCATCCGAAAGTGCCACCGCTTTTGTTCTCGACCACCCGCCTGCACCCCTCGAAAGGGCGAGAGCCTGCCCCCGAACCCGACGAGACTGAGAGAGCATCCTACTCCGACGCAACGAATGCCGGCGCCCGATGAAACCCTCCCTTGCCAACCGCCGCCACCTGCTGCCTTCAAGTCCCGGCGAAAACACGCAAAAAAAGAAAAAGTGACGCCGCTTTTTGAAGGGGGCGGTGACATCTCCTTCCCGGAAACATCCTGCGCCGCTACGCATGATGAGAGGTAGCCCCCCCTCTCTTCCTCCCCTGCCGTCCTCTCGCTCCCCCGCCCCCAAACACAACCGTTCCTCTCCACCTCCTCCTTCGTAGCCTAAACGAAAAAGACGATTGGGGGACCACCGCAGAGTGAAGAGAAAGGCTACTCCTTCCCAGACGGTTTCCCTCCCCACACCCCCCTCCCCGACACGCCTCCCCCGAGCGCGAACCCATGTCCGCGCTCGGGGGAAGGTGTACGGCGGGAGCTAGGGGCGGAAAAAGAAAAGAAAAACAAAAAAACAACAAAAGGAGCGAATGAGCAGAAGGCCAACCAACCGGTCGTTTCTACCTTCCTTTTCTCTCTTTTTCTTTTCTCTCTCTCTCTCTCTACCGCCACCACGTCCTGTGCGGGCTCGCGTCCTCTCTGGCCTTCCCCCTCCCTCCCGAACCACCCCCCGACCCGGCAGATCTACGACCTCCGGCTGAAGCGCTACTCGGACGGGCTCGAGGAGGAGCATCCGAGCCTGGACGCCAGCGTGGCCAAGAAACGGCCCAAAGTGGGCCCGGGGGGCGCCGACGCAGTGTCGGCCGAGATGGACGCCTTTAATGCGGACTACCTGGCCCTGGCTCGGGACCTGGCCGGTGTGCTCGAGGGGCTGGGGGAGTCGCTCGCCAAGGAGACGCGCGCCAAGGTGAGCCTCCCCTACACCCTTCCCCCCACTTTCATTGCGTTGAAACCATGGTGTCTAGAACAGATCTCCCGACTGGTATGTTTAAGTGGTCTCGAAGTGGCAACAAAAGATGTCAGAAAAGCTGGATCGTTATGCTGTCGGACGTCACAATCTCGTCGATCTGTTGTGAAAAGTATGGGCAATAGCAGGTGTCACCGTCGTAAAAGAAATCTGATACTGCAGGCTGGTGTAGCGTCCGTAAACTGTCAAGCTGGGGGGTGACCTGCAGTGGAACAGGCGTTTGCTTTGACACTGCCAGGATCGCGGCCTGCAACAACGCGACGCTTCCGGGATGTGGTCTAGTGGAAATCGAGAAAAACACACTTTTTGGGTCGTGGTGTAAACGCACCGGTCACAGACGCGTTCCAGGCACCATAGTTGAGACGCGTCAAGACGTGTCGTGGTCACCTAGGCCCGTCGTCGCAGACACGCGTGCCCCCTTTGTTTCTGTGGATATTTTTTGGGGGCGGACGGAAGGGATGTTTTATTTTTGGGCCGCTTTCTGTAACTCTACTGTGCTTTTTGTGGTCAATGAAATTTCATGCAAAAGCCAGTTTGCGTGTATGTCGCAGCACTAAATCGACCCTGGGAATGGCACCGGCTTGAACGCAACTTAGCACTGACTTAGCGCTGTATTGGCATTTTGTTACCAATACAGTGCAAAGTCAGTTCTTTGTCAGCAAGGTCAGCACCATTTTCAGCACTGGCTAATAGTGCTGGGGTAGCGCTATGGTGTATGTGTGAACATGCCTTAAAGCTGAAAAATTAAAGAGTGTTTCGATCGTATCGGTGGTTCTCAAACCTTTAGCCGTCAAAGACCCCTGACTCACTTGGAGGCCGTTTGGGGACCCCCAATGCGTTCCACATCAGAGGTCTTGTGCGATGGCATAGGAGGGCTTTCTTTAGAGCAGTTATTTTCCTGTACGCGGACTCCCATGAATGTTTTCGAAGACCCCTGGCTCTCCGCAGAGCACGGTTTGAGAATCGCTGCCCTATATACTGAAATGCAAAGGGCATACAATTTCTGTGTGCTTTGGGGTTGCATGCTTAGCTTTTGCTTGGCCGTGTGGTTCACCCGCGGTTACGTCTTGTTGAGCTTTTAATTGATCCCATTTGCGTTTGGGTTGAATTTTATTTTCACTATGAGGGCAACGGGGTGCAACAAATGTTAATCCATGTAGCGTCTGGGTGTTGGCATTGTTGCGTTGTCGTCTATGGGCTTTGTGTGCTCTGTGCAACGTCCCACTTTCGAATTTTGAGAGGCATCCAGAGAAAGTAGACTGCTGTTTACGCATCAAGTTGGAATTGTGACAACCTGAAAGTTTGATCATGGGCTTACTGTTGTCGCCTAAAGAGAAATTTGAGAAAATCTGAATGTGAGAAAAGGAAGCCGTCATGTTGGGTGGTAGAGCTGGCTGCGGATACCTAATGTTATTTTACAAGCACAACACTCCATCTCAATATATGATTGGGTTCTGCTGTTTGGTCAATTGATGACTCTTGCATTTTGCATTGAACACAAGGCTTGCTGGATTTTGGAAGACATTGCCTGATAATCATTAAGGATTCTTCAGAAGGCACGTAAAATTAAAGGCCTCAATGAAGTGACATAATGGCTTTTGCCATATACCAATGTTGGTAGGTGCTATCAGCTATATTTCTCTGGGTACGGCTGCTAAATATTTGGGGCTTACATTAGCGCAGAAATTTATGTGTATGCTTAGATTTCTCAGGAATTTTTTTTAAAAAGTGCAATGCTTTTTAATGCAAACCCCTACTCCCAGATATTTGTCCATTTGTCCGTGCCTTTTCCCGCTAAATTTAGGGGGTAAATTGAAGTGGTGTATAATACACAGCAATTCAGGCCGCATCACACATTATTGGTCACACGGGAAGTTTTTTCCTGCTAAATATAAATAGCGGAATAATTGAATTATTGATAAAGGGTACACCAATTGGTGCCACGTGAAATCATCACTTGACATCGTAACGTTGGGTCACGTGACCATGCTGTGTGACGTCTGGTCATGTTGACGTCAGTTGAAATAAATGCCATGTTCATCACTCCCCGAAACAACAGTGTAATATCTTCTACATTAATTTAAACAATCACTCCCGAAATGCTGCACTTTACAGATCTAGGTTGCCTCCAATTTTTTGTTAATTTTTTTTGTTTTGTTTATCGGGTTTTTAGGGAATTCTATATTTTTGTTTTATTCGCCTTCCTTGCAAACAGATAAATGAAGCATTTTAGCATTGCATATTTCTCCAAAACATACCTTGCCAATGGAGCGCAATGCCTAGTATAGTAGAAGAGCTTAGCTTTGTGGAACTGCCATTTCTTCGAAGTTTAATTATGCCCCTCAACACTCATGTTCACCAGCTCATCTAGGCTTTATGGCTTCTTTGATGTCGAAAACGATCCTCTTGGGAATGCAGCTGTTTGCCTAAACATAAAACTCCGTTATTTATTTTTGTACACTCCTAAAAGCTGTGTTTTATGGTTGTCATCAGACATGGTGGGTGAGGTTACAGCCACCTTTGTTTGAGCAACGCTTGGTATTTTGTGAACGGCGTGCTCTCGCAGGCAAATGCAAAGGCTTGCAATGTTTTCCTCAATTCCAAACCTTATCAGGAACAGATGGTTTATTTGAACACGGATACACTTTATGCTGGTTTGAGCAGCTAATTTACATAGTTGTACTGGTCAGATAAGTGAATATATGAATGCAGTTCTTTAGAGTGAATTAAATATAGTGAAAATATTTTCGGTTTTTGACCCAAAACGTCTCGTCAACTGGCATTATATTATTCTCGATTTCATATTTAGGTAAATTTAGGCTGATACAATTGAGGAAAATGCGACAATGACTAAGCAGGTGATGGCCTCGGCTTGGTCAAACGGGTGATCTGGCGAAGGGGAGGGGGGGTGGAGGGGCGGCAGCTCTTGCTCTAGCATGCCTTTCGAGTTTCGCTGGGTCCTTGTTGTGTTGGCGGGTTGGCGTTGGGTGGTGTCTTGTGTCTTGGTGCCTAGCTTTTGTTTGTTGGTGTCAGCGTTTCTTGCCGGTGGAAGGAGCGAGCGTCTAGCTTTATTGCATGCCCAAGTTTGTGTTTGGTTCAGAGCAGTAGCTTGTGTGCTTTGGTGTTAGCGTAGAACAAGGCTTTCTCTTTTGGTGTGGCTGTTTTTTGGTTTCTTTCCTTTTGTTCCTTTTTTTTCTCGCCGCCGTTGCATAGGTTTATTTCCTTCAGTTTTTGGGGGTGGTCTCGCTGTTTGGTTTTGTGGCGGTGTGCTGTTTTTTGGGGAGTTTTTTTTCTTGGTTTTGGCTGCACTGTCTTTTTTTTTTTTAGTTTCTCCTGGTTTTTCTCATTCTCTCTTTCTCTCCTCTGTCTCTCTTCCTCCTCTCTCTGCCCTCCTTGCGGTTGCTCTGCCCTCCTCCCTCCCCCTTCCGTGTCCCAGTTCACCGTAACCCTGACCAGGGCCGCACCGGTCACCCTCAAGACGTTCCACATCGAGTTGCCCACCGACCTGGACGAAGGCACTGCACCCCCCAAGCGCCCCCACCGCAGGGCAGACCCAGAGCACCCCGGCGAACCCCACCTGCGACCCGCAGAGGCTGCCAGGGGTGCTGACGCATCTCCTTCCCCGAAAAGAAGCAAGGTCACCTCGCCAACGACCATGGCCGGTCCATCCGTGGAGAAAACCATAAGCTCAACCACTACGTTCACGGAAGTTCGAAGCTCGAAGAAGACCGAGAAACCGGCCGAAGAGGCCGCACCTGCGCAGTCCGGAATCAGAGACCCGCGGACGGGGCAGCTGGTGACGTTCCTCGAAGCCATCAGGAGGGGCTACTTCATCGTGGAACGCTGGGTGTTTGTTGACATCACCACGGGGAAGGTCTACGAGGTCCCCGAAGCGGTTTCTCGCGGCCTGGTCGACCAAAGGTTTGCCGACGAACTTGCGGAACCCTGCGGCATCCTTGACCCCAAAACGGGCAAAGAGCTGACACTGCGCGAAGCGGTTCGAAAAGGGCTGTATGACCCACAGAGGGCGGTTTTCCTGAGCCCCAAGGGTGGACGCCCCGTCACGATTGAAGAGGCTATCAGGCTTAAGCTCCTTAAGCGAGAGAGGGTGGAGTACTTGATCAGGCTTGGGCTGATTAAGGTGACGCGCTTGACGCTCGCAGAGGCGGCAGAGAGGGGGTTGCTTAACCTTGTCACGGGTTTCGTGAACGATCCAACGACAGGGGCTCCCGTGCCGATCGATGAGGCGTTCGAGAAGGGGTGGTTGGACTCAGAGCCGCCGGCAGACAAGGAAGACGGTATGTCGCTCACATATGCAGTAGATGCGGGCATGGTAGATGAAAAGACTGGGAAGTTAACTGATAACTATTCGGGCGGTACGTATGGCATAGATGAAGCATTGTTTAAGGGCATCCTGTCCCCAGACACGCGGGAGGTAGCAGACACAAAACGGGGCGTCGTGGTGACGCTTCCGGCAGCCATCAAGGATGGCCTCTTGGATGCTAAAAAGGGGCAGTATGTGGATGCCAAGACGCGTGAGAAGCTTCCGCTTGCGGAGGCTCGCAAGCGGAAGGTTCTTGCACCGTCGCTAACTCTGAAAGACGCGGAGGAGCAGGGACTGCTAGACGAGGATGGGCAGGTATTGAACCCGTTCACAAACGTGAGGCTGTCCCTTCTCGAAGCGATAGACTGCGGTCTTCTTGATCCGAACGTGAAGTGCATCATCCATCCTGTGACGCAGGAGACTCTGTCACTCTCCGAAGCGCTCGCTAAGGGGGTGATCACTCCAGAAGGTAGGTTTGTGAACATGCGGACTCGTGAGGTGCTCACGCTGATTCAGGCAGTTCATCTCGGTTTGATCACTTCGGTTTGTCAGAAGATGATCTTCGACATTGAGGGCTTTACCGATCCTGCCACGGGCGACAACATCAGCTTCAACACTGCTGTCTCACGGGGCATTCTCAACCCCAAGACTGGCCAGTTTACAGACGCTAAGTCCGGGAAGACTGTTCCTTTCAACAAGCTGGTTCAGGAGAAAGTCCTCCAGCCACAGATCTATGACATGTTCATTCGTAAGATCGGGATGAAAGATGACATGGGCAAGGAATTGACACTCGCAGACGCAGTGTTTAAGGGTCTGATCGACCCAAAGACTGGTCAGATCAGAGACAAGACGACCAAGCTTCCCTTGCAGCTGAGGGAAGCGGTTGCCAAACGCATCATCACGCCGGAAGGTGCTGCTCTCTTGCGAGGGCTTCTGAGGATAACGGTGAGTACCGCCACGGTGACCAAAACCATCACCCGCTATGTGACGGTGTCTTCTCATGGTACTGGCCCAGATGCCGAGATCACTTCCCAAGATGCCACTGGACAGACAACAAGATCAGGGACGCGCGATCCTACTTTGGAAGAGGCCGTTCGAACCGGCCTGATTGGAGTTGACACGGACTGGCCGACAGACATGGGCGAGTTTGCCCCCAAAAAGCCGGTGGAGCCGGAGACCATCAGACGGACAGAGGTGAACCTCCTCTACGACAGAGAGCTTGAGGAACAGCGCCGTAGCTATGGCAGGCAACCTACGTGGCCCACGGGCACCGAGCCTGTAGGGCCAGATGCGACCCTCGAGTCGCTGGTAAGCACTGAGATCTGGACTGAGGTTCCACCCGAATTCGACACCGGTAGGGCCCCACAGAGGCCATCCGAGGAATCTCCACGGAGAAGTCCAGAGGGCACGACCGGTAAGAAGCCAGGCGAGCCGTCTTACACCATTCGCACCTACGAGGAGGCCTATCCGAGAGTGAATGGTTCCTCTCCTTTAGGGCAGCCTACTGTCAGGCAGGACACAAAGAAGACCGTAGAAGTGACGACTCGCACTTGGGGTATCGGGGCGCGCGAGCTGGACGACACAACACCGTCCCATCAAGGCGCACGACCGAAGACTCCATCTGGGGACACGAGGTCGGAAGTTCCCCGGAAGCAGCCCAAAGATGGAAGAAGTCTGTCGCCACCTAAGGACACTCAGCCAAAAGAGAAAGGGTTTCCCAAGGGTTCACCTGAAAGGGAAACTTCACCAATGAAGCCATCTGGCAAGGGTAGAATGCCAGGAGAAACTGAACCCATGATCGGAGACCTTGTGCATACCCAACGGGTCACATCATACTACACAGTCACTACGGATGTGACGCACCAGGGTAAAGAGCCATCTCCTTCAAAGCCTGCATCAGAAATAGCACCTCCTCTCCCAAAGAAAAGTCATCCTGCAGACCAGGCCCATCCAAGAACAGTCCCTCACGATGCAGAGCAACCTTCTGAGGGACCAACCCCTTACTTCACTGTCAAATCGGAGGGAGTTGAGAAAGACATGCCTTGGTCTGGTAAGCAGGCTCCAAAAGATAGATCCCAAAGTTCACCAACAAAGGGTGCTCCCAAGGAAGCGTGGCCTTCGCCATTGAAGGATGTCCCGGGAGGACCCTTCACAACAGAGACTGTGTCCTACCATACTGTGACTAAACACATTACTCTGGAAGGTGCAATGCCGGAAGATACCGGTGAAGCATCGGCGATGAAAGGTACCCCGAAGGGCAAGGAGCCATCGCCAACATCGAGACTTCCCCAGGAGAGAGAACCCTTACGACCAGCAAGTCATCCCAGAGAGAGCCCCAAGGGTATGTCACCAAGCTCTGGCAAGCTTCCTCCTGGAGAGCATATGCCTTCACCTTTGAAAGAGGGCATCACAACTGAGTATGTGACCTATCGCACAATCACGACAGATGTTACTGAAAGAGAAGTTTCCTCGGAGCTGCAGGAGAAAGCTCCCAGAGACCAAGAGCCACCGTTGTCAGCAAAGGGCCAGCCCAGGGAGCGGAGACCCTCGCCGACCAAGGACTTTCCAAAAGAAAAGCAGCCCTCCACTACCGAGTATGTGACTTACCACACTTACTCAACTGAGACGACAGGAAAAGAGACAGCTCCAGGATATGGCAAGGAAAGTCCCAGAGGACACGCGCCAACGTCTCCAACAAGAGTAGCTCCCAAGGACCGAAGTGGATCGTTGACAAAAGATGTTTCCAAAGGAACTCCAAAGGACAAGTCGCCTGTCTCGCCTACGAGAGGTTCTCCCAAGGAAAAAACACCCTCTCCTTCAAAAGGTGTTCCTGCTGGGAAAGAGCCTCTCATGGCGGAGACTGTGTCTTACCATACTGTCACAACGCATGTGACTCGTGAAGAACAGGCACCAAAGGGAATGAAAGAAGCTCCTGCTGAGCAGACACCAACTTCGCCAACAAGAAGCAAAAAGGAAAGGACACCCTCTCCCACAAAAGAACCTTCCAAGGAAGCTCCCGGCGATCGTGCACCACTATCTGCGACAAAGGGAGCTCCCATGGAAAGGATGCCCTCACCCACAAAGGGGGTTCCAGATGAAAGAGAGCCTTTGACAGGGACATTTGTGTCCTATCGCACTGTGAGTACCAAGACATTCGACACTCCGGAGGGTACCCCGGAAGAGATGTTCTCCACCTCACCAACAAGGACAGTACCTGAACACCGAACCCAGTCTCCTACAAAGGAATTTCCAAGGAAGGAGCCCACTGCACCTGACCAAGTCCAGAAAGATAGAACGCCAGAGCCTTTCAAAAGAGCTCCCGGAGAAGAGGAAGTTCTTACTACGAGAATGGTGTCTTACCGAACTGTAACAACTCGCTTAACTGAAGAAGAGATCACAGATAAGGAACCATTCCAGCAAGCCCCCAGTGATCATACTCCATCGTGGCTACCCAAAGGACAAGTACCTTTGCCTTCAAGGGATGACCAAACTACCACCAGGGAACACCCCAAAGAGTCTCCAAAAGACAGAAAGCCCTTCCCAACGGAGTCCTCATCATACCACACTGTGTACAGCTCAGATGTGACCCACAAAGGCCTTCATACAAAAGTACCTCAAGACGGGGCTGAAGGGTATCCATTACCGGCACAGAAGAAACAAACCTCATCGCCAACAAGAGACGTTCTCCGTGGAAGAGAACCCCATGAGACTGTGTCTTACCATACCATCACAACTCGTGTGGAAGAGGTGTCACCTCCTGAGTCTGCTAGACAAGTGCCCAAAAGTGGCAGGGAAGGCTCTCCAACAAAGGACCTGCCAATAGGAAAAGATCTTCCCACAAAGGATGTCAAGGGAAAGCAACCATCCAAGGGCAGAGAACCATCTCCTACTAAGGAAATGCTGGATGGAAAAGAACCCACAACTCTGAAAGATTTCAAAGACAAAGAGCCCAAGAAAGGAAGAGAGCCTTCACCAACAAAGGACATCCCTCTGGGAAAAGAATCCACACCAACGAGAGGAGGCCTCGAAGGTTATCCGAAAGGAAGAGAGCCATCTCCAGTAAAGGACCTTCCAAAGGAAAGAGAATGGTCACCAACCAAAGATGACAAGGACAAAGCACCTGAAAAGGGGAGGGAGTCCCACCCAAGCAAGGTCCTTCCAAGTGGAAAGGAACCAACATCAACAAAAGGTGAAGTATTTCCAAGGGGCAGAGATTCCTCCCCAATGAAGGACCTTCCCCTGACAAAAGATGTCAAAGGCAAGGAGCCTAAAAAAGAAAGGGAACCTTCGCCAACCAAGGACATTCCTCTGGAAAAAGAGCGTACACCAACAAAAGACATCAAGGACAAGGAACCCAAGAAAGGGAGGGAACATTCACCAACCAAGGACCTTCCATTGGTGAAAGACCAAACACCAACGAAAGATGTCAAGGACAAAGACTCAAAGAAAAGGGAACCTTCACCAACAAAAGAGCTCTCATTTGGAAAAGAACCCACACTGACAAAAGATCTGAAGGACAAGGAACCCAAGAAAGGGAGGGAACCTTCACCAACCAAGGACCTTCCGCTGGGGAAAGAACCTACGTCAACAAGAGATGTAAGGGACAAAGTCTCAAAAAAAGGTAGGGAACCTTCACCAACTAAGGAGCTTCTACTAGGGAAAGAACCCCCCCTGACTAAAGATGTCAAGGACAAGGAACCCAAGAAAGGGGGAGAACCTTCACCTAATGAGCTTCCACTAGGGAAAGAACCTCCCCTGACTAAAGATGTCAAGGACAAGGAACCCAAGAAAGGGAGGGAACCTTCACCAAACAAAGACCTTCCACTGGGGAAAGAACCTACACCAACAAGAAATGACACTGACAAAGACTCTAAAAAAGGAATGGAATCTTCACCAACCAAGCAGCTTCCACTAGGGAAAGAACCCTCACTGGCTAAGGATGTCAGGGACAAGGAACCCAAGAAAGGGAGGGAACCTTCGTCAACCAAGGACCTTCCGCTGGGGGAGGAACCTACACCAACAAAAGATGACAACAAAGACTCTAAAAAAGGAAGGGAACCATCACCAACCAAGGAGCTTCCACTAGGGAAAGAGCCCTCACTGACTAAAGGTGTTAAAGACAAGGAACCAAAGAAGGGGAGGGAACCTTCACCAACTAAGGAGCTTTCATTTAGAAAAGAACCCACACCGACAAAAGATGTCAAGGACAAGGAACCCAAGAAAGGGAGGGAACCTTCACCAACCAAGGACCTTCCACTGGGGAAAGAGCCTACACCATCAAAAGGTGATAGGGAAAAAGAACCTAAAAAAGAAAGGGAACCTTCACCAACCAAGGATCTTCCACTTGGGAAAGAACCTGTACTGATCAAAGATGTCAAGGACAAAGCACCCAAAAAAGAAAGGGAGCCTTCACCAACCAAGGACCTTCCACTTGGGAAAGAACCTGTACTGATCAAAGATGTCAAGGACAAAGCACCCAAAAAAGAAAGGGAGCCTTCACCAGCCAAGGACCTTCCACTTGCAAAAGGCCCCACCCTGACAAGGGATGTCATGGACAAGGAACCCAAGAAAGGGAGGGAACCTTCACCAACCAAGGAGCTTTCACAAAGAGAAGGGCCAACTTTGTCAAAAGAAGACCTTAAGGATAGGGAGCGGAAGAAGGGAAGGGAGCCCTCACCAACCAAGGACCTACCAAGAGAAAGAAAACCTGCTCCAACAAAAGACAGAGAACCGTCACCGGTGAAGGATTTTTCAGAAGGCAAGGAAACAACAAAACTGAAAGACTTTACAGAGACAGAACTGCTTCCAACAAGAGATATTCCAAAGGATGACTTCAAGGCAGGACAACCAAGTCCTACTAAAGACACTCGTCCTTCTGGGGACACAGTGCCACCTAAGCACAGGGCAACATCGCCTACCAAAGAACGCCCCAAGGGCAAGGCTCCGGCGCCACCAAAGAGGGTGTCATCTGTCCCAGAAAGCACAGATCTTCCAAAAGTGTTGGAGCCATTGCCATCAGAAAGCCAGGAACCTCTCGCCAAAGAACCAACACCCGGAGCTGAGGAACCCATATCTTATTTCACAGTAAAGGTGACCAGAAAACGAGGAACGTCGCCACCCCTGGAAGAGTACAGGGCTCCCTCTGGAGAACTGCCTTATAGTAGACTGCCCTCAAAGGAGTCTTCTACAGACAAGGAACTACACTCGCCGGAAGGTTTTCCTAAGTCTCCAACAAAGGACACGGAACGTAGCCCTGAAATGGGTGCTAGAAAAGATAGGCAACCATCACCTGAGAAAAGTCCAGAGAGAAAGTCGGTTTTGGATAGGCAGGGCATTCCAAAGGACAGGGAGCCTGTTCCTGACAAAGAAAAACCTTCGCCAACTAAAGAGCATCCTAGCGGCAAGGAGCCTTCCCCGCCAAAGGGTGCTCCAAAAGATAAGGTGCCTTCTCCTCCAGAGCAGGAAAAACTTCCTAGTGTGAAGGGCCTGCCTCTGGAGAGAGGGAAATCTCCAATGAAAGAGGCGGTTCCATCCCATACAAAGGACAGACCCCAAGATCTTCGTGGGAGAACATCCCCCAGCAAAGAGATTGGGAAGGCTCGTGAACATTCCCCAACAAAGGCTTTTCTGGAGGAAAAGGTGCCTTCAGCCAGGGACCAACCAGGTGGGAAGGCCTCACCCACAAAGGAACATCCTTCAAGAGGAGACCAGTCTCCCACCAGGGATGTTCCCAAAGAGAAATCTGCAAGTCTCCTTCCAAAGGATGAAAGCGATAGGGAGCCCTCTCCTACCAGGGTCAGTACCCGGCGCACGCCATCGCCGAGTAAGGGGCTTCCCACCGATAGGCGTCCCTCTGATCTCGAGAAACTTCCTAGAGAGACCACAGATGGCATTCAGAGAGACAAAGAACCAGTTAGAGAGTCTCCGGTCAAGAAGGAACCTTCTCCTTCGAAGGAAATTCCGCAAAGGATTTCCTCGCCAACCAAGGAGCACGAGGTCAAGAAACCTTCAGATGAGAAAACCCCGAAAGCAGGTTCTCCGAGTGGCACTCGTTCTAATGTCAGAACGCCTTCACCTAGCAAGGAGCCTACAAAGGAGAAAGTGCTTCCTTTTGCAAAGGACAAGGCACCATCACCAACAAAGGACTTTGACAAAGGTCATAGGCCAGACACCGGTCAACGCTCCCCAGAGCGAGGCTCCCCTCCCAGGTTTGAGGAAACCAAGGTTTCCACCATCGTTTACACCACTCAAATGACGGACTCTCAAGGCAGAGCTCCCTCACCCGAGAAAGGGTCCCCTAAGAAAGGAAGGGACGAGCCCGATGGCAAACCAAAGTCTCCCACCCGTCCTAAGGCTAGAGCTCCCAGCCCTCCCAGGCGAGTGTCACCTGACACCGAAACCGTTACAGAGGCGGGCAGAACGGTTACAACGAGGGTGATTGAGCGCGGCGGTACTACGATAACAAAGTTTACGCGAGAGACACAGGTGCTTGAAATACCGCCAGACGGTTGGTATCTCAAGGAGGCAATCGAACAAAAGCTGTTTGATGCCAAGGAGGGTCTCTTCCTGATCCCCGGTACCGACAGGCTCGTTTCCTTGGAAGAGACTCTGAAGATGCAGATTGTGAATCCCAATTCGGCGACGGTTCATGAACCGGGCTCGAAACGAACCCTTTCCCTGATACGGGCTTTGGAAAAGAACATTCTCGACTCGACGGGCCACTACCACGATACCAAGAATAAGGAGACGCTGACAATGGAAGAAGCCATCAGGCGAAAAGTCATCATTTTGCTCGAGCGCATGGACTACTGGACTCCCGAGCAGGCAAGGCCCAGGTCAATCCATGTGACAAAAGTCAGCGGTCAACCAGATGTCGTAGAGGTCAAAGAAGGCTCAGAAGCAATGCCCAAGGAAATTCCCAAGCAGGACTTTCCCAAATTTTCTGAGATTGCTTCCGAGGTGACATTTGACAATGAGTCGCTGACTGTTGTCGACAAGGGTTCAGGAACTACAATGGACCTGGTGTCTGCCCTTCAGACAGGTGTTGTGGATGACAGTGAGTTTGTTTTCCGGGACGAGGAGACAAAGAAGGAAATGCGGTACAGTGAAGCAGTTGAGAAGGGAATCATAGACAAAGGTACTGGCACTTACAAAGACGAAAAGACTGGCCATACCTTCAAGCTCGGAGAGGCGGTCAAATTGGGTCTTCTTGCCATTGCGGCTTCTCCCATGATCGTGGGTTTGAAGGCAGCCGAAGCTGTGCGGGGCTTGAGGTCTGCTCGAGACGAAGTCACGCACGCAACTGCAGTTGGCACTGAGCCCATTCGAGCAACCAAAGAAACCACCAAGATAATTCGAACGGCAACCCTGCACATCCGCGACGCCGAGACTGGCCGGGAAGTGCCACTGGAAGAAGCGGTGTCACTTGGGCTCATTGATGCCGAGACGGCCAAACAACTGGAAGAGCAGTCTAAGACAACGGAACAGACTGTCCATACGACCACGACAGTCATGGTTACAGATCCCGTAACGGGAGAGAACATCACCCTAGATGAAGCACTCCAGAGAGGCCTTCTGGACAAAGAAGCGGTCGAGAAGCTGGAGAAGGGTGACGTGACCGGCGTTGTCACGACTTTGGAGACTTGCTTGCAGGATCCAGACAAGGGCACTACGCTGGCCTACCAGGAGTTCATGACAAAGCCCAAGGGTGAAGTGTCTGAGCAGGTGAGGGAAGAGAAGAGGAGGGTTTCACCCACCAGACCCTTGCAGGCAAGCTACGCTGAGCCCAAGTTCGAAGTCACTCTGGGCAGAGCGACTACCCTGCAGTCTCCTGAGAGAGAGGTTGTGATCCTGCAGAAGGTCAGAAGGCGGGCACTCACCCCAAAAGATGCGGAGAAAGAGGGCATCATTGACAAGGCTGCCATGGACATTCTCAAAGACGTAGACTCCCTGAAAGACTCGAAGGGTAGACGCGTAGGGCTCGATGAGGCCATCAAACTGAAGCTGGTCGACGGCACCAAGGGTGGTGTCCTGGAGCCCAGGCAGGGCGACAAGGTCTCCATTACGGAGGCGGTGTCTCAGGGTCTCCTTGATACCAACACGGGCCGGGTCCTGGTGCCGATTGGACGATGCCTCTCCCTGCCCGAGCTTGTCTCTCAAGGCATCGTGAATCCAGACACGCAGCGTATCGTTCACCCGGAGACCGGTTCCTGCCTGACTCTCCAGGAGGCCATCCTTTGTGACATTGTGAACCCCCTCTCCAGGGTTCCCGGTCCGACCAAGAGGTCGACCCTGACCCTCGAGGAGGCAGTGGCATCCGGTGTCATCGACGAGGAATCCGGCATGCTCAGGACGCCTTCTGGTTCGATGACCCTCGTGGATGCGGTCCAGAAGCACAAGGTCTTTGAGCAGCCTAAGGCTTCCAGGTCGGACAAGCTGATACCGATGCTCGCACTCACATTCCCCGTGGCGCTGCAACACGGCTTTATTGACACTAAAGCAAAGACGTTTACTCACCCTGTGACTAAAAAAAGGATGCCCATCCAACAGGCCATCAAGGATGGTCTGCTGTTGCCAATCCCGTCCAACCCTGATCCCGACAGCCTTCATGTTTGCGAGGCCCTTGACCGTAACCTCGTTGACGAGAAAAAGCAGACACTTAAGCACCCGCGAACGGGAGAAGAGATTCCAGTCATAGATGCCATGGACTCTGGTCTGTTGCAGCTTTCTCCCTTCGACAAATCCAGGGTGGTTCCCCAGACAAGAGTAGACACCCAGTTCCAAGACACAACCCGAACTATGGTAACCTCGCATTACACTACACTGACGCGACAGACAACCGTGATCCTCAAACCCGGCTACGTGATGCTGGGTCCAAACCAGGTTAAGAATGTCGACACCGGTGAGGTTATATCTTTTGAGAGGGCCAAGGAGTTGGGGGTAGCCGAAGTGGAGACTTCCGAGGGTAGCGAAAGGCCGACGTTCTCGGACGCCGTGAGGCGAGGGCTAGTAGACTTCCAGCGTGGCGTCTACACAGATGTCGTGCGGGGCATGACTATGCCAATCAGTGAAGCGATTTTGGAGGGGCTCTTGGAGCAAGACAGGGTTGAACCGGCCCAGCCTGGCAAGTACACCATCATCCAGGTGTTTGAGTTGTACTATGATGAGGTAATTTTCTTGTTCAGGGTTCCCAACGTCAGCCAACCTTTAACGTTCGAACAGTTGCTAGAGCGTGGCTATCTCGATCTGAATGCCGTCATCTATGACATGAGCGAGGGGGTCATCATGACCACTGAAGAAGCGATCGAGTCTGGCCACATCGACACAAAGACTGGGAAACTGAGGCGAGAAGGCCAGGAGCCTGTGTCAATCAAGGATGCCATCAGGGCAGGGCTTTTGGTGGCTATCGAAGCGCCGCTTTTGGCTACCTTAAAAGGAACGGAGAGGTTGAGACGTATACCTCCCGCGAGGTCACCCGTAGACAAGCCTCAAAAGGCTACGAAAGGAAGGTCACCATCACCTCCCAAGGTCACCTCTCCTAAGAAGGGTAGCCCGAGGGAACAGTCACCCACGAAAGAGATTTCCACAGGGGAGGCTTTGCCGAAGGCGACGCAGGAAGCACCTACAAAGGGGGCACCAGCCAAGGCATCCCCATCGAAAGAATTGCCAGCCGAAACTGGTAAAGATTTTAAGCCCGGCTCTCCCATAAAGACTCCTCGAGGTGAGTCTCCAAGGAAAGAAGATAAGCCCATACCAGGGGAGAAAGCTCCGGATGAGACCCCTAGAACCCCCAAAGATGTGCAGTCACCGGTGAAGACGTCCCCATCAAAAGAGCCGTCAGCTGATGCCGGCGAATACTTTAAACCTGGTTCACCTGGAAAGACTCCAAGAGGTGTTTCTCCAAGCAAGGAAGATAAGCTGGCACCAGGAAAGAAAGCACCGGATGAGACTCCTAGAACCTCCGAAGGTAGGCAGCCGCCAGTCAAGACGTCCCCATCGAAGGAGCTTCCAGCCGACACTGGTAAAGATTTTGGACCCGGTTCACCTGGAAAGATTCCACGAAGTGAGTCTCCAAAGAAGGAAGATAAGCCAGTGCCAGGGAAGAAAGCACCAGGCGAAACTCCTAAAGCTTCCGAAGATGGGCAACCAGCGAAGGCTAAAGCACCACTCGAGAGATCGCCAAGTCGAGAGGTCAAAGAGCCAGGCCCACCGACAAGACCACCACGAACAACTCCCTCACCTGGGAAGGACACAAGGGAGAAATCACCAACAAAAGAAGCACCAACCAAGGCTCCCACTAAAGAGGTACCATCAAAAGTTCCCAAGTCACCCACCAAAGAAGCACCAGTGAAGCCAACAGAAAAGGTGTTGACTAAGGAGGGTCCAACAAGGCCAACTGACAAGGCGCCAACAAAGGAAGTTCCTTTGAAATCTTCCAAGGAGACGCCCACTAGAGGAAGTCCAAGCAAGTCTCCCACAAAGGACATGCCTTCCAGAGGAGCACCGACGTCGACTCCAACGAGGCCAGGCCGTGCGTCAACGTCGCCCGGAAAAGAAACTACACCGTCCACTTCGCGGCAGACGGTGCAGACGGCGGTCAAGACTAACGTCTTTGAAAGTCCGGAACAGCAGCAGGTTGCTCCGTTCAGCAGCGTTTCAGAACACGAGGTGAAGTTGACCACCACGGGAGAGTGGGTTCCCACCAAGGAGATGTCCAGCTTCAGCAGCACCGAGGTGGTCGTGAAGCAGACGTTCACGGAGTTCAGGAGGGACTACGAAGCGGAGATTGTCGTCGGCGACCAGCTGTCTGTACGGAACTTGCTCCGTGGGGATGTGCTCGCGCCCAAGAACTTCACAGTGTTCATCCCGAGCTCCGGACGAACGATGCGGCTGGAAGATGCTCTGGAGACCCGCCAGGTAACCGAAGACAGCATTGTCATGGTGCGAAGCATGAATGAGCTCGTCCTCATGGACATCGGTCGGATCGTCCCGGACTTCACCCTGGACTACGCGGTCAGGGAAGGCTTTTACAACCCAGACAAGAAGAGCTTCACCAACCCCAGGACCGGAAAGCCCATCTCCTTCTCGGATTTTGTGGCGCAGAAGTTTGTGGACTTGTCAGACGTCAAGGTCAAGGACTACAAGGCCAAGGAGATGGTGGACTTGAAGACGGCTATCTCGCGGAACATCGTGGACCGCGAGACTGGACAGATGACTCACCCCGAAACGAGGCAACGCATCTCGTTCTTCGACGCCTTCGTGCTCTGCTGGATCGTCCGCGAGTCGGTGGTGCACAGCAGATCGGAGTCTCTTACGCTAACCCAGGCAATCCGTGGGCTCGGCTATGACGAGGAAAAGGTAACCTTCAACCACCCGACCTTGCGGGTCGCTTTGAGCTTGCACGAGGCGCTTAGCTGCGGCCTGATAGATCCGTCCTCGGTTTTGGTGTACTGCGGCGAGTCGGACGAGCTCGTGCCACTGACGGAGGCACGGGAGGAGCTCGCGAGCATACCTGATGACAGCTATTTGCACCCTTTTACGGGGCACCCCATGAGCTTGGAGGAAGCATTCCGTAGCGGTTACCTCGTGCCCGACCGCGCTTCGCTGAGCCTTCCCGTCGCTGTGGAGAGGGGCATGTACGACAAAGACCTGCGCATTTTCGTCCACCCAGATTCGGACGAGCGCTTGAACGTTCTGCAAGCGCTGCAGCACGGCTTGGTCGACGGGTTCTCCACGCTGGTGGTGGATCCGGAGACCAACGCGCACATTCCGCTCAGCCGTGCGGTGGAGCTTGGTGTCGTGAGCGTCGGGGACTGCGGCGCAGCCTCGCTTCCACTGGAGCTGGCCATCTGCCGCGGCCTGGTCGCGGAGAAGCGCAAGTGCCCGACGAAGCAGATCACAGACCCGAGAACGGGAGAGCTCGTTAGTCTCTGGGACGCGATCGACGAGGGGCTCATTGAGGCAGAGAGGCTCATGGTGAAGGACCGGGAGGGTTTGCGCGTGGTGCCTTATTTCGAGGCGGTGCGGCTCGGACTAGTGGACGACGCCGATGGTTCGTATCGCGGTCCTCCGAGGCTGACGGCGGACGAGGCTCTCTTGAGAGGCCTCGTCGTCGACTCCGCCACTCCCATGCCTCTCCAGAACGCGCTCGAACTCGGCTTGTACAGTCCGGCCTCGGGTACACTGAGGCATCCGGTCTCGGAGCGCGAGCTCACCGTGAAGGACGCGATCAAGGAAGGGATGATTGAACCTGACGTTTTGACGATCAAAGTCCCACACAGCGGGGAGATGCTGTCGCTGTCGGAAGCGATGTCCACCGGTCTTCTCAATCCGATCTTGGGGACGGTGTTCGACTCTGAGGAGAGGGTAGACGTCGACCTGTACGAGGCTGCAGGACGGGGCATCGTGCTTCCGGTGGCCAAACTCCTTCCGTTGTCCGAAATTGTCTTGAAGAAGTTCTACGACCCGGTGAGTGGACTAGTGTCAAGTCCCTTTTCCGACCACCCGCAGTCCCTGCGCGATGCGATGCGCTCCAATTTTGTGAGTACGTCCTCGACGGTGGTTTGCTGTGAGGAAGGGCCCATAACTTTTCGAGAGGGAATCAACCGAGAGCTGGTGGACGCCAGGGCAGGGATCTTGTGGGTAGGTGGAGAGCCCATGGATTTGAGGTCGGCTTTTGAGAGGGGCTACCTTATTGATGTGCCTCCTCCCCTTTCACTTCGGACTGCTATGTCGCTCCAGTTAATCGTACAGGAGAACGGACGAGTCCTCGACCCAGAAACGGGTGACACTCTGAACTTCATTGAAGCGATAGACCGTGGCCTCATTGACGGCACGTCCACAAAGGTGATGGTTAGTTCTGGAGAGGACTCCAAGGCCATAACTCTTTCAAGCGCGATGGATTGTGGGAAAATAGACAAGCACACCTCGAGTTACGTGACGGACGACGGGACATTGATTCCGTTGCAGACGTGCTTTGAGGAGGGCCTCGTTATCGACGTTCAGCCAGGATTGTCACTCCAGGAACTCGTAAGGAACGGACAGTACCTTGACGCCTCCAACAGACTTTGCCTTTATGGGTTGGATCACACGGTCACTCTGAGCGAAGCCGTTGTGAAGAGGCTCCTCGACCCTTTTCTGCCTTTCTGTTCGCCATCCGAAAACCGGTTCGTCATGCTGGCCGAGGCGTCCAAGTCCGGTCTGATCGAACTTCAGTCTGGCTTGGTGAAAGATACGAGGCAGCTGGTGAAAGTTCCGCTGTTGGAAGCGTTGGAGGCAGGTGTCGTGATTGATCTGGATAAGCGATTCAGCTTGCAAGAGGCCGTAACTCTCGGATTCTGTAACCCAACGACTGGAAGAATCTTGCACCCGGTTCGAGGCTACTACATGAACCTGAAGGAAGCGTTAGATTGTGAGGTTCTTACAGCTGATGACACCTACGTGAAGGATCTGCACTGTGGGACTTTCTTGAGTTTGGACGATGCCATCGAGATCGGCCTGATTGATCCCGTTCACAACAGCTACACTTCGCCGGATGTAGATTTCAGCCTGCACGAAGCGGTCACTGACAAACTAATAATTTATGGTAGTGTTCCATTCAGTTTGGTTGACTTGTTTAGCAACCTCCTGTTTGACAAAGAAACTTGTCAGTTTGTTGACCCAAGGTCATCTCAGCATCTCAGCATTGAAGAAGCAGTGGGCTCTGGTCTGTTGGACGACACAAGCCCATTGCAAGACCACGAATCGGGAGAGCTGACAACACTTGCGGCGTTGATGGAAATGTCGGAATCAGACTTTGGCCTCCACAGGGTATGGGACGTGGTCTCGGATGTTCAGCTTCCAGTTTGTATCTATTTCGAAGGGGATGTCCTGAAGATCCGACACGTCTCTTTGTCGAGGCGAGCGAGCGAAGCGAATCTTGCCGGCGAACCAGTAGTTCGCATAGGAAACTTGCAATTGGGGTTGAGGTCATCCGAAGCATTAAGAGGTACTGAGGGAAGTGATCTTGTGCGGGGAGGCTTACGTCGAAGTTTGTCAAAAAAGGCAAAAAAGGGTTTTCCTAAACCGGTGGAGCAAAGCGGTGCCATTGTTTCTGATCATGGCATCAGCAAAGATATCAAATATGCTTCCAAGAAGACGTTGGAACTGAAATCGAGTGGCAAAGTAGAAGCCGGTGACAGTGTGCAAGAATCTTTGTCCCTGGAGCCATCTGCACCGAGCGGAAGAGAGTCCCCGATTACAGAAAAGAAAGGCATAGAAAAGGATGACCTTCGGTTCTCAGTGCAGAGAGAGCTGGTGCAAGAAACTGTGTCTGCAGGGGAGGTACTTCCAGTCATCAAAGAAACCGACCCCGAGGGTCGCTTCGACACGCTTTCACCCAGGCAGGATGAGGAAATGCCACTGTCCGGCGGCACTCCCAAGGAGAAATTGCCTTTTCCCGACGTAACGGACCAAACCGCCCACTTTGTCGTGTCCATGGATCACGGTCAGCCATTTGCAACGGGCATGCCCACATTTCGAGATTTCGGAGACACGCTCGAACGAGAAAGCACTCCTTTCGACTACGGAAGCACAACGGGCCCCTTTGGAGTCATCGATTGGACGGAGAAGGTCCGTGCTCCGTCCAAGAATCCTTTGGACGAGGTGACGGAAGGAGAATTCGTTGATGTTTCAGCACCCGACTTCAGCGAAAGATTTCTGCTACAGAGCCCAGATTCGGCAGCATTGTCTGAAAGCACTGTCACCCCTTCGTACACTTTGGAGGAGATAGTGACACCGGTTTCGACGCCAGAAACAGTGGAAATGCCACTGATCGTTTCGAGGGTAGATTCCGAAGCCTCAGAGGCACCGAGCTCGGAGTTTTGTTTTCCTTTGGAAAGAGACTTTGGGCACGCTGCGGCACCGAGAGAAGCCGAAGTTCCGCGGCTTAGTTCGAAAGTTTCTGTAACTCCGGAGGATGCAGTAGGCGAAGACCTTGGCCAGGTTTTATTTCAAGCGCAACTGCACACGTCAAGCGCAAAAGGAGAAATGGCAAACGAGGGGATTGATAAGGAATATGTCGCAGCTGATTTTGCAAAAGTGACTCCAATAAATCGGCGCCCAGAGAAACAGCAGGCACCAGCTCTTTGGAGAAAGAGAGTTTCGTTCGAGATTCATGATCCTAGTGCAGCGACGAAGGAGACATCTGGTCCGAGCTCGAAGGTTCCAAGACGCCGCCGTAAGTCGGCGTCGGATGCAGGCCTTGCGGATGACAGTGTATGTTCATCCTTCGTTTTGGATGAGAGCAAACATTTCGCGACATCTGAATACAAACCCGAAAGTGAGAGATTGGACCTACCTGAGGTTTCAAGTTCAGGGGAGGAACTCGAGGAACAGGGCAGAGTTCAACTTGAGAAACCAGAAATTCTTGAGCCTGCCACTGCCGACTCCCCTGCATTAAAGTTTGTGGATTCACACAAGGATCTCAAAGATGAGGTTGTGCATAAACGGGACATTCAGACAACCGAGAGGGTCGAAGAGCCCCCTTCAGCAGAACCATCCGTTGCAAAGAAACAGTCCGAGTTGGCTGTCGATCAACGTCAAGACAGTTATGAAAAGCCTTTGATTGTTGAAGCCAGTCTGACCGAGAGTACCACCGACGACGAAACTGCAGAAGAGTTCTTGCTGTTCGAACCGGAACCTTTGGCTGTCGGGGCCGTTTGCGACCACGTAGTTGACGCGTACGAGCGGTCGCAAAGCAGTATTTTGTTAAGGCAAAAGCCTTCCAGCTCGCAACCAAGTGAGCCATTAGAAGACTCTACACTTGCCGAGACCACTACTGAAGTGCAGCAAAGTTCCAGGTCTAAAACGGCCGACCAAGACGAATCGGATGGTGTAGGGAAGCACCATCCTGCGAGAACGAGCGCAAAAAGATATGCACAAAAAGGGGAGGACATTTCTTGTGAAACCAGAGACAAACTTGGGTGGAAAGCTGGTTTAAAGGCACACATTGGCCCAGAAGAGAGGCCTCCGAGAAAACTCTGCGACGACCGCGAGGAACGCTCTGTTGTGGTCCACGTCGAGACCGCCGACAACGGTGCGGGCGTCGATACAGTAAGGGTAGAGATTGCCGAAAACGTCTCTGGCAGCACGTCTCCGGAGGAGGAGCACCCTATGGAAGCACAGTTTGAGAGGGGACCGATGCCTGGGGGAACCTTTATCCACTTAGAACAGTACATAGAGGTGGACACCGGAGGGTACGACCAACCAAAGGTGCAGCAAGGTCCCGGTACATCTAGAAAGCAGAGCAGGTTTGCTGAAAGGTTGGGTTCTCGTGCTCAGTCCCGGGAGAGCCAACCAACAAAAGCTGAAGGGTCGAGGCAGAAGCCATCAAGATTAGACCCGGCTAAGAGCGGGGGTGCTAAGTCGGTAGGGGAAGATGAGCCATCTTGCATGACCAGCATCGCCAAAGACTCTGTGGAATCCAAATCCCTTTTGGCTGTTTCTGGCACGAAGGTCACTGACATTAAAGCTTCCTCTAGAAAGGAGGCTAAAGTTGACCCCAGTGGTAGAGCTGCCCCCGTTCCTTCTGCCTCGAGAAAACTTCCATTTTTGGAATTGGAACCTCGCCGAAGAACCTCCGGGGAAGATCGACCCGAGTCTTCACAGACTGGAGAAACGGCACCCGTTACAGAATCTGTGCATTCCGAATTCACAATGGCCACAAGACGCTCCCGTGACGGTACGTTTCCAAAGAAACCAGACTCCAAGGACGACCGTAAGCCCACGAGCGCGCCGCCACAGACCGTCCGCTCGGACCGTACCTCAGGTGAGTGGAGAGACGTGCTGAGGACGGTGGGGGGCATTCTAGACCCAGACACTATTCTTGTCAAGAACACTCTTGATAAAACTGTCCTCAGCGTCGAGGACGCAGTTCGAGAGGGCATTCTGGACCTGGACTCCGAGACTGTCCTGGTCGCGACGGACTGCGACCGCCTTTCGTTCGGTGACGCACTCGCGCGTCGCATCTTTGTGTCTCCGCAAAGTCCGCTGTCATTTGTGGAGGCACTCGAGTATGGACTGTACCGCCCGTCGGAGGGGCTCGTCTTCTTTCCGCCCACGGGGCAGTGGCTGCCGGCAGGCGAGAGCCTCATGAGGGCTCCCTGGGTCGACCTCGCGGGAACATTGGTGAGGGATGGGGCGTCCGGGCAGTGGCTGACGTTGGCCGAAGCGGTTGAGCGCGGGTTCTTGGACCTGAGCAGCGGACAGTTGCTGGACAGTGCGACGGGACGCAAGATCAACGTCGTCGAGGCCGGGGAGGCGGGGCTGATCTGCTCGACCGAGGAAAGGGTAAGATGCCGTGCGGTGTGGGAGGGAGGGGGAGGGGTCGGCAGGGGGATCTCTCGGTTGGCGGCTGTCGGGACGGAATGCGAAGGTAGGAGAGGCCGCGTGGACCTTGTCGTCTATGCGCCCAGTCTGAATCTTGAAGAGGAAGTCTTTCTCTTTCTGAAACTGGCATCTTACAGCGGAAAAGTGTGAGCCAAATTTTTAGACCATTTGCTCCTTTAAGAGTTTCGTTTCTGCCTGGGATAACTGTTAGCTCCTTTCACTTTTGAGGCCTCAGTAGCACTCCTTAAGTCGCGAGGCAAGTGTTGCTCGAGTGTCTGTAGATTTAGTTTTGGTATCAAGGTATTGCCACCTCGAGTGTTCCGTCCCGTCTTGCTGTCTGCTGACAGATCCTCGTCGATCTCCCCCTTCCTCTCACAGTCTCCCTGAGCTTGCCTCCCTCTCAGAGGGGAGCATAGCCTTAACAAGGAGAGACTGGGAGGTGGTTTCCCCTGCACTGCATCGTCTTCCTCGAGTGCACCACTCACATGTTTGCTCCACGACGGTTTCCCTTTTCCCCCCCTGGTGAAGCGGTTAGCAGTTCCATCGCAATTGGTCCGCAGGCACCAAGAGGGCGATGATTCCGAGTCGAATTTTCGTGGCTGCTTTTTTTTGCTTGGCTACAGGTTGCTCTTTTTGATTCTATTTATCTGTGTTTGGTTCGAGCACGGTTGCTCTTCTGTTTGTCTCGTTTGACGTCATAGTTTTTGCCCTACCATTTTTGCGAATATTGCATTCCTAAACGTGATATGCCTCATGCTCTAATATGTTTGGGTTTGTTCGTACAACATGTGGCAACTTTTGGGTTGCACTATTGGTCATTTTGGATACCTTTTGGCTTAATTGTTTTCATAACAAAAAATAATTCCCTGACTTTTTTGTAGGAAGTTCTGGGTATCTTAGAACTAAGTATTAAGATTTTTTTTTACTCTGTCGTTTTTGCAATCGTGAACATCAGGTAACTAAGTGACGTGAAGCGGATGCCACTTCGGCATTGCTGGTGAAACATTTTGCACTCTGGGCACCGGGTGTCACATTTTTTGTGCTTTCACCGTGCACCGGTAACAGGGATGCGTCACTTGTATCTTGGTGGCTTAGCTAACCCCCCTAAAGACGTCGTCTAAACTCCCCTCGAATCGTCCACCGACTAACTCTTCCTCCCAGCACCCGGAACCTGGAGAACGAAACGACAAAGGCTTTCACCGTCGGTTGCAAAAGTTTGGCACAACATCTGCTTTGGCTGTTCCCCGACGCATTTTGTTTCATCCCCTCTGGGTTGTTTTTTCTTCCTTCCCTCCTCTTCTGCCCCTTGCTCGTGCAACAGTCGGCCATGCAGGAGAAGTACAAGAGCTGCGATGAGAGCATCACCAACCTCGTCTCGTGGATCGGAGAGATCGAGATGCGCCTCGCCAACCTCGGCAACGTCTACGAGGATGTCGACGGGCTGCGTCACCAGATCGGAACCGCTAAGGTTGGTGCTCTTCCGTTGCTGCGCTCGTCAGTTCCATGGGACCCCGCTTTCGTGCATTATTGTGCCGGGCGAAAGGTTTGGAACAATCGTGCATAATCAAGGACTCTTCTTAGATAATGCATGCAGTTTCTTCCGAATAGCAGTGCTCTAGGAGATTTAAAGGTAATACTTCGTAGCAATCTTTTCGTCTGGAAAGTGGCTTTTGCGCTTATTTTTCTGTTCCTTGCGGATCTGTGTAGAGAAATATAGAAAAATGTTATGGAACCTTGGTGTTAGAATTAGTGCATTTCTAGGACTTGACAAAAAGCCTTCCTTGCATTAGTCGCTGTATAATAAATAGATCAAGGCTGCTGTTCTCCGCATTTTTGTTTTGTCTGTGGTAGTTTCCCCATTCTTAAGTGTTTGCATTTCCTAGCAGACATTGACTACACTAGTTCGTAGCTAGTGCAGTCTGCTAGTACAGACTGCAACAATGGTGTGCCATGACTAGGATAGGCTTTTCAGTTTTATTGAAGCGCTTCATCATATAAATCGCAGGCATTAGTAGGGTTGCCCCAAGTTCACCTCTTGCAAGATCTTGCTGTAATGGCTCTTTAGTAAGTCTGATTAAGAGACTGTGGGTTTTGTCGCATTGAGCTTGACGAACATTAAAAGACTTGCCCGTCTCTTTGGTAGGTCCCAAAGGCACTCTAAATTCATTGCATTCACGGGTCCTCTGTTACATCACGGTCACTTGCTGTTCATGTGTCATCTCGCATTTTGTCGCATCCAAAAAAGAACCAAACATTTTAGAAGTACAGAAACGACTCGGTTTCTCACCTGTCCCTTCTCCGGTTGCAGACGATCAAGGAGGAGCTGGACCTGAACCAGAACCTGGTGTCGTCGTGCACAGACCAGGTGCGGCAGATCTCGCAGCAGGGCCACGACCTGCTCTCCAAAGAGGAGCTGGAAACCCTGCAGAAGGAGGTGAACAAGTTCAAGGGCCGCTATGACCACTGCCAGGACATGGGGGAGCGCCTGCTCAGGAGGCTCACCACTGCCCTCGAGGAACTGCAGAAGTACACGGTGAGTGCCAACCAAACGCTAACCTGCACCTTTAAAATGGGCGTTACACAGAGTCACGATGTACAAAACCAAAATGCGAAACGGCTAGGCCGGAATGCAGTCTCGAGATCCGCGGGCCGGTTGTACCAGCCACGATCGAGGTGAAAGCTCCAAGTATGAGCTTGGGTTCGAGATTCCGGCCTTGGAGCTGCTACGGCTGCTACAGAATGATAATATTATTAATCAGTTCATTGGCCGATTGGTGAACAAATCAATCGTTTTATTCATCTCGTAAACAAAATGACATCTAGCCTTACTTCACTACCAGCGTCTACCAGCGTAGGTATTTTCTTTGCATGTGTGTTAATTAGCTGCCGTCCTATTTCAGTTTTTATGCGTGGACTCTAAAACGCTAACTCTATCTTGTTTTCCTTTTTGCAGAGTGAAATGCAAGTGTTCAAAGACTGGCTGAGCAATGCGCACAAGATCCTGACCCGACACGAGGAACTGCTCAGCGACATCAGGAACATTGCGGACAATGCCGACCACTACAGGGTGAGTTAGAGCAATGTTTGTGCAACTTGGGGATGTGAACGTCCTGTGTGAAGCAAACAGGTCAGCAGAGAATCCCCGCGTAGTTTCTCAATTAAATGTTTTTCCTTCCCGCTGCAGACATTCTCCAGCGACGTCATTGCCCACCAGGCAGACCTTCGTTTCATCACCATGGCTGCCCAGAGATTCGTCGACGAGTCCAAGGTGAGATCTTGGATGCCGTTTTTCGGAGGCTTTTGTCGGCCAAGTTTGACCTTAAGCAGCATTTGGGAAGGATCACGAGATTTCTTCCAGTTGCTCTTTTTTAAGTTGTGCAGTTTCATATTGATTCGAGTCCAGCACATGTCCTCGTACATATTATTTGTTCTGGTTCATCAGCCTATTGGTTTTAGGTTTTTCTATCTTGAAAAAAAATTGTCATTTATGTGCGTCTTGTTTAGGGGGTTTACTTTTCTCTTGAGGAGATTCGTGTATCTACGGACTTTTTGGGGACTGCTAGCATCAGTCCTCAGTCGTGCTTTTAGGATTGGTGTTACCTTAAAAAAAACATCACTTACCATTTTTTGATGCACTGTTTCGTAGTACGGTATAGCTCATATAAACCGGTGCAGGATCTTTTTACTACCATTAATCTGAACGGGGGATTGGTCATACGCTTTGTCGCGAAAATGGTCCCCAGTGTGACACGAAGATGACTATTGTTTTACTTTCCCGCAGGACTACCTCCGCTCTCTGAACGACTTCCGCACCAACCTTCCGCGGCGCCTTGGCCACGTGGAGCCGACGGAGAGCGAGGTCAAGTCGCAGGTGGGCCAGGTGACCACCGACTACCAGAACCTGCTGAACCGGGTTAACCGGCTCGGAGACCGGTTCTCCGGCCTGGGAGACCGCAAGCGCAACTACCACGACTCCGTCGAGCGGGCCACCACCTGGCTCAACGAGGCGCAGCGCAACGCCAAGCGGCTACTCGAGGAGCCAACCGCGGCAGAGCCGAAGGCGATCCAAGACCAGCTCGACCGCGTGCGGGCCTTCAACCTGGAGGCCGTCGGGCAAGGGCGGCTCATCGAGACAGCCAAGCACGCCGCCCAGTCGCTGCTGTCGAGCCTGGAGGGCGCAAGCGCGGCCGAGCGGAAGCAGATCGAGGAGACCGTGAAGAACTTGGAGGAAGTGTACCAGCAGATGCTGGGGCTGATCGGGGACAAGAGCAACGAGCTGCAGACGGCACTGGTGCACTCGCAGGACATCCAGGACGGGCTGGACCGCGTGCTCCGCTGGCTCGACGACGTCGAGTCAAGCCTGCGGAACCAGAGCAAGCCTGCCAGCCTCATCAGGGAGCGACTGGATGAGCAGGTAGGGTGGTTTCTCGGTTTTGTATCAGCAGTGTTGACTTGGTGCTGTTGCTGCTTCTTGCGAAGTGTCCGATACTCGAGCCGCGTAAATCTCACCTTTTGTACAGTGGGCACATGCCAGAAGCTGGGACCGTGTTGAACGGTGCATTCAGTCTAGCCACTTCATCAACAGTGTTAACTTGGGGTGTCGCAGTTTCTCATGAAGTTTCTGACAGGATTCAAAGTTGTACTGCGTGAAACTCCTATCCAGCGAATTGTTTTCTTCTTGGCACAATGATGCAGCTAAACCAGGTTTCGTTTAGAATTGTACGCTCTGTTTAGTCTTTTTTGGGAGCCAAGCAGACTATAGTAGTACAGTTTTGAGCATGGAGTATTAAATCGAAGCTAACTAGAACAAATGCTAAGCCTACTACTTTTAGCATCTTTTTGGTTGCCTTCTTTACATTTGTAGCACACATTGCATTAGCACACAGTTATTTGTCTTCTCTTCCGATTATGTTTGTGCTTTGTTTCAGTTCACATATGCCCCTGTGAAATTGTGCCTCAATTATATTTTGGCAGCAGAATTTACTTCTGTGCTAGATGACACCTGCTAACTTTATTGAATGACTCTAGTCCTTTCCTTTCCCCTCCTGGAAGTTTATCCGTGTGTTCTGTGAGAATCGAAACACTAAAAAGCAATGACCAAATAAAAAAAAACACACGCAGTGCTAAAAAAAAAAAAAAGAAACACATAGAAGAGACCTAGACATCTCCCCTATTTGTCTGTCATTTTTTTTTTTTGGCTCTTTAATTCTTAGTATACAGTACCAACTAGCCCCAATAGATATTCTCGTACGAGTGTCGCACGTGTCCCCTCCAGATCCACGAGCACCGGGTGCTGCAGTCCGAGATCGACAGCCACCGCCCGGCCATCGACGCCATCAACTCGTCTGCCCGGGAACTGCTGAGCAGCTCCAACGCTCGCCTCGCCAAGAAGGTGGAGTCCAAGCTCAAGGACGTCAACAGCCGCTTCGAGAAGCTCCACGAGAAGTCCGTCAGGCGGGGAGAACTGCTCGACGAGGTGGGTACCTCCCTAGTTGTTCTTATGCGTTCGTCTTGTGGTACGCAAGCAGAAGAGTGGGTTTTCAGACTGGTGTGCTGACCTGTAGGGAACATTAGAAAAATTTTGGCCATTTCTAGGGAATTATTGGTCCCCACCCCTCCAAAAATTCCTCGAGAGCTGTTTCCCGAGTACATTGTTTGATTTTTTCCAAGTTGGAGAAATATTCGCTCCTCTTTCCTCTATGCTGCATCCATCTTGTCGTGTGCCGTGCAGGAAAGTTAACAACACCGGGGTTTGGTAGGGGCGACTTGTAAGGAAAATGAGGAAAAATCCCAGATATTTCCGGGGAATTATTCTTTCTTCCTTTGGAAATTCCTCGAAAGCTGTTTCCCAACAAAGTCCATAGCTTTCTTCGATGTTGAAGAAATATTCCCTCTTTCTTTTACGCTGCATGATATATTGTGTGATATATTGCCAACTCACACTTTGTTGAACATTCGACTGCGGCCCAGTACTATTTGCAAAGTAGAAAATTTTCGTACTGAGTAGAAAGTTAACATCAGTAAAAATGTTTTTACTCATATTCAGAACTCCAAATATTTGCAGTTCTAGTTTCTTCCTTGCTCAAGATAAAGGTTCTTCCTATTCCAGTGCGATTCACTGGTTTGGTGTTGTATCCAAACAAAAGCTAGAGACGTGGCACTGACTGCCCCGGCACAACTTGTTGTACAGGTGTCCAGCTGCCTGGACATGTTCCTGACAATGACCGGCCGGTTCGACGAGTGGTTTGCCAGCGTGCTCCAGAGCGTGGAGGGGCCCGAGGCCACTCGCGCGAGCAGTGAGGAGCAGATCACTCGCCTCGAGCACGCCATGAACCAGCGCAACTCGCGCAAGGACGAGTTCGAAGACCTTCTGCGTGCAGGCAAGGCCCTGTGTGCCAAACGAGACGTCACGGACACCACCCACATCCGTGACAAAGTAAGTCGCCACCGTTCGAGAAGATGGCAACGACCAAAGCCCCTCGACAAAATTTATGGTTCGCGTTTCTTACCAGTACCGACAAGCGTTGTAGCGCATATGCGCGAGTCTTTTGCCGCGAGCGATTGCTCTGTCACTGTTTGTTTCCAAGGGCCACACATTTGAGTGCTGCACTATGATTTTACTTCAAAGGCCACTACACACTTCGTGTAGTTGTGCTTTTGTTGCTACTTGTAAAGCAACAGAAAGATGCTGGCAGTGGCTGCATATTTTTTCAAGTATCTAAAACAAAGTATGTCAGTAACAAAAGTGTTAGGTGGGAGCTACATGAGAGACACGGACACACTTTGGCATCCGTGGCTCAGTTTATAACCAACAAAAGAGGCGGCATGCACCTGTTGTATGCCTATTTCAATTATGCGTACAGGGGGTATTGCGCCCAACGAATGTGTTATCGCAGCTTAGCTTTTCAACGGCAAATACAGTTACCAAGGGTCTTGTTGCGTTTATGTCGGTATATAGTAAGAGAGAAACATTTGAATTGCAGTAATGCTACCACAGATGTCATTGGTTTAGAGGTTCATCCACATAGAGTAGACAGTTATATCGGAATATTATGTAAATTGACTTTAAAGGTGGTAAAAGTCCTTGTGGATGTCGACAAAAAATATTATCCTATTTTTCACAGCAGTTTCTAAGCGGCTTAATAAAGAAACCTTTTTTTCGGCGCAAGACGGTGAAAAACGATAATGCATTTCAACTACAATGTGCGCGGGAATTTCGGCCAGAATTATTGTTTCCGCAGCTACGCGACTTTTTTGCGGGAGATGCCACCATTTATGACGGCGGTGTAGCTCTTCTGCGAGTGAAGCGGCTTGCATCTGAATGCATCCTTTGCGGCATCACGTGCAGCTGAAACAGCTGGAGCAGCAGTGGAAGGAGCTGGGCGACCTGCTGGCCGAACAGCAGCGCCAGGGCAGGGCCCGCTCCGAGCAGCACAGCGCCTACGAGTCTCTCCGCCTCAAGGTGCTCGACTGGCTCAACCACATGGAGGTACGCGTGGATGGCCTGGACGCCGTCGCCGTGGACCGGGAGGTGCTCAGGAGGCAGGCCTCCGAAGTCAAGGTGGGGTCCCCCGCTTATGTCCTCGTTTGGAGTACGAGACTCTTGAGCTGTCTTGGCATTGTCGAACAAAATTATGAAAAGGATTTACTATTCGAAGATGTTTGATTTGTCGCTTAGTTTACTTTCGGAAAGAGATTGAGGCATGTGGAAGCTTTTCTTCTTTTTCTTCCTAGAAGGGTAATGCGGAAGTAAAGGTCTTATTTGAGATTAATTGGTTGGGTTTCATGCTTCTTGGTTCTCCAGAATGCCAAGTTGTACGGGAAAAGCCCGCGAATGTTGCTGCCTTTCGAAATGCACGCTTTTGTGTTGCGAGGGTTGATTGTTGGTTCCTACGAAAGTGATGGCGAGCTATGAAGAGTTTAAAATTTGTTCTTTACGTTTTCCAGGTTTTTTTTGTTTTCTTCCGCTTAATTTCTGAAGTAATTACAGTCATACTTCGTTCACTCCTTCACTGACAGGGCGGTGGGGGCTTTGTGCTCGCCGGATCGTCTGTTCGCCTGCCTTCACCTCTGCTTCTTTCTGCGCATAGGTAGGGGCGAAGGCGCAATCACCTTTTGAAAGGTCGAAACACAACCTGTCCAAGAGGCAAGTTGCTTCCACCACCCCGTCAGCTTAGGAATGATCGGAGCGTAGTAGTTCGGTTGGTAGTTCCTTTGACCCAACACTGACCTCTCTGTTCCCGTTTGTCTCGAGATTCTTTCGTTTTAATTTCCGGGATAACTACAGTGAGTCATTGAGGGGAAGAGAAACGGCAGGGAGGAGTTTTAGTTGTCCCGCCACCTACGTGAGCACGCACACACAGCTAAAGCGTGGCAAAAGGCAAAGAGTGCGTGCCGGGCGTTCAAAGGACACGGCCTGTTGTGACTATAACGGTCTCGTTCGACACGACACCAACCTCTCGGCTCCCATCTCGCGGCGCAGCCCCTGGTGAAGGAGCACGCGGACTACGCCTCCACCATCGACCGGGTGAACGACCTGGGGCGCACCTACGACGCCCTCCTGCACCACGGAGAGAGCCCGCGCCGGGGCCCCGCGTCACGCGGCCCGGCATCCAGCCCCACTAAGAAGATCCCCGCGAGCCCGACCCGGGGCGTCAAGGGTACTCCCTCGAGCACAACCTCGAGTAGTGAGTACTACGCCAACGGCACGACGACCGGTGCGGCTGCAGGTTAGAGCACACCCCCTCCCCTCCCACCCTCTCCCGAGCAGCACCCCTCTCCCAAAGGCGGTAGCTTGCGCACTTTCCTCCTCGCCTGTTTCGGCTCTTGGAGGGACACTGGAATGGGTTTCGAGGTCGCAGGTGTTATCTCATCTTGCTTGCTGGACTTTCAGACTTTCACGACGCCGCTTCAATATGAAAGCTGGTGGGGACATTTGTGCGTAGAGGCCCGTTCGTGCGGTACCATCTGCTCGCGTTGCTTTTTACGTCTGCTTGCAACTGCGAGTTAGCGGTACATCCATACTTTGTGCACAACATATGGAGTGCAGATGATCCGGTGACTCGTACCATAACATAAGGAAACGTTAGTAAATCTTATGTGTGAATTAGCATGAAGTGTGACCGGCTACACTACGAGTACTTGCATTCCACTAGAGCTGGTTCCGTTCTGCCACGACGCATCGCGCAGAACTAGTCTGCCACAGCAGCGACCATCTTGTTGGGGGCAATCGTGAGTGGTCGTAACGCGATCGATTAGACTCAAATGCTCGTCGCTCTACGGAACAAACATTCAGTCTAAGAATTTTTCAGGAAAGTATCAATTTAATTCTTAAAAAAAAAAGGAAGAGAAAGTGAAGAGGCCAGTTTGTTTTCAGTGTCCCTCCAAAGTGCATTTGTTTGATTTTGGTTGCCCATCCCGACACCCAGCATGGTGGGCTTTGCGTAACACCAGTGTTCTTGTTTTAAATGAAGCTCGGGTGATTTGGGGGTGACGTGGCAATACCGCTGGCCATCGGCGATGCTGCGAAAGCTCTAGGCAGTGCGCAAGCGTAGCACTGGGCCAAAACCGAAGTATTGAAGAAGAAAAGAACAGATAAAATTACCGAATTAATAGAACTACTTTTGACACTTTGACGATATATTGTTCGGTTTTTGCTCACAACTTTGAATTAACTATTCCAGATTATGCCGAGAGAAACTATTTGGCTTAAAAACTGCTGGCTATACTTTTATAATTTTTTTTTTGTATCTCTTAAAGTAAAGAAGGGGTGTGTGTGTGTGCCCAACTCAGTTTTTCGGCACTTGTATTGCATATAACATTAGCTTAGCATTAAGTTATCCTTACAAGGATTTTGCAGCCTGACTGGGAAATTCCAAGGCTTGCATTTTTAACGGTCACCCCGCTTTTTGCACACACGCAAGAGAATCTTGCTTCCCGCCTTTGGATTCCACTCCTTATGACTGTCTTTGTAGATGCCATAAAAAGGTAGCTTGCTTGCCTATATGCTTGCCTGGTGTTTCCTTCTAACCCTCACAGCATGTGCACCAGCCATTTAGCTTCAGCTGATGTGTGCTGCTTGCTATCTGAGCACTCGTGTCAGTGTCCTTGAATTTTTCTTTCAATTTGATACTCGTGTGTACTTTCTTTTTCTCAACTTCTCTAACTTTTCCTACGTCTAGAAATCTTTTAGTGTCTCGTTTTTTTCTAATTCTTTCTAGGACTGTTGAAGTAGTCTTGAACCAATCTTTTGGAGACTTAACAATTTTTGCAGAGAGCAATTCTTTGGTCACTGACAAACCGCAATGCACCAGTTTCTGTCACCTAACCTCTAGTACGATTTGGCTGCCCTCAATGGTGGTTCGTCACATGATCTCAGAGTTGCATAAAGGGGCCCAACCTGAACCTTCATTAAGGGTCATTGCTTATTCGTGCGCAGGCGAGGCGGCTAAGAGACATGTTCCTGTTTTCTTAACACTGTCAGTAACCATGGAAGTTCTTGTTATGTCTTTCTTCTTGGCCTTGGCTGAAAATGTAGTGTCACTGAGTCTAATGAATATGGAAAGGCGAAAAGGCATACTAGTCAGGTGCTACCATGACTTTGAGTCAATAAAGAAAACTCTGTAGATATATTAAATGATGTTTGCTTTACACAATACCTTCATTATATAAAGCTTGTGCGTGCACAGCAAAGATAAGGGTGAAGGGAAGACAAGAGACAAGCAGGTGCACGCACAAGTTTTTCTTTCCTCTCTTCATCCTCGTCTTTGCTGCGCATGCAAAGTTTTATGAAATGACCAAACAACTAGCGCAAACAGCCACCCTTCTTGAATACCTTAATGCAACATTTAAATTTGACTTTTTTGGTGGCATTACTTACCATACTGTTCGTCTTGAATTCCCGACTTTATAAAACAAACTACTGAAAGGGAATGGCACTTAAATTGCGACCAACAGTCATCATCTACCAGCTATTCTGTACTGAAGCAGATCTTAAATTTTTATAAAGCATGAAGCTCTCGTGAAAACATAGAATTCGTCAATTGTGACTCGCCATGCAATCCAAATTCATTGCTTGAACCGAACCCTTCAATCCAACACATTCTTTTTTCTCCGTGTCCTTCAGCATCAGAGACCTCATTTTCGTGCAAAGGCCACTCACTTCTGAGATGTGTAGATACCTAACCCAGTCTCTTGTTCCGCCTCTTTTCGTTTTTCTCTCTCTCCTACACTCTCCTCTCCCACGCCCACCTGCTAACCTCCCCCTCCCCCACGTTCGACATCCCCCACCCCCTCCCCCAGAGGTACAAGGGTCGCCAGACAGCGCAGGCGGGAAGGCCGCACCCTCGGTATTGCAGAGTCCGCTGTCTAGTGCCTCGAGTGGCTTTAGCAGTAGGCACAGCTCTGTCGACCAGTTTGGTGGTCTCGACGGTGAGTGGGAAGACGCGCGGTGTCTGTGGTGTCTGTGCGTTGTCGCATGTCGCATTGAGTCGTCTGTTCACTGCGTCGCGTGTCTCGCGTTTGTGGCCAGCTCTGTTGGACTTGGGGTTTGTTTTGAGTATGAGGCGCGGTCCAAGTTCGGTACTGCGACAGGCCCTTTACGAAACCCCGTCGAGCAGCATTGGCGCGGTCGTCGTGTTTTTGTACATCGCTTCCAGTGCAATGCTTGCGATTAGGCCAGAGTTTAATATGATATAGTGCTTTTATCCAATATGCCCAAATTATGATGACCTCGCATAATTGTAAGAGGTTCGCTCAATTGTAGTTAGTCGATGGGTAGGAAAAACAAGTATCGCGGCAAGTTCAATCTAGTTCCGTGACCTGCCTAGATTATCAGTATTTGTGTCATGGTTCGATGTGGGGTGAGTGGCATTAGTCTTCAGTTTAAGAATGCGGCATAGCTAACGTGATGTTTATCTTACCACCGGCATTTACCGACAGTTAACCGACTTTAAATTGAAAAGTTGCGTGTGGAGCGTCTCGAAGAAAGATCTGTAGCTTTCATGTCCATGTTCCTCGTTACTCATAAGAAAATTGCACCGTGACGATTGAAAGCTTGCGTTTCTTCTTTATTTCTTGAATTTATACTTTAAGTGAAGTTGCTGGTGCCTTAAGGTAACAACGCCCCGTAAAATACCTCAATCACGGAGCTCTAAAAGAAGCCTAAAATATATTAACTGTTTGCGAGGCATCCCAGATTTACGGGTATGGGCCTACGTCCTTCTATGGTGGCCCGAGTCTCCAAGGCTACATGCAAATACGAATGTGCCGCCGTTGCAGTCCTCTTCCGTCGACTGTAAACGGCTGTTTTTGGTTGCCCATGTATGTTCCGGCGCCTTTTCCACATGGGGTGACATGGCCCTAACCTGTGCCCTTTCCGCCACCATTGGCATGGCGCCACCCAGCAGACCTGAGCCCGGTGCAGCAGCAGCTGTCTGAGATCAACCACCGGTACCACCTGATTGGTGTGAAGCTGTCCGACCGCCAGCAGGAGATGGAGTCCCTGGCGGAGGAGCTCAAGCGCTTCCAGGACAATCTCAAGGCCCTGCTGGCCTTTGTGCAGACCAAGGAGCGCTCCCTGCCCAAGGAGTCCCTGCCGGCCACCAAGGAGCTCGCCGAGAAGCAGCTCACCGTGCTCAAGGTGAAGGGGCCTGTGCACCCGTGGGGTCGGGGAAAGTCCAGACATTGGAGTCGGTCGGCGTGCCTCGATACATGTGCATTGTGTTTGGGCAGTGACGTTTGGTAGTTTTGTGGCAGGGTGCCTCTTTGTGTTTTTGGGCACGCGAAGCAGCATCTCTCGGCTCGAGGAGTGAACTTTGGCCGGTTCTACGGCACGAGTTTGGTTCGTGCTATTGCCTGAAATTTTTTTCCACAATTGCCTGCTCTCGGTACCTGATGCTACAGAGTGGCGTCACTCTAAGAAGAGCATTAAGGCATCCTAAATCAAAGAGTTCAATTAAGGCACAGAGGAGTTGCTAAAAATGATCTGTTTGGTGAGAAATTGTGGCTGTTTGGTTTATCTGTTTGGTGAGAAATCTAAGGCTACTAAGCATTTTAGCAGGTTGGCTAACAATATTTAGTGGAGGTACAGTTGATTTTGTCCCATCTTTATTTTTAATGTTAAAGGCAGGTTTTCTTAGCTGTCACGTCATTGCATCGCTTAACCATAAATATGGTGTTACTCATAGCTCGTTCTTAATGTAGTTCTCCCTGCTTACATGCTTTGTATCGCATCCCCTACGCCTAATGTGGAAAAATGTTTAATAGTAATAAGGGATGAAACAAACACCGACTCAAGTTCATTCTACAGTAAGGTCATCTTCTCTGATCGACAGATTTGGCACTTGCAACTGCTGTGCACGCTGCTATACTCAGTCTCACCCTACGATGGACTAGGGCTTGAAGGTTGACGGGGGGAGAAGCTTGCATTCGCACTGCAAAAGAGTGCGCGAGAGAAATTCCGATATGTAGAGTACGAAGAGCACTAATCTTACGGATACTGTTCTCTGTTGCAGCATGCTATTTTATATTGGTGAAGTAAAGGTACATGGTATTTACATATAAGCATTCATGCCACATTTCGTAAGCATATCAACTGTTGGAGAAGTTGGATGGCGTGCAGGCAACACTGACATTAGTCATTTCGCACTAGCCTTAACAGTCCAATCCAATCTTGTCTCCCTTCTGCACGTGGTCTGTACATACTCTCCCATGTCGAACACTCAATCCGACGCATCTTCATTTTTTAATGGCCACTGGTTCTGATCCCAGTTTCTTTTCACCACATCACTTCCAGACGGTATTTAATCCCTTCAGTGGTTTTGGCAGTAGCAAGCAGACGGAGCCGCCGCGTTAAGCAGACGAAAGACTTGCCTACTTGCCTCCGCATGATGCGTCTTGGCGCACTGAAACATACGACAGAGCGAATATATCACGTGGTTTTTAACAGACTCATGATTGAAGGTGGCGGCATGAGCATTGGGCTTTAGCTCATCGTAGGATGAGACTGAGTATAGTGAAGACCAATAATCTTGGTTGCAAAGTTCTAACCACATTTCCCGTACCCATCCCATCTCGTGACAGGAGCTCCAGTCTGACCTGCAGGAGAAGCAGATTGAGGTGGACCGCCTGAGAGTGCAGGTGCAGGAGCTGCTCAGGCGCAAGCCCAACGCCCCGGGATCAGAGTCCCTGCAGCAGCAGCTCACCGAGCTGCTCTCCCGCTGGCAGGAGCTGCTGCAGGCCATACGCATACGCCTGCTCCTCATCCAGGAGTTCAAGGACTTCCAGGTACCTCTTCCCTCCCAGGCTGCCTCTTCTCTAGCTGTCTCTTCCCTAGCTGCCTCTTTCCTAGTTTCCTTTTCCCTAGTTTCCTCTTCTCGAGTTGCATTTTCTCTTGTTGCATTTTCTCTAGTTGCCTTTTTTCTAGTTGCCTTTCCTTAGTTGTCTCTTCACCATCGGCTTTCCCCAGGTGCCCCCTTCCCTGGATGCCCCTTCCCTAGTTGCCTTTTCCCCATTGCCTTCCTCCAGTTGCCTCCTTCCTGGTTGCCTCTTCTCTAGTTTCCCCTTCTCGAGTTGCCTTTCTCCAGATGGCTTACATAGTTGCCTTGCCTTAATTGTTTTTCCCTATTAGTTAAGAGAAAACATTCTGAAAGCCTCAGCAGAATACATAACTTTTTGCTCAAAGCTTGTTCATATCTCTTAGGGAAACTTTGGTGCCTCTCTAGAACTTCCAAAAGCAATTCCCTTTCGACTTCTTTCGACTAGTTTTGACAAACTTTGTGGTTCACAGAAAAGGCGTTAGCTGCAGGTGGGTTAGGTTTCAAAGTTTCGGCTAGTCGACACCATCCAAACAACACGGCGTCCCCGTCTTTTCTTGCGCCAGGACACACACGACCTGCTGCACAACTGGCTGTCGCAGAAGGACAAGATGTTCCAGGTGCTGGGCCCCATCGCCCACGAACCCCGCATGGTGGCTGCCCAGACCCAGCAGGTGCTGGTCATGCGGGACGAGTTCAGCTCCCAGGAGCCCCTTCTGCGCCGCATGAACCTGTGCGGCCAGGAGGTGGTGGGTCAGTTGGAGCCCAACAACCCGGCCGGCCGCAAGATCCGGGACCAGATGGAGGCCATCAAGCGCCACTGGAACGAGATGATCGGCAGGCTCGAGGTGGGTCGCCGCTAGCTTGTCATCGGGTGACATCTTGCTCAAGTTCCTTGCAGAAGGAGCCATCCTTCGTGCAGATGTGAAGGCCATTGTCGGCTGGTGTCCATGTTTTGTTGTGTGGCTAGCCTGCTCCTGTCGCGCGAAATGATGAACTTTCCATTTTCATTATTCAGTGCCTACTGGGGTCGAGAACAGTATAGACCAGTGTCCGAAATCCTGGCCCCCAGCGATAAAAATGGGAAATAATAATCTCAAACGCAGGCTCTTGTGAAGAGGGGGGCTGCGCATAAAACAAGATTTTGGCTTGCTACAGCACTCTTGGAATTGGTGTTGTTCTTGGAGCTTCGTAGCAAGCATGCGTTTCTGAAGTTCTTGCTCTGCAATATGTGTGAAGGTTCCTAAAAAAGACGGGAGTCTCGCTAAAAGCGCAGCCCCTCTACTCTGTCATGGCATCAGCATAAACAAACATAGCGGCACCCATGGAATGAAGCAGACGGTGATCTATATGTCACCATCCCGGACGAGACGTTACGGTGTCGCAAGATGTCGAGGTGTCACGCGACACCTTGACCCGCGCGTCGATTGAGCACGACGTGTTGCTCTTCTCTCGAGACCTCACTCTATAACGCAGTCTGGGTCGACATCCTCCCATGCAGGAACGAGAGCGCAGCCTGGGCGCCGCCACGGGGGCCACAACGGACTTCCACACGGTGCTGGGCAAGCTGCTGGAAGCCCTGCAGAACATTGGGGATGACTTCGACCAGCTGGCCGAGGCCGGGGACCTTGAGGAGCAGCTGCGGCGCCTGCGAGGCCTGGACGACCGACTAGAGGCCCAGAGGCCACCCCTGGCTGAGTCCGAGGCCATGTGCGACCACCTGTGCGACATCCTCACTGACGCGGCCTCCCGCAACGAGATCAAGGGCAAGTGGGGCACTGCGGACAAGCTCTACAACAACCTCAACCGCAAGATCAGTGAGTGTCCCCGGCCTGGTCTGACCTTTCTTCGAGTCGCGACGTGAGGGTCTAGGGAGAATGGGGGCATGACGGAAGAGTTGGGAGCAATCTAGGGACAATTGGGCTAGGGAAACAGGGAAAACAAGAACCAGGGAGAGAACGGAGTATGTGAAAGTGCGTGGGTGGCAGGATGTGCGGTTGGGATACAGTTGTTACTTTGGCAATCGAGAGTGGAGTTAAGCCTGTGACTTGTTTAAAATATGATTGGGAAAGCTAATGATGCAAATAGGACTATGGAAAAAGACAAGTAAAAATGTATGGGCATATTTTGTTGTCAAGGGCACTTCGACACAGGGCGGTGTAGGATGTTGAACGCACTAGTCTGAGATGCGTTAGGTGCCATATTGCGGGCCAAAGCTTCCACTTTCTTGAAGATAACAATTGGTGGTTTTGTGCTGACAATGTTTGTGCTCTGTTTTGCCCTGCAGACAACCGCAAGGCAGAGCTGGAATCTTCGCTGCGAGAAGACCGTGGTTTCTTCTCGACATGCGAAGACATCCAGGGCTGGCTGCAGGAGATCCAGCACACCCTGTCTCCGGACTTCAAGATCTCGGCTGACACCGACATTCTGCACCGCCAGGTCACCGAATTCGAGGTGAGGGTGCTTTGTGACAACTGACTGAGGGTTAGAAGTCAATACAAAGTTGTTTTAGAAAAAGTTGTGTAGAAGTACCTTATTTTCCCAACTATACGTATAGCCTGGCAAAAAGAATTTGATTAAAAAAAAGTTTTTATAGCGGAGCTGTTAAGGGCTAGTCTTTCCAGTTTCGTGTCCGTGGACAAATGAATCTTGACACAAAACTCTAGACAGCTACCGCCATCTACAAGCGACGGCAGCAACCAGACAACCGGCTTGCCGGTTGTCTGGTTGCCGCTGTCACTCATAGATGGCAGCCACTCTGGTTTTCACCAGAGTGGTAAGGCTGAATTTCTCTAGGTGTCGTCCTAGAAGTCATCCTCGAGGACGATGCCTAGAGGACGACGTTCTTTAAGCGTCGTCCTCGAGTTTGTCTTAGAAGCTATCCTTGAGGTTGTCCTAGATGTCGCCCTTCAGGTTGTCCTAGACGTCGTTCAAGAGGTTCTCCTCGAGGTCGTCCCAGAAGTCGTCCTTGAAATCATCCTAGACGTTGTCCTCGAGGTCGTCCTTGAGGTCATCCTGGAAGTTATTCTAGAAGTCATTCTTGAGGTCGTCCTAGGCGTCGTTTCTGAGGTTGTTTTAGACGTCATCACTGAGGTCATCCTAGGTTTCGGCCCTGAGTTCGTCCTAGGCGTCGTCCTTGAAGTTCTCCTAGACGTCGTCCTTGAAGTTGTCCAAGAAGTCATCCTTGGGGTCATCCCACCATAGTTCAGCTCCGCTGGTCTTCCTTTTCCACCAGAGTGAAAGTTTTTAAGTTGTACGCTTTTGATGTATCTCATAAGAACTTCTCACTCACGGCACACCATGACAAATGCCTGCTTAGCCCACAAAGGAAGCTTCTGTCACCCGTAAATCATCATTGTCATTCGCAAAATCTGTCGCATCTCATCGTAACAAACACTCCGGAAGAAAAGAGTCCCTGTAAAGTCTGCACTTCTAGATGATCTGCACTAGAAAAAAAATTTCAGCTTTCAGAGAGGCATAGTCTGTGGACTATAGTCCAGAAAGTATGGTAATCTTTAATGAATCTACGTTGAGCCTGGCCACTTCTGAGGCATGCCGTCTGGTGTCTCCCCTTGCGCAGCCGGCCTACAAGTCCCTGCTGGACAAGGAACACGAGGTGCACCTTCTGCTCAGCAAGGGCACGGACATGGTGGCTAAGATGACCCGCAAGCAGGAATCCCAGCAGCTGCGCACGAGGCTGGACGCCATGCGTAAGGCCTGGGATAAGATCCGCAAGGAGGCTACGGACCGGTGAGTCCATGATCTGCTCCCCCCCCTCTTTTCTTTCACTCTGTTCTTCGTTACCGTCGCCCTCTTTGCCAGAATTCATCTTAACGTTTTCAAGATATGTGGGTTTCTGGCTTAGTGAAAAGAATGTGAGAATTCTGTAATGCACCTAGACTTGTCCAGATCGAGGCCGGCGCTTTGTTTTGACCGTGTCCCGACTTTGCACAAACCTCGTTTGGACTTTACCCCGACCTCGTGCCGACTTTGTCTCGACCTTGCACTGACCTTGTCCCGTCGTTGTCCGGACTTTGTGCCAACTTTGTTCCCACCTTGCTCCGACTTTGTGTCAGCTTTGTCCCGACCTTATACTGTTCTTGTCCCGACTTTGTTCCAGTCTTGTACCAACTTTGTACCGTCCCTGTTGGGACTTTCTCCCAACTTTGCCCCGACTTTATCCCAATTTCTTGCCAATTTTGTTGTGATAACAATGTTGTTCGTCGGGCTTGCGTAGGCACACGCGACTGCAGCGTGCCTTCGAGAACTGCAAAAAGTTCAACGCGGCCTTCAACAAGTTTGGTCCCTGGCTGCAGACCACAGAGGCGCGTTTCTACGATCTCGGGCCCATCAGCTACCATCGGCCAGAGACAGAGAAGCAAGCCAAAGAACTTCAGGTGAGCTCAACTTCTCAAGGAAATGTTTGGGATATTGATGGGCTCCTAAATTAACTAATCGGCCAGTTGCTTGGTGCTTGATAACGCTTGAAGGGACATTTCTACATGACATATGAGAGCCTAACTACCCAGAACACAATTTGTGACTCGAAGTTATTTTTTTTTTTTCCAGCTGAAAACTGCCGATCTGGCCGGTTTGAGTTGCGCTCACTCCCTTCTCTATAATCACGTGCCGTTTTCCATGGTTTAGACACGACCACCAAAGATAATCAGTCCTGGGTCATCAAAGGCACACAATAAATACCCATTTTTTGTGGTTTCTAAAAAACTGTAAATACGTTGAAAAAAAAAAATGAAAAAGTTGCACAGCCACGTGACTTTTGGTATCTTTCTCCTCCTCTGTTTCTTCTTCCTCGCCAGTTCGGTTTTGGTTTTGAGCAGTTTCGTTTTATTACTTTATTAAAAATATATGTGACACCCTTGCAAAATGTTGATTGGATAATCTTTTGACATCATAATAGGTCACCTGAGAAAAAGTAAAAACAAAATATTGGGGGTTGTCAGTGTCCTTTTAAGATCGACATCTCATACTTTGTCGTTCGCTGATTGCACAGTCTTACGTGCTTGGTTAGTTGGTGTCACATTTCTGGAGGATAGAGATTTTTTACATTAATATATCACCGTCCGTATAACTATTATGCTCCCACAGTGCACCATGCATGGTGTAGTAAAGTAGCTGGGGAGCTCTGTCTGTTGGCAATCGAGATGTAGATCTTGTAGCAGCAGCAATCTATGTTATTACAGTTCACGATGGTCTCAAACGAGTTTTATTGAGTATGTAACGTGTAACACCATGTCTCTCGCTTTTGTCGTATAGCCATACAGTCGCGAATCATTGATGCCTTGTTCACACTACATGTTTCACCAGTTCTTTACGTGACACTGGCACATAACCTTACCATACTTCATTTTATTGATCGGCTCTATCGAGTCGTAGCGTCGGCTGCGCTCAGATTTAAGGCGACACAAAGTGCAGACATCTTGCGTCCTCAAAACGGCTCCGTTTATTGAAGTGGCCGAAGGGCACTCACCGCGTGAAACCCCATCGTGCAGGGCTTCAAGAACGAGATCTCGAGGCACAGCCAGGAGTACGACAGCGTGCGCAACCTGGGCGAGACCTTCCTGTCCGGCTGCGACGTCGACAAGGAGGGCGTCAAAAAGGACTTGGACACCCTGCGCACCCGCTGGGAGAAGCTCAACCAAGGTCAGCAACATTGCCTTGCACTGCGCGTCAAACGTTTTTTTGCGTTGTTCGCAATTTCTAGCTTTCGACACGAGCGACGTACCGCCGTGCTGCCTGCAACGAGTCTCCGACCGGTGTGCCTACCGCATCCTAAGAAACTGTTTTTCGACTTCCACCCGATGAAGTGAGTTGTCTCGCTGTCGCCGGCCATGATTTTTACGATGTTGCGGTGGTAGACATGGCAGACGTTACGCTGCACGTCGCTCTCCGGCTTGACAGTACGTGGAAGTTGGGACGCCGCGACAACAGCAACACTCTCCTCCCCTCCTACTTTTTGCACAAACTTTTATGCCCAACCGTTGGGAGTGCGATATCTGACAGCGTGACACTCCGGCTTTTGCGACGACGTTTGTTGCCGCTTCGGGGCCACTTTCGATGCATGGGTTGAACAGGACGCTATACACACCGATCCGGGACGTGTTCCAGGCAACGTAATTTCATCTAATTTTATTACCTTAAAGACCGATGATTAGTTTGCACTTTCCACTTTTTCCTCGCTCCCTCCTCTCCCCCCTCTACACTGTCCACCGTGGCCCGTTTCCTCCTCCCCTATGGTGAGGAGGATCTTCTGCCTTGCAGATTCCCAACTCTGGTCGTCGGCTTTTAAGGACCCCCAGAGGGGCAATACTTATGCAATGAGTACATAAATGGGGTATACATAGATGCCAAACGATTTTTGAAAGCCAGGCATGAGCCGTTACATTTTCTATGAATGTTGATGGGCAGGTGATTGCAGCAGTGTCTTGAGAAAGGCTGTTCCAGTCCAAAGCTGCTTGGGGGGAAAATGAAGCAGGAAACGCCGTAGTTCTGGTGCCTGGGCGGGCAGCTTGGAGGGAATGACTGGTGCGCTGCGATATGCGTGCTGTGGTTAAAATATAGGGTGGTTGACAAAGCGTCGAATGAAAAGCTTGTGAAACAAACCGAGGCTGGTGATGCGGCGGTGACTGGAAAGAGGCGGGAGCCCCGATTCAGCTTTTGAGGATGATGTGCTGATATTGCAAGAACATGAAGAACGAACGACTTGGTCGCTGCATGACCCAAGTGCGTCGCTGCAACTTTCGCCTGCAGGAGTGACCGACCGCAGCCGCGAACTGGACGAGGTGTCGGCCAAGCTGGCCGAGTTCCAGGACAAGGCCCGCGAGCTCAACCACTCACTCCAGCGAATGGAGGACAAGGTGGCCTCGCACGACGCCCTCGGCGACGCGGCACGCAACCCGCAGCTTCTCGAGAGGATGAAGGTAACGGACCGCCGCTGTTTTATGAGGGTGATAGTCATTATTATCGTTGTTTGTTTGGTTTCTTGGAAAACCCGTCTGGTCTTGTCGTGTGGTCCTGACTCCTGACGTTACGCAAAAGAAAATGAGAATGTGTATCCGAGTAATATCTGTTCCCTTGTCAAAGTTCTGTGTAGATTGGTAACTGTGAAGACGTCTGTTAAGCCGTCGGTTAAAAGTGATAATATCTGCATAGGCGGCAATGGAGAATAAGAAGTTTTGGAAACGTGTTTGTAATCCATCTAATAACAACACTATATCTTGAATAAGGGATACAGTTAGCATGAGCATCTGCAAGTATGAGGTGGCACGTGAAGATTAACACGAAAGCAACAAATTGGTCTTGTTTAGGTTTGGTGTAAGTTTGACATCAGCAGGTTGTCTATATATATTTTTTTTTTCAGTGGTTCAAGCGAGTGCAAGTTGTGAAAGCTCAAATTGGGAAAGAATGGTTGCACATTGCATTTTCCGCAAGTTTAGTTTTATTACTTATTCGTGTCCATAGATCAGAAATTGTTGTGAATTGTAAACGAAACGGAACAAATGCGATAGATCACGAAAAGTATCGAAAGAAATCCCCGCCAAAGTGACAGCTTTGGCAGGTCTTTTTTTCAGAGACTCTGCGCACGACGACGTGTGTCCCATCGAATCATAATATGCTTACTTAGGCCCCTCTGCACCGCTACACAATACACAATACATTCTGTGTTACCCCGATGGTGCGGGGAATGGAGCGGATTTTTGTACTTCTGGCCTCCGGAGACATTGCGTCGTCTTTCTTTCCCCTCCACCACAGGCTCTGCTCCGTGAGGCGGAGGAGCTGCAGCGCGGCCTGGACCGCTTGCGCGCCTTTGCGGAGGGCCTGGTGGCCAGCGCTTCACCTGACTCGGACACGACGCACATCCGTAAGGAGGTGGACGACCTCACCAGGCGCCACCAGCAACTCACCAGCAAGCTCGAGGATCGCTGCGCCCAGCTCGAGTCTGCCTCCTCCGTCGTGGCACAGTACAACGTGAGTGGCGGCCGCCGGACTTCCTTTGCAGCTGTGTCTCTTCCTCTTGACTTGGACATTAAAGACTGGTCCACACATTGGTCCACATATTTGTGTTTGTGCATTTACATCTGCCGTCGTTTTCATCTCTGGCTTTCGGACTGGTTCCATCCCTCAGTGACATTTTCCTTTTTGTGCCTGCAGAACAAAGTCAAGACGGCACACCAGGATCTGACTTCTCTCGAAGAAGAACTGGAGAACATGGGAGCCATTGGCCGAGACATCCGCACCGTGAATGGGCAGATCGACGAAGTCAAGGTAGGGCTTTCTCTCACTTTTGTTTCTGAATGTGATAGAGTCGATTTTCTTCACTTTTTATCGTCATGGTTAGTTTTTTCAAGACCGTGGTTGGGGTGCGAAGTTTCCGACGTCTACGTCGCCACTTGAATTTAGCAATTAGGGAACTGCCTCGGTGGTTTACGATCTAGGCTGTGTTGGCAATGGAAGGAGTTAAAAAAACTGGGCAGAAACAAAGGAACGGATACAACAGAAGCTCGTTCTATGTCTTCCTTTTTATGTTCACATATAGTCCACTCTTTTCAGCTTTCCCAATTAACTGAAAAGAAACTTAACTCAAATCGAAGCCTTAAGGCATGTTGGCACCCTTTTGAGTCGGTGGATGGAAGATGGCCGTGTCTCAATGGTGTAACCTTTTCTTTGCCCACAGAACTTCAAGGTGAAGCTCTCAACCACCGAAGACGAGATCCAGGATGCCGAACGAGAGTGCAAGGACCTCATCAATCATGGCTACACCCAGGACGCCAAGGGTGCTAGGACTCAGGTGGGCTCCGCTCCCTGTGCACTTCAGTCTTAAGCGTCGCCTCATAAATCTTGCAGAAAACTTAAAATTGTGTTACCGTATAACTGTGTGTATGGGCCGCACTCGTGTAAGGGCTGGTCCCCCCATATTTAAACCCAAGATATAAAAAATATATATATATATATTAGAATTATTTGTGTATACCTTATCTCGGCGCCGAGGTGCACGCACGAACCGGCCTCAACTTGGTCTCTCCTTTGCAGCTGGACACGCTGAAGCGGCAGCTGAACCGTCTCCAGGAGCGCACCAAGGGCCGCTCCCTGGCTCTGGACCAGATGCTGGCCAAGCTAGAGAAGTTTTACCAGGACCTGGGAGACATTCAGCGCAGCCTCAGCGAGGCCACCAACGAGGAGCGCGCCTTCCGCCCGGTGGCTGCGGATGTCGACACCATCCGCTCCCAGCAGGAGGAGTTCAAGGTGGGTGCCGCTTCTTAGTCAAGGGGCATGTCCGATTGGCCCACACTGCAACGTCTCCATGTATGTTGTCTGGAAGTTCAGCCTATTTCTGTTGCACGCACACTGCGTAACACTGTTAAGGCTGGTTCACACATTTCTGTTTGAGTGCGCTCAAGTGTGTCACATTCTTCTGCAGCCACTTAGGCGAGAAAAACTATTGAATATCATCAGACTGGTTCACTGGTATGTTCCATTGGGTAGCCCTGGAAACAATTCCAGTCTGCCTTTAACTAGACTGCAGGTTTTCTACTATTCGTGAGATCAAATCCATGCACTATCTATGAGAAATGGTCTCTTATAACATTGTGAAAATTATTTTGAGCTTGTGAAAAAATTATGTATAAAAAACTAAATTTATGCACGCAGGCCGGAATTGTTTCTAGGTGTTGCCAGTGTGTTTTCTTGTAAGCGGGTGCAAATAAAAACGACACCCACGAGCACATTCAATTGCAAATGTTTAAACCACCAACCTTGTACATACAGAATATGGGCACTTTTTCATATTTTACACGGAGCGAGTATTGTCTGGCAACACATTTGGCTGCATGTAAGGTGTCACAAATGGGCACTCAATGTGTGTTTTGATTCTAAGAAAAAAAAAGAATGCGAGCTTGACAGTGTTTTTCTGCATTGCGATCGTGCAGCACTTCCGCAAGTCATGCGTGGAGCCCCTAGGCAAGGAGATTGACGAGATCAGCAGGGTGGGCAATGGCCTGATCCAATCAGCGTCGCCGGGAGTCAACACCGCCATCCTCGAGCGTGACGTGGACAAACTCAACGACGAATGGAACCTCCTCAAAGAAAAGGTGGGGCCTCTCTCCGTCGAAACCCCAAATGTAAGCTGCCGTCTTTTATGGTGACTGGCAAACTTGGCAATCGTTACAAACTTGGCAATCGTCACCAACTCGGCAATCGTCACCAACTCGGCAACCGTCACCAACTCGGCAACCGTCACCAACTCGGCAACCGTCACCAACTCGGCAACCGTCACCAACTCGGCAACCGTCACCAACTCGGCAACCGTCACCAACTCGGCAACCGTCACCAACTCGGCAACCGTCACCAACTCGGCAACCGTCACCAACTCGGCAACCGTCACCAACTCGGCAACCGTCACCAACTCGGCAACCGTCACCAAAACTCGGCAATCGTCACCAAAACTCGGCAATCGTCACCAAAACTCGGCAATCGTCACCAAAACTCGGCAATCGTCACCAAAACTCGGCAATCGTCACCAAAACTCGGCAATCGTCACCAAAACTCGGCAATCGTCACCAACTCGGCAATCGTCAAAAACTCGGCAATCGTTAAAAAACTGCGATCGTCTCAAGCTCGGTCGAACTTAAGATTGCTCAAGGCAGATGTTTCCGGACCGCCGCCTTTTTTTCGGGGAAATCTTACGGGGCTTGTAGTCGAGTCTGCAACGGTGGGCTGACGGCCTGACCCGTGCTCCGATTGACTCCCCAGATGAGCGAGAGGGAGAGGAAGCTGGACGTGGCGCTCCTGCAGTCCGGCAAGTTCCAGGAGGCCCTGGCGGGGGTGGAGAAGTGGCTCCAGGACACGGAGGAAATGGTGGCCAACCAGAAGCCGCCCTCCTCGGACTACAAGGTCGTCAAGGCACAGCTCCAAGAGCAGAAGGTGCTGTTCTATCTCTCTCTTTCTCTTTCTCTCTCTGTCTGTCGTGTAGTTATTTGGACCGACCTCTTCTCTAAGCAGAGTCGGGAGCAAGCGTGACTGTTGCAGTACTTTCTACAGCTGATGTGAATGATATTCTGGACGTGTCATGATGGAAGTGTTAAGCCAGGTGTCTGATTTTAATTTGTTTAACCACACACAGTTCACCAAACTCTGACAGCATTTCAATTAAATAACGTTTCAGGCCATTTTATGCACTCTTGGCTTAGTCTCGGGCGTCGATGTCAGCCCGAGGTTGCGACGAGATGTCTAGGGAGGACTGTAGGAATCATGGGGCTACGGGAGGTCATGGCTGCGGAGACTGGGAATAGGGGAGATGGGAGTACCTCAGGGGACGAGGAGGGTTTGTTTGTATGTGTGGAAAAGCGGGACGTGCGAGCTTGCGAAGGAGTTGTGAGAATAGAGTGAGGTTAGGTCTAAGACCTTGTTCAGAGTGTGGTGGGTAAATCTAACATGTTCAGGTATGTTCTCCTGTGATTACTGAGAGGTAAATTATAGCTCTTCTCTCGAAGCATGCTTTTTAGTTGCGAGACAATCTCGACAATCTCTGTAGTTGCTCTGAATTGTCGAGGTGTACTGATTTGCTGGCTGTCGGATGCCCTGCAGTTCCTGAACAAGCTGCTGCTGGACCGGCAGAGCAGCATGACTTCCCTGATGACCATGGGCAACGAGGTGATGCGCAACCTGGCACCCTCTGAGAAGGCACACATCCAGTCGCAGCTGCAGGACCTCAGCCAGGTGAGAGGGCACCTCTTTTGGCTCTCCTTAGAGATTTCAATCCAGCATTTTCACAGTATGTATTTTATGTTTACACTCGCACAAGCTATGAATGTATTGAGCAATCTCAAACCTAGTCTAGTAGTTTAGTCACGGTTTTAGGGGAAACTACTTACTGACCTAAAAACTTGGGCACTTTCCGTTCTGTAAATTTTGTCTCCACAGGCAGTGTTTATTTATGTAGAACAAAAAAAAAATTATATATTTAAAGCAAGCATATCATACTTCACGTGCGTTTCTGTTTTTTGAAAATAGTATGACCCGGTATAGGTCTCTCCTATACCAGGTCATACTCCTAGATCACCGGTATAGGTGACGTTCCCTGTCATCCATCTTCTCAACGGGTCTGCGAGGTTTTACAAAAAAGAAGACACTTGCGGCAACTTTCTTTGTGTTGGCTTTTCCGAACCCACGTCCATCCGCTAGGTTCTCGGAGCGATTTTATTGGTTGTCACCAAACGTCGGCGGTGCGCCCCTCGGGCTTCAGTTTGTCCCTATAAAGAAAAAACATTCCTATGGCATGATAAAAAGACTCCAGATTTTACAATGAAAGCAATGTGTCCAGCACCCTTGGAACCTAAATAAGCGTTCCAGCTGTGAAGTGGGGTTTGCCAGTGTGCCCACAAAAGAGGGTTTGCTCTGACCCTGCCCGCGCGTGCCCCCATCTCCTCACAGCGCTTTGATCGCCTCAACCGGGGTGCCCAAGAGCGGATGAGCGCCCTGGAGCGCACGTTGCCCGTGGCCAAGGCCTTCCAGGAGAAGATGTGCCCCTTGGTGGAGTGGCTGGAGCAGACGGAGCGGCGCCTCGCGACCATGGGCACCATCCCCACGGACCAAGACCGCATTGCACACAGGGTGCAGGACCACAGGGTGAGTGGGTCCCTCGTTGTTTATCTTTGGTCGCACCGAGCGTCTAGCCTTACTCAAAATGTGAGGGTTAATTCATGTGCTCATCATAGAGTTAAACCACTCTATGGCAAATATCTTCACTTTATCGGTGCTTGTGTGTTTGCACCAGTATTACGAGTATACTATATCCGTTTATTTACATCAGTCTTTACGATAAAGGGGATCTACCAGTTTTTATTTTTTTTTAACATTCGTTAGAGAGAGAGAGAGCGAAGGCTTGCAAAAGAGGAAATACTGACATTTATGCTATAGCCAGAGGCGAGACGGTCGAATTTAAGGCTCCTCTAAATGTGTTCATAATATTACACATGTCACTCATCATTTTCATTGTCTTACATGGTTCCTAACGAGGAAATAGTCTAAATATGTAGTATTGTAGACAAATGAATCGTACTGATAGAATGGGTAAATGTTACGAAGCCACCAAAAGACAAAACTTTCAGTGGTACTGGAATATGAGGTAATGAAGAATGTAAATGTTCCCGAGTATATTTGGATAAAAAACATCCGTCGAAGATTAACGTCCCTCTCGTGTTCCCCTCAGGACCTGCACCGAGACATCCTGGGCCACAAGCACTCGTTCGAGGAGTTGACGGAGATTGCCCAGACCCTGATGGGTCTCGTCGGAGACGACGAGGCCCAGGCAGTGGTGGAGAGCATGCAGGAGGTGACTGACCGCTACGCGCGGCTGGTCGAGGACAGCGAGCGTCTGCAGCAGCTGCTGGCTGAGGCGAGGGCCGGGGCCAATGCCTTTGTGGTCAACTTTGAGGACCTTCTCGTCTGGATCGGGGAGATGGAGTCCCGCCTGTCCCGCTACCAGGTGCTCAGCGTGTACGTCGAGAAGCTCCAAGAGCAGTTTGAGGAGCTCAGCGTGAGTGTGCACTTTTCGTCCCATCCGGCGGACATTTCTTGACAGGGTTTTGATCCCCGGCAATTGCCGAGTGGGGATTCCTGGGCATCTTTGTTTTAATGTTGGTTTTGTTGCTGTGAATGTATTTTAAATACAATGAGGCTCTTAGTTCTTGTGGTGATCTATGAAAATGAGTCTACTTTCCTTCAATGTATGGCATCTGGGATAAAATGATGCACTAGAATCTCTCTAAAGTGCAGTCAGCTTTTTCAGGTAATACCGATACTATATCAATATCTTCAGTGCCTACAACGCCAAGAGGACTTTAACTTTGCTTCACTATTTCCATATGCTTATTATGTATGTCTTGACAATACCGAGGTTTTATCGTAGCATCCTCTCCAACATTTTTTGTTAAAAATCTTTCCAAATCAAAGCCGGTACGGCTTGTTTCAACATACTATTGTAGTCTGGTTCAGTCGGTCAAGATATTTATTTACGAAAAGCAGAATCTAAACATATCCAGCTGTTAGGACGTCTATTTGCTAACACTCGAGTCGCGAGACATGCGAGCTTGTGCTCATGGCTTGATGGCACCCTTGATGATGATAGCAGGCTGTCTGCTTCACATACACTAGTGCCGAAATTTTCCCATTGTCTTACCCAAGTATCCATGAGGCCTCTCTGCTATTACGCAGTGCTTTATCGTTGTCTGTTCAGTTCCTTCAAACATCTTGGTCGCACAAGTTAAGTCGAAAGATTACCAATTGTCTTAAGAGATAATTGCATACTGCCTTCCCAGTGTCATACCGATATTACCCCACCATATTGTTAATATCTTGCTGACATCATGTCGATATCTCCCCGCCATATTGTTAATATCCTACCGACATCGCACAAATATCTTGCCGAAGTCTTCCAGCCTCTTGCCGACATCTGCACCCGTATTCACCAGGCGCGGCTAACTAGCGGCGTTTTAAGGTTAGTAGCACAACTAAGTAGTTGCGAGCTAAACGAGAAATTCGCGACTAACAAGCGATTATGTTCTGCGGTATTCACGAGCGCGAAGCGAGCGGGTGACTATCTAGTCAGAACTAAGAAGCGGAAGTGACACAAAAAGATAGGTCACGGGCACGCGAACTTCAACGCCGCTGCGTAAATGGGTATTTTATCCTATAAAAACTAATATTTAAATGTTTATCAGGAAAAAAAAGTTACAATGAGAGACATATTGTCTTAGACAGAGTTTTACAACGAAAAATTTCAAAACAACGCCAGGGAGAAACACGGAAGCCGCATTGCCAGCGACATAAACGAATATGGAAGCGCCCGTAAATGCGTTTCTTCGCGCCGTCCACCGCCCTGCCGAGATCGCTTTAGCAATGTCTCTGGTTGTTGAACATGGCTATTTAGTCAATATTTGCTCCTCCGATTCTTTCTAGATATGTCCCCCAACGTTCCGAGACAGTAAGTGCTTTGTTATAGCGCTGGCGGTCAGCGGTGATACGAGTCGGCCATGGCGCTAAGCCGCTAGTCGCCCGCTAAACACCGGCCAAACTAGCCCTACCCCATGACTAAGATTTGTTAGTCGACTCCTTAGTCGCACGGGGCGACTAGGCCCTAAACACGACCGGTGAATACCAAGCGCTCACTTAGCGGCGACTATCGCTTGCCACGTGATCATTTTAGTCGATGACGTCGCTAGTCAGTGGTTAAACAGGCACTACTCGCGCCTGGTGAATACGGGTGCTGGCGTCTTATCGACATCTTGGAACCGTGCCAACATCTTGCCGACCTTACCCCGACATTCTTTTCCCCAGGAGCTGAGCGACGAGATAGCGGACCACCAGAAGCAGGTGGACGACCTGACCGGCTCTGGCCAGGACCTGATGCGGCACGCATCGGGCGACGACGCAATTCAGCTGAAGGAGCGCCTGGACGCTCTGCACGTGCGCTACACGGATCTGACCCAGCGTGCGTCGGAGCGCCTGAGGCAGGCCCAGGAGGCCCTGCCCGTGGCACGCAACTTCCACTCGTCTCACGAGCGGGTGGTCGTGTGGATCGACGACGCCGAGGCGGCGCTCAAGAGCGTCGAGTCCTCGGCCCTTACTTCCCAAGAGTGCACCATCCAGGTGAGGGAGGTTTCGACCAAGACTGGAATACTATAAAGCCCTTTGTTTTTGTAGCCCCAGTCTTCAACGAATTGGGCAGAGGAGTTATTCTAGACTCCTAGATTTAGCAAATTCTATTCTCGTCTCGAGATAATAGAAATATTTTTGTGCCCTTGAAGTTTTTTTTTTTAATTGGTGAAGTCTGCTCTAATCAGGGGCTCGCAAACTTCGAAGGTTTTATAGTGTCAATGAATGGATTGTACCTTATGCTCGAGTCCCACTAGAGCGACCGATGGAAGCGGAGAATCGATGAGTCTCGAACGTGTGCAGCATGCGCGCGATGGTATCTTTGGCAAGCTGGCAGTCTCTCGTGCTCACTTTGCAAGCAGCGAGAGGCTGTGAGAATGCCAAAGATACCATTGCACGCATGCTGCGCATGTTTGAGGCTCGTCAATGTTGGTTGTGTCTGTTTGTCGCTCTAAGAGAACTCGAGCATCAGAAAAATTTAAGGACAACAACCTTTGCGAGAAAATCTCTCGTGTAAATTTTTAACTGGAATAGTGAAGTTTGAGGCAGTAGTAAACGGGGAAGATAACTAACATAGATCACACACAAAATTGCCGCGAAACAATCGCCATAACATTCCGGGAACCGATTCCACTTGTTCGAAACGACGTTGATTTTACAATATTAATTGCGATTGTTGGGAGCATCCAACATGCGAGTCGTTGATAGTTTTTAGTTTTGCACATTCGACACCTCTAGAGCCTTGCATCCCCCACACAATGAGATATGTTTTTTAGGTTGTCCCCCTTCTAGGTAAGAAAAGCTTAACAGCACATCTTTTTGTTTGGTGGCTGTCAAGCAGTTAGCTCGATAGTCTATAGCTTCACTGTAGCATAACTCGGGAAAACGGCGAAACACTCAATGTCGAAGGGAGGCATTGCCGGAGGCAACTCCTTCGGGGTGCCGTCACGAAGCTCGCCGGGGCTGTGGCTTCCGCAATTGATTGAGTTACGCGAAAAGAGGCTGTGGACAGTTCGTATCTGTGTTCCGACGTCCGACCTTTGCATCGCAACTTTCCGCAGCGCCTGGAGCAAGAAATCCAGGAGGTGCGGAGCGTGCTGGAGGTGGTGAACCACCTGGGGCCCCAGCTGTGCCAGATGTCGCCTGGAGAGGGTGCCGTGGTGGTAGAGTCGATGGTGTCCCGGGTGAACCGGCGCTTCGACGCGGTCTGCGAGCAGATCCAGCGGCGGGCCGAGCGCATCGAGCTCTCCAAGCAGCGCAGCGTCGAGGTGGTCGGAGACATCGACGACCTGCTCGACTGGTTCCGCGACGTGGAGCGCCAGCTGGCGAACGCCGAGCCCATCATTCCCGAACCCGAGGCCCTGGCCGCCATGCTCAAGGAGCAGAAGGTGGGGGGCCCTTGAGACGTTGTCGATTGGATGAAACTATGCGGAGCGCAAGTTTGTCCGCTTCTGGCACAGGGATTGCAATGATGTGAGAACGCCAAGCTCTTATTGGCTAATAAAGATGATGAAAATCATCTTTATGATGCATTTAATTGCATTCTAATCTTATTGGCTAATTGAAAAAAGAAAAAAAAATAGTGGGTAGAGCTCAAGGCATCTAGCATCTAGCATTGAGGTCTACCCACTACTCCTTAAAAAAAAGAACGATCGGAGCTCTGCGTCATTTTGACGTCGCAGCAACCCCTGCTCAAGAAGCAGACCACTTGCTCTTTGCATAGGGGACACCTTGTCCAGCTTGTTTTCCACAGAGCTCTTTGTTTGACCGAATTCTTCGTGTCGTCTTCCTCGGACACGAGTGCTGCATCGGTGTTTGGTTGGAACTCGTGTTCGGTTGATGCTTCACCGATTGAGCACGGCGTTGCTGGTGTTGCGACGTCAAATTGCCCCGTGTGAAGCGGGCCTAAGGATCCTTTGGAGACTCCTAGTTTTCTTGGGACTCAGTCTGGGAGCCCACGAGTTAGAGCTGTGAATATGTCCATCAGAATAAATAGTGACAATCGTTGGATGCATCCCCCCACGTCTGCAGGCCCTGAACGAAGAGGTGAGCAGCCAGAAGGGGCGGGTGCGGGACATCCTGGCGTCGGCCAAGAAGCTGGCCAGGGAGTCTCCGCCCGAGGACCAGGCGCTGATCCGGGACAAGGCGGAGGACCTGAAGGCCCTGGTGGCCTCTGTGACGGCGGCGTGTGCGGACCGCCTGTCGGCCCTGGAGCAAGCTCTGCCCCTCGCGGAGCACTTCCTCGAGACCCACCTGGACCTGGTGCAGTGGCTGGACGAGGCAGAGTCCGAGGCGGAGCGCCTGGGCGCCCCGTCCCTCCACGCCGGGCAGATCAAGAGGCAGCAAGACAGAAACAACGTGAGTGTTGTGCCAGGGCTGTTTCGGAACGCGTTGCTCGTTCTAGCGTGCCTCAACGACCTTCTCTTCGGGGTCGATGCGAGTCTTTGTAGTACTTGACGCCAATTAACAGCACGCACTCTCGGGTAAAATCGAAGAAATGGCCATTAACGGAATGTCACCGCAACAGAGCCAATGGAAGGAGCTCGTGCCGGGAGGTGCTCTTTCACATGCTCCAGAACAGAGAGGAACAAGAAGCGATGTGTTCAAAACTATCGGTTGTTGTTGTCATCATCCTAAGCAAGGTGCGCATGAAGGCTCGCTATTAGGAACAGTTCTGGAAAGAGTAATAGGACAGGACGAGAAGGGCAGTGCATCTCTTCCGAATGTCCGGCCTCTAGCATGTGTTCCTTGCTTGCTACCGTGCACTTGGCTGCGGGATTAGGAGCATTTTAATCGTTGTTAGAAAAACCAACAATGTGCTTTGCGAACCTAGGGGAGCTTTGTCTGTTAGCAAAGGGCACTCGCCAAAGAGTGCGCTTTGCTCTCTTCTTTTTTTCTGTCCCATTTTGCACGCCTTTATTAGGTTGCACCTTCCTAAGACTACAGAGGCGGCTAGAGAAAATGCTGTATCACTATGGCAAAGGAAACTGGTGATATTCTATAAAGCCAGGGCCGTTCTCGGTGGGACAGCTTTGAGTGTGCTCCTTTTTTCCTTCACTATGCAACCACGCTGGACGTCGACATGTTTTGCAACGGGTCTGCTCGCATCTTTCTCAGGCCCTGCTGCAGGCAGTGACAGAGCGCAAGCCGCTCCTGGACAAGCTGACCAAGACGGGGGCGGCGCTGATCAAGCTGTGCAGCCCCAGCGAGGGCAAGAAGGTGCAGTACCTGATTAACTCGGACAGCGAGCGCTACAACGCCCTGCGCAACCTGCTCCGGGAGCAGCAGAACCTCCTCGAGGAGGCCATGCAGTCCACGTCCCAGTTCGCCGACAAGCTGGACGGCATGTTGAACGCCCTGGCCTCGACAGCCGACCAGCTGAACAACGCCGAGCCCATCTCGGCCCACCCGGAGAAGATCCAGGAACAAATCAGCGACAACCAGGCCGTGGTGACGGACCTGGGTAAGAAGTCGCCCGCCCTGGAGGCGGTGAAGAAGGCTGCCCGGGAGGTGATCGCCAAGGCCGGCGGAGACCAGGAGCCCACAGTGCGGGACCTGAAGAGGAAGCTGGAACGGCTGAACGACCTCTGGGAAGGCATCCAGAAGGCGGCCCGGACGCGGGGCCAGTCCCTGGAGACTGCCCTTGCGGCGGCGGAGCGGTTCTGGGAGGAGCTGAACGCGGTGATGCGGGCCCTGCGGGACCTCCAGGAGAACCTGGACAGCCAGGAGCCCCCCGCGGTGGAGCCCCAGGCTATCCACCAGCAGCAGGAGGTGCTGCACGAGATCCGGCAGGAGATGGAGCAGACCAAGCCCGAGGTGGAGCAGTGCCGCCAGGCCGGCCAGGACCTGATGCAGCTGTGCGGGGAACCCGACAAGCCCGAAGTGAAGCGGCACATCGAGGACCTCGACTCGGCCTGGGAGAACGTCACCAGCCTGTACGCCAAGAGGGAGCAGAACCTCATTGACGCCATGGACAAGGCCATGGAGTTCCACGACACCCTGCAGGTACGGGGATGTCGTAACTCCTCCTTCGTCTCTCTCAGTCTTGGAGACTTTCAGATTGCGGAGAGCTAGGCTTTGTTTTGCGCCGCATTTTTAGGTTTGTCGACATCATTGTTGTAGGATCTTTCTATTTGGGGGGGATCGGTGGCCAAACACATTAACGCATCGCAACTCGGCTCATGTGGAGCGAAGTGCCAAAACCCTGGGCTCAATCAATGTCCCTAGATAACAAAGTCAGATACCTGTATTTTCAAGGTTACCTAAAAGGGCAAAAAATGCAGGGCACGGATTGGATGCGGGTGTTGCGTCGGCGTTTGGCCGAGACACGTCTGATGAGTGAGGACGCGAGTCGCGGCAGAGTGCTGATGCAGCACTTCTGTCCAGTTCAAGGCCCGCATTTGTCTCTTTTAAAATTCAGTCCTCCAACCTAAAAAGTCTAAGAGGTACTGACTCAGCCCCCACCCCTGCCAATTTCGCTCTGGATGAGAACCGTACCGGCGTGCATCGTGTATTACTACTGCGTGGTACACGTTAAAGACGCCAGGTTAGCAATCGTGCTGCACTGGCGAACTTTCTCATCTATTGCGGAGACGCCTAACTCCCGTTGGAGCCAACTACGGTAACCTCCCGAGGTCTAAACAAACGCACAATTTAAAAGCTCCGGGTTGAACTGTTTCGTGTTGTTCGTTTCTCTCGCTGGAAAACAGAACCTCCTGGAATTCCTGGACACTGCAGAGGAGAAGTATTCAACACTGGGCCCGGTGGCATCCGACATCGACGCCGTCAAATCACAGATTGGTCAACTCAGAGTGAGTGTTCTTTTTGACGTACTCACCAATTTCTCGATTGTACACTTTGTAAGTCGGAGGTAGGTAGCTCGTGCTGGAGGCAGGACAATTGAAGCTCCTCCCCGCCGTTTTCACCCTGTCAGCGACCGTAGCAGCTTATAACCGGGTGGTGTCTGTATGGTGTCCAGCGTTGTCTCCTAAAAATGCTTAGGTTAACAAGATGTACGAGAGGAATTTTCTTTTTAGTTTTCTTTACCAGAATAATGAGGAATGGCTGCTAATACAAATGGAGAAGCTGCCTTCATTTCTGTTCCGCATCCAACCGTTGCTTGCTGACTGGCGGACGATCGGACTGTTCACAGGACTTTAAGCGCGAGGTGGACCCGCACATGGTGGAAGTGGAGTCGCTGAATCGCCAGGCCAAGGAGCTGGTGGAGCATACCTCCGCGAATCAGGCTCGTGCGATTCGGGAACCCATGGACGACATCAATCGGCGCTGGACCGCCCTCCTCAAGGGTCTCGTCGACCGACAGGTAAACCGAACGGGCGTTCTATTCCTAAACCGCGTCCGCTCCTCTCCGCCTTCACGCTGCCGCTTTTGATCACAACAAATCAAACTGGCCGAACAATAACTGCCCAGTTTGGCATGCACGGTGTCCTCGGTGGCACTGCGGAAAGGATGACCGCTCGAGTTGACGTTCTGAGTCGGATTGTCTTTAGCTCAAAAGCACAATCAATTAAACGTGCGATAGCAAAGTGATAGCGAGGAACAGTCTGCCGACGACGATGATGATGATGAGGTGCATCTTGCTAACACAGAACCAATGATGCGAGAGCATGGAGGTTTAGATTTTGCATTGTATTAGCCCGTCGCATGTTGTACTATAGGCGTAGACACCTTGCCTGGCAGGTTTTGAGATGAGAGGAAACCGACAGCATTGGCTCGTGTCAAATTCTTTTCTTTGATGCTCTTGCACCAAGAATCTCTAGTCTCAATGTCTAACTGAGAATGTAACAGCCAGTGATATTTTTTGGGTGTCAGTAGGGATTGATTCAACCCGGCATGTTGGCATTATAACAGCAATCGGAAGAAACTAATTCACTGTGGGGGTGTGGGTCCAAGAAATTATGCACTATATACTTTGTTTCACTGTAAGTGCAAGCAAAGCCGAAGCATGCACGAGGATATTGCCTGAAACAGGGTTCTCACTGCACGAGCGTGCTAGTGGTGCCCATTCGAAGTGTGGCCTTCGGTCTTGTAGCTTTTGTTTTGCTTACACTTATCATGTAACAAAGTATAGGTATAAAGAAAATTTGTCACGGCTACTGGCCCCCTTTGAAGACACGTCGTTGTCGTGCTTCCGAGCGTTTTATGTTGTCGAGTCACACTCCCGGATAAATGAATTGTTATTAATAAGTGTGTGTTTTCCTCTGTTTAGCGGGAGCTTGAGAATGCCCTGCTGCGCCTGGGCCAGTTCCAGCATGCGCTGAACGAACTGCTGGTCTGGATCTCCAAGACCGAGAAGACCCTGGAGGACTGCAGGCCGGTCGCAGGGGACGCCCAGGTCATCGAGGTCGAGCTGGCCAAGCACAAGGTCGGTTAACTTGGCGATCGGGCAAGCCACTGTCTCTCTCTCTCTTTCCTCAACATTTGTGCACTTGTATTTCCTGACCTTCCCGATTTGTTTGGGAGAGTTTATCCGCAGAGTGATGTTTCTATTTTCCTTTCTAGAAATCCCATTTCAGTTATTTTCCTCTTGTGCAGGTGTTGTGCGATTGCTAGCTATCAGTTAAAAATGTTAGTAAAGCGGCGTGCTATCAAAGCAATAAAATATCTCGACCGTGACCTCGGCTCACCCACATAGCATGGTGTCTTATAAGCTGCATAAGTACCCACATGCATTTCTGGCGGTGGTTATAGCTTATTGTGTTCAGCAAGGTGTAATGATTCATTTACATAAAGATGTTCAGGAAAGATAAGTATGGAATGGGCATAAAAAAGCATGTCAGTTTATTTTGCATATTTTTCTTTTTACGACGCGTTTAAAAAATGAATGGAATTTTTTTATCGGTATACTGGACTCCTTTAGTGTTATCATTAGTGCTTCTAGACACCTCCATTCCATTCGTCAGGTGATTTCGTTAGAATGGTCACGAGAAATCGAGTAAAGTTTCATAAGTTTGAAATGTAGTTGTGGTAGGAGTCTTGATTTTTTTGTTGCACTATACTTCGCTCATGTCCGACCGGAGTCCAGACAAGACTGTGTTGCCATCCCAGGTGCTGATGAATGACATTCAAGCGCACCAGACGAGCGTGGACACGCTGAACAGAGCAGGTCACCAGCTAATAGAGGCGGACAGGCACAGCGAAGACGCCAGTGCCACCCAGACTAAGCTGAACAACCTGAACCGTCGCTGGCAGGCGCTCCAGGACAAGGCAGCGGAGCGCCAGCGCCAGCTGGAAGCAGCTCTCAAGGAGGTAACGCCCACCCTCACGCATAGTGTTGTAGGGGAGAGGTTTGGCCGTGGTGGTTGCTACGTTCCATTTACCTGGCACACTTCCTGCACCATGCTACACGGCATCCGCGCTGTCGTCGTCGATTTACGAGTACAGCCCATTTAAACACATACAGCGGAAGTACATTGCCCAGCAGATTTCTGCACCACGCTACACTTTTCTTCACTGGTGCAAGTAAATCAAACGAGTTTAGTGTCACTTAGCATGAGCAACATGTGTAATATGTTGCAACATTGACACTGTCACGGAATTTGCACTAGCCACGACAGTGTCCCTTTGCACATTGGCTGCATGTGGTGTGACTGGACGAAGTGGGGAATTGGAACGTTAGAACCGATGTTTATTTGAGTTCTTACCCGACTTAGCGACAGGAACATTACATATGTTTGCAGAATATGGAGGTATTTCACGTTAAGGAACTCTCAGTGAATACCAACGAATCCACGTTGAAATTGAGTTGTTCGAAAGCCTTAGCTGTTAGATTATTGTGTCAGGCACAAAAATATTGAGGTTTGTAATCTTAATGTCACATGGGATTTATGATCATTTCATGCATTAAATTTCCGTATAATCAACACTGCACATCAAACAAGCTTCAATATGTCCCAAACGATCGAGAACGTTGAAGCTTAGTTGTCGGTCTGGCTCGACCGGTGCCTTCCGTTTTTAAAGCTAGTTTTCAAGCACGCGTTCTCTCGTTCTTTGGCAGGCACAAGCCTTCAACCAAGAGATCCAGGACCTGCTGATGTGGCTGGGCGACGTGGACGGACAGCTGGCGTCGTCCAAGCCGGTCGGAGGGCTGCCTGAGACTGCCCGGGAACAGCTCAACCGCTTCATGGTCAGTCCTTTCAGCATACATCAGATGTCTGGCAAGAACATTGCCTTTCTACAAGAGCCACGGATACGAGTCATTGCTCAGACATGGAATTTCGCTCGAAGATGTTGAAATTTCACTCCAGGGGGGGGGGGGGGGGGGCTGTTGACATTCTCCTTGTAAACGTCTTTTACTTGTCGCGGTATTGTGTTTAAATTTAAAACTTTGACTTTTTATGTGTAGAGGGTAATTATAATGATAGTCTAGCATCTTGTGTGATAGAAACGGCTAACCAGTATGTGTAAAAGTGATGTTTCTACATTCATGAAACTGACTAGGAGCGTATAAGTGGCTAGGCATTGGGGCTTCGCTAGCAACTTGCATCTACTTTTGCTTAGTCTCGCTTGCTTTTTTAGCTGTACATTCTCCCTACCTTGTACAGAATTTTTTTTCTTTTTCTTTTAGGCAATGTTGAATTTGACTTGGTGCCGTGCCGCCCACTGTTGACCACCTAATGAAAGGAGCCACTTTGCTTTGCTGTCGACGTGTAGAAGTTGAACCTCGATGAGACATGTTTGTGCCTCGCAGGAGCTGTACAACGAACTGGACAGCAACAGGCACCGTGTGGAGTCGGCCCTCCAGCAGGGGCAGGAGTACACCAAGGTGGCTGAAGGCACCACCACCACTGCCCTCCAACACAGCCTGAGGACCCTCAAACAACGTTGGGACAATGTCCTCAACAGAGCCAACGACCGAAAGGTGGGCTCGGCGCTCGCCGTCCATGCGTTGACTCGATCGGCATGAGCCCCATTTTTTTTTATGGCACGGAGAATTTCTGTTTTCGTTGCACAGTTAATCCATTCAGATCTCAGCGTTACCTCGAAGGAATGACTATAAATTTATTTGGCACGTATGCTGTGCTCAGTGATGGTACAGTGCCATCTACTGGTGACTATACCAGATATAACAATGTACTGCTCATGACAATTGTTTTCTGGAGTTTCTAGCCTAGAGACGCTCAATTTCTAGTCCAGATAAAACAATAATTGGCGTGACGATTGAAATTTCGGGTTTTTTCATTATTGTTATAGGTAGATTGCACTGTAGTTGTATGCTTTAATTTAAGCTCATCGTACAGGGCATATTTTCAACACCTGTACTTCAGTTGTTAAAGCGTAGTCCACCGGAGGCTGTTTGGCCTACCTTAGTAATTTGCAGGAATTTGTTGCATGGCGGGACAGTGTAGTACTCTCTTGATATATGTGGACTATTCCCGACTTTGTGCACAACTATGCAAGGTAAAGATTAGCGTGAAACATTCTTTGGCTAGCTGTTCGGCATTTCGTGATGCCCGAAAGTGAAGCCTGGATAAAAACATGGCCGCGAGGCTCGACATTGATTGGTTGACGAGTGGGAGAGGAGAAGTGAGGTGCTAGATGCTGATTGGTTAACAAGGAGGCCATGTGACCAGCGGTGAAGTGAGAAGAGGTAGGCGAGGAGGCGAGGCGGGAGAGGAGAGGAGTGGGTTAAAAGGTTCTGGAAGATTACCAGGTTTATCATTTGAAAGGTATACATGCCACAGATTAAATTATCTGATGAAGAGCGCCACGAACATAGGCGTCTGGCTGAACAGGCTAGACGTGCTGCTAAACGATGATATAAACGTTTGTGATGTTAGAAGGTTTTAGTTTGCTTTGTGGGGACTGACTATAAAGCAAGGCAGCAACAAAGTACCTTTATGATGTGAGAGACTTAATTGAGATACCTCCCACTTGGGTCTCTATACGACGGTTGCTTCGTAGTGCACTCCACAATGCTTCTTGCTTGGTCGTTTTCACAGATAAAGCTCGAGATTGCGCTGAAGGAGGCGACAGAGTTCCACGAGTCTCTGCAAGAGTTTGTGGAGTGGCTGACCAACTCTGAGAAGTACCTGACCAACCTGAAGCCCGTCAGCCGCATCCTTGAGAACGTGCTCGTGCAGATCGAGGAACACAAGGTGGGACCCTGAAATGTGCTGAATTTCATGCCGGAGGGACTTTCTGTTAGAAGCAGAAAGGGTTGCCTGTTTAATACATCTGCTAGAAGTTGTGCAGATATCTGCTGTGCTTTTGTTCTTATGGCAGTAAGCTCGCTTAACGATTGTACCCCAGTTTTCAGTTGACAAAATAACCGAGTTTCTACGGAGCTTCTTCTCAAATCTTGTGAAATCTAAGGCCCAAAGTTGAAGAACCTCTGAGTATGATTGTGCTAGAGTTATTTATGTAATCCCGATCATCTGCAGGCTCTAGAGGTAATATTTCTCATATACTATAACTTTTCGTGCCACGCTCACATGCACACTTGTCTTCTTGTACAGGAGACCAGACATTCCCCTAAAGACTGCTCTGCAAAAGTCTGTGCTATTATATAAGCTTTCGATAACATCAAGGCCAACCTTTTTGGGCAAACGTTCCGCATGCGCCTTCTTCAACCGCCCAAGTGGTCTTAAACGCCCGTACAGTGGCGTGCGTGATACCCTTGCACCGTTCCCGACGCATCCTTTGCGTTTCTTTTTGTCGTCGCCATCGCACAGACGTTCCAGAAGGATGTGGGGGCACACCGTGAGACGATGCTGAACCTGGACAAGAAGGGCACCCACCTGAAGTACTTCAGCCAGAAGCAGGACGTCATCCTGATCAAGAACCTGCTCATCTCCGTCCAGCACCGTTGGGAACGCGTCGTCTCCAAGGCCGCCGAGCGAACACGCAGCCTCGACCACGGCTACAAGGAGGCCAAGGAGGTGCGTGTTTGCCCGCGCCTCCGCGAAACGCCATTGTGCCAGTCATTTGATGCGTAGTATGTGGTCGGGTACCGAGTAATGGACAAGCGTGGCAAAGTGTTTAGATGTTTGGTACTTAAGATACTGAGTAACAAACATCTCTTAACGTGGAATGTGTTTTATCGGCCTATTTCCACGGAGTTCTTTAATGTTTGGCTGTAACGACACCGAAAGGCGTTGCACCCTTAGGGAACCGTATCAAAAGACTTTAGTCCCCCGGGGGGATTTGAACTCTCCACCCTGAGGTTGTGAGCCAGGCGCTTCGCCAACTGAGCTTTCCAGGCTCGGTGGTATGGACCATGCAAGAGCCAAGTCTTTGGTGCGGCGCGCGAGGAATCAGTCTCGCACTACGCCCTTCCCTTCTCCCTTGAAGGGCCTATCGCTTGTTTCGTGCTTACCGGTCTTTGTCCGCATGATCAAGCTCGTATAATTGTTATACTTAGTTTCATTGTAAGTACGAACATAGCGGAAGCTTTGAGAGCGAACTTCAGGCTTCCAGCATCCCTGCCGAGCATGCATGCTCGTGCTTCTAGCTTCAGCTTCACTCTTGCATGATAGGCGCTTGTGAACATTTTCCGGTTCCCTTCCACAAACTGCAGCGATTGAAGGCGCCCATTCACACACTTGCAACTTAGTAGGTCCGGCCGAGACAAGACCGGTTTTTAGGCCTCTTGCGATGGTTTAGGACCTGCTCTGCTGCAGTGCATCCGGTCCTATGGTGTCGTGAGAAGCTTAAAACCGGTCTTGGCTCAATCGGTCCTACTCGGTTGCAAGTGTGTGAACGGGCCTTGACTCTCTGTACATTTCACGAGAAAAAGTGTATGCTTGAGCATTGTGCGTAAGGAGTCAGGAGTAAATAGAGCCCCTTCTCTAATGAGAGACATGAATGCTGCTGCTGTGATCAGTCAATGAAAACTGGTTGACTGATAGATGCATGGCCAATTATTCATAAGGTGCAAACAAAAGCAAGGAATGACCTATTTTTGGAGCGATGTATAGCCCATCGTGGATACGATGGCAGATAAAGACACGGGCTCACGTCTTTAACCAGGTTCTCACGCCGTCGCTCGCTCTCTCTCGACGCAGTTCCACGACTCGTGGGCGGAGCTGGACCGCTGGCTGGCGGAGGCAGAGCGCAGCCTGGACGACCAGCCCGCTGCCGGCAACGACCCGGACAAGATCAGGCGCCTGCTGGCCCGGCACAAGGAATTCCAGCGGGCGCTGGGGGCCAAGCAGCCCGCCTACGACGCCTGCGTGCGCCAGGGCAGGCTGCTGAAAGAACGCTGCCCCAAGGCCGACCTGCCCGTGCTGCAGCGCATGCTGGACGACCTCAAGGCACGCTGGAATGCCGTCTGCAACAAGAGCGTAGACAGGTGCGTTCGAGCCTAGCACCGGAATGCGGCTTTGACCGGTGCGTTCAGAGCCCTGTCCTTCCCATGCGTGAATCAGTGCGACGAAGGTTTACTACGACAAAAAGGCAGCGTAATCGAGATTTCGGTTGCATGTCTAAAGATCCCTAGGCGGTTGAAAAGAATCCTCCGTTGAAAGTAGTCTCGAAGTGGCAAAAAACAATGTAGCGGAAGCAGCGCGTGGTGTCGTCAGATGTTGCGATCCATGCAGTTGTTGGTAGAAGTTCAAAAGAGAAAAAAAAAAGAAGGCTTAGAAGCGTTGTTGCATGCCCAAAGCACCAAACTATTTGTTTGTTTTTTCTGCTTTGCAGGCAGAGGAAGCTGGAAGAGGCCTTGCTCTTCTCTGGCCAGTTTAAGGATGCAGTGCAGGCGCTCATCGATTGGCTGGACAAGGCTCTGGGGACACTCAAGGAAGACCAGTTGGTTCACGGAGACCTGGACACGGTCAACAACCTCGTCGAGCAGCACAAGGTACCCACGATCGTGTGCCTTTTGCGTGCCTTTCGCCCGACTGCCCTTAATGTGTGGCTGTCCATGTTTGCCAATTCTATGAATCCGTCAGAACTCCTTTCTTGAAGCTTCCAGACTTTGGGCTTCAACTAGGAGTCTGGTCTAATAATGACACTACTTGAGCATATGTTCTAACTTTTGAGTTCTAAGGGGCAGTTGAAAAATGTGGACGTTCAAGTTAGGGAGTGTGAGAATATAAAAAGGTATTGAATATCGCAAGGCTGGACACAATCTGGGCCTATTCCTCCAGGAAGCAATTTATAGACGAGCACTTTTTTTTTGCAGAGTTTCTCGTAAAGGGGCACATACTGTTCGCTTCGTATGAGGAATTAAATTTTGCCCTCTACTCTCTACAGTGGGGTTGCATTTTCAGGGAATCGGTGCTAGCTAGCTCTTGTCTGCCATTTGAAGGACGAATACAGGCGTCTTGCCTCCTACCCTCCGATCATTTGTCCTTGTTATGACCCGCTCAATCGAATTTTTTTCATTGACTTTCGATCGTGTCCCCGCCCGTCGTCGTGCAGAGCTTCCAGACGGAGCTGAAGAGCCGCTCCACCAACCTGGAGTCCGTGCGACGTACGGCTAGCGAGTTGCTCAAGACGGCGAGCTCGGAAGATGCATCCAACATCCGGCAGCAGATGTCCATCCTCGAGTCCAAGTGGGACACCGTGTCCAAGCTGTGCGAGAGCAAGCAGACGAGGCTGGACGAGGCACTCAAGCAGGTACTGTACCCTTCCCTCCATCTCTTGCTTGTACAACAAGTGTGTGCTGTCTTATCCTCAAGTCTGCTTCCTAGGTTGGATACTTGGCGAGAAGGTCGTCGAGATCACCAACCGCCGCGATTGGCCAGCATTCGTCTTGGTGCTGGCCACTCGCGGTGGTTGGTGATCTTGCCAACTTTCTCGTTGAGTGTCCAACTTAAGGCCCTAGAAAGACTTCTTGAGGGGATGCATCTACGAATTTATATAATTTTGTCATAGAGGGACTGATGCATATGCGCAGCATTTATGGCGCTTTGGTGTCTGTGGCAGGCAGCCTCGATTGTGCAGTCATGCCAATGAGTTCGCATCATTTACGCGATGTCATTCTTGCGTGCAATAGGAGGAGAGTGAAGAGGCCCTATCAATGGTGATTATGCATTTAAAATGCCTTTGAAAGATGCTAAAGAAACTGCCAATTTTTTCACTTCTCCAATTACAGCCGGGGCGTAGTCATGTACCCATGGCTTTCCTCAGACTCTCCCTCATTTCGTTTTCTTTCTTTCGTCCAGGCGGAACAATTGCACAAGGCGGTGCACATGCTGCTGGAGTGGCTCTCGGATGCAGAGATGAAGCTGCGCTTCGCCGGCCCCCTCCCCGAGGACGAGGCGACGACGAGGCAGCAGATTGCGGAGCACCAACAATTCCTGCGCGAGATGGACGAACAGCAGGTCAACAAGGTGGGGACGCCCGGATCGATACGTTCGCAGTCGTCGCTTGCCGGAAGGGTGCGAGGGTGTGGGAATGTCGCTTTCAGTCGAACGGCATCACCGTTCCCGGCTTGACGCAAAAACATTCGCGAAAGCAGAGGTTCCCCGTATCCGAACCCTCCGCGCGACCCGTCTTTTCAGGACAAGACGATAGCGCTGGCCCAGGAGATCCTGGCCAAGTGCCACCCAGACGCGGTGACTGTGATCCGGCACTGGGTGACGATCATCCAGTCGCGCTGGGAGGAGGTGTCGCTGTGGGCCCGGCAGCGGCAGCAGAAGCTGGAGGACCACCTGCGCTCCCTCAGGGACATTTTGGACCTGCTGGAGGAGCTCATGCGCTGGCTGCTCGGAGCCGAGGCCACCCTCACCGCCCTCGAGGCGCAGCCCCTGCCCGACGACATTCCCCTCGTCGAGAGGCTGATCGACGACCACAAGGTGGGACACGCATCTCTGGGACGGCAGGCGGTTGTGTGAGCCGGCGAATAAATGACAGACACTTTTTCCCGTTTTAAGGAGACTGCGCTTTCGTGGGAACCCCACACGGACCTTATTTGCTCGTGTTGATCGTTTGTCACGCCGTGGCAAGGCTGAGGAAGACAGTACAAGCGATAGAGCGAGGCTGTTAGTCTGATTGCATAGCCTCTGCCACAAAACCAGAGTCGCGTTACATCGCAGTGTCACGCAATGTCGCTGTGTTGTTGCGTGATATTGCGAATTGCCTGCTAAATTTATCGGGAAAATGTGTCCGCTGAAATTGTGTGGCAGGAGTGTCGCTCATTGAAAAGCCTACAAAGTGCTATCGCACCTTTGCCGTATTTGACGAAAAGTCTTGAGTCGAGCAATTTTTTTTTGACTGACAATTGGAAAGAACATTACCAAAACCTAGCGTAGAATGTTGGAATATGCTCGCCCCAGACACCTACATAGACATTGCGAATCGATGTCTGTTCGAGGAAAACATAGAAAAAGGACCAACGTCGTGTTTCTGCTAACCGTGTTGCGCGGTGTACTCCCACTGGCTCCCATATTTACGTATCTATGCTTCGTCTCCCCTTATGACGGATCGCAAAGGACACAATGAGCCATTTTTGCCAGTCGGGTGCTTGTCGCCGTGCCCCTCCCAATCGGGTTACGTCGTACCAAGACGAACCAGCGACGGGAGGTAACGGTGCCGACGCGTCTCCCTTTGGGTGTCCGCGGACGACACGATCATAAGACGAAACGGAGCGTAGTCTTGGCGCAATCAGGGTAGCGTTGTACCGAAAAAAGGTGACTGTGTTGATGCGGTGCCTCCGCCCAGGTGTTCATGGAGGACATGTCGAAGCGGCAACCGGACGTAGACCGGGTGTCAAAGGCCTTCTCGGGCAAGCGGCAGCAGCCGCCCGTGCAGCAGCCCGTGCAGCAGCTGCAGCAGCACCCCGTGGGGGCCCGCAGGAGGGGGGAGCCCCTGCACCACGACCGGCGCACCACCCCACACGGAGCTTCTCAGAGCACGCCCAGGACCTCCACCCCCGTGTGAGTGCCTCCGAAGGAGCGCCTTGGCTCGGTCCGCCCCTAGATTCCGACATTTCGACGCAAATAACGCGACTCAAAGCGGCACGCCACGTTCAACCGTCGTTCTCGACCGACACGCGGGTCGGGATGTCCCGTGATGTCGCGGCGTCGCATAACGCTGTGTTTCTGAGAGGACTTCTGCGTGCATAAAATTAATGAGTGTGTCATTATCCGAGCAGACATCGGCGACGGTTCCTCCACGTAACGTGCGAGATAGGTAAGGGTACATTAGGGTCAGACGGTGTATCGCAATTATCGCCAAGATCGTACTGTGTTTTTTTTCTTAATATTTTATTGCCACTGTAGAAGGACAGTTTGGTCAACGCAGCAAGTCTTCACTCAATACCTCTTGTTACATGGAACTGCTCGCTCTAAAAGTGCATTCAGTCTGGTCACCCCGGAGGTGCGGTGGAAGCCACGAGCTTGTTGAACGGGTTGTGCGCGTGGGTAAGGCTCTTGCCCGTACGCACGCACAGAGAGAGGGATCGGTCGATAAGAGGGAGGCGTTTCTTCTGTTTGGCCGACGTACAGATCCCACCGTCCTTTCGGCTTAGTGTGAACAATGTGTAGGTGCTTAGAGCTCATGTCGGTCAGATCTCGGCTGACGATCGCGGCCCTACAACTGCTCTGCAGGCGTGGACACCATGCTGAACCCGAGATCCGGCACCCACGTGCCAAGGAACTGGTAGACAAGTGGCAGCATGTCTGGCTGCTGGCCCTGGAGAGGCAGCGCAGGCTGCTCGAGAGGCTCAAGTACCTTCAGGAGGTGAGGGCTCTTCGGCGCTCCTGCCCTTTCAAAAGGAGGTTTAGTGGGGATTTTTGGACAAGAACTAGCAAATATTTGCGTCTCTAGTTGTTGACGGGATAAGAATGGCAGGGAGATAGTTCAGTTCTCCCGTTTCCAGCGTGAGCTTTTTACCTTTGGTAACGTTTCGGTGTCTCTTGAGCTCGGAGCGAGTGCACATGTCCAAAGCATGACTGTTGACAAGGCTGGGCATCCGAAAGATGCGCCGCGCTTCATGGCCTGTCATTGACTATAGAGGACGATATTAATCTCGACGAAGAACCCGGGATGTCGAAATAAATTTTTGCCGTTTCCACGTAAGCAATTTGATCTGAAATGGGTGAGAGATGAAGTGGACAAAATCGCAGGGAGGAAGCAGCGGCCTCGGGAAATTCCAGTGCCGCAAAAGGGTTTCCTCCTCGGATTTAGCGGTGAGGAAGCAGCGCGTGAGAAAGAGAGAGGGGGATTTGTTCATGTTGGGCTGCATTTATTATGGTAAATAAAGGCAGGGCGTGCGCACAAATTGTTTTTGCATGTTTGGCTCATTTACACTGTCTACATTTAGGGTGTACTGTACCTCGGGTATTTCATAGTCCAAAGCCCGTTTTGTGCTCTCTTAAAATCTTTGTGAGCATGTCTACTTGTCACATTATTCATTACCCTCGAGGCAGTTAGGCAGAGTCTGCTTAGAACAGAATGGGCCATTTCTTTTTTCGCTCGGTCCTTGTTAAGAATGTTGTTCTAAAACGTTTGCCCTCTCTCATACAGCTGGAGAGCATCAAGAACTTTGACTTTGATGAATGGAGAAGAAGGGTGAGTAAGCCGTCCGGTGTCGGACGTTTCCCTTCCCACTCATGCGCCTCAAAAAATTAGCCTGAACGTTCTACGAGTTGATGGCTAATCCGCGTTTCTTCCATTTCTTTTTCGTCGTTGTTGCTAGTTCTTGGGCTGGATGAACAACAAGAAGTCCCGAGTGATGGACTTGTTCCGCAAGATCGACAAGGACAATGACGGGAAGGTGACCAAGGAGGATTTCATTGACGGCATCCTCAAGTCAAGTACGTCCCGTCCAACCATGTACATCTCTGGCATCTAACTTTTCTGGACTGTGCCAAAACTTGCCCGTCAACTGTTACGGCCTAAACTCGGTGTGGTCCAGACACTGCTGTTCTACGCTTCATTCCACTTTACGGTGGACCGCTGGGGGCGCCGTGAGTCACGTGACCTTCGGGAGTGGTGCAGCAACCCGTGGGGCATAGTCACGCAACACGCTCAAAGTGCCGGATTGGCTAGGGTGGCCCGCAGCATCCGCCGTAAGGTGAAACGGAGTGTCGACTGACTCTGAAGCCAACGTTCTCCTAATGTTGCATCAATGTTTTGTTGATGTAGTGGCAACATTATACTCTAATGCCGTGCCAATGCTGCGTGCTTCTCGAATGGTGGGAGCAGAACTGTACATAGCTTCCAACTTTTCCGGGCTGGGCCAAAAGACTGGCAGGTCGACCGTCGCACCCTAATATCAATGTGGTCGGGACGCCGGAGTTTCAGACTGCCTCGGAAGTGTCGCTCTTTCTTAGCCAATATCCCGCCGACGTTGCGTCAATGTTTTACCGATCAAGTGGCAACATTTTACTAAGGCTGTGCCAACGTGGTACGCTCATTTGGAGGCGGCGATGCCGACGCTTTTATGAAAACCAACGTCTTCGTTGTTCCCGTTGTCAGAATTCCCGACGAGCAGACTCGAGATGGAGAAGGTGGCCGACATCTTCGACCGAAACGGCGATGGCTACATTGACCACAAGGAGTACATCGACACCCTTCGTCCGGATCGAGACGTAAGCGCAGCCGGCCACCTTTCTGCTACCATAGTACTCCAGAGTTGCTGCTTGCTTTTGGAAACTGATGCTCTATCAAGAGGTCACCCGAGAACATTACGCTTGCCCGCTACAATAAATGACGAGGCATTGGAAAAGGTGTTTGGAGGAAAAGTGGCAGCATGCATCACTTTAGCTAAGGGCCAGCTGGGATTCACTAGCGACTAATGGTTCTTGTCCCTCAACACCCATCTTTATTGGGGTGTAGCATCGATTGGCTAGCGAGGAGTGCAAATTTGCTCGTGGTTACATTTGAGTGGCAGGAGTGAGGCAAAGAAGTATAATTCGGTGGGTGTTGCTTTGGTATAATGAGTGTTTCATCACCGATGTTGCGTGTAGAGAAGGGAGCGAAAGAAAGCAACAAAAGTTGCCACTTGAGGTACTATCTGAGGATTGGTGTCCGAGTGCAACGTAATGTGCAGTGCGAAATGTTCAAGCCTGATGAATTTCGATCGTTCGGTCGACTATGTCGGAAAAATGGAAAAGGCAGGGCATTAATGGAAAGGTTTTGCTCGGATTATATGATTCATTGGCAGCGATGTATTTTAGCAAGCGTTGTGTTCTAGGTGGCGTTTTGCTGACTCACACTTCTCTTGCCGTAGCAGCTGATTTACCTTCTCGGCTCTTGGCATAGAGTTTAGAAACCGAGCTTGTGCTTTTGGAAGTAACTCGTCGAGTTTGAGCGTCTGTTTTGCCGCCCCTTGAAGCCTAACCTCTCACCTTTTTATACATATTTTTTTTTTATTTCTCTAACGACTGGTTGTTTCTTCCATTTTTCTCGCCAAACTAAACGCACCTTCCTGCAGTGCTTGGTTCATGGTGCGAGGCAGGTAAGTCAATAATGCCCCGACCAAGAAATGCGCTTAACGTGCTGTCCCGCTGCTTTTGGTTTTTCCCTGTATCCTGTCATCCCAGCTCGGCGTGCCTGCCCCTTGCGTTTCTCTTGGCCCCTCGCACTTTGTTCTGCATTTATTGCGCTGCTGCAAACAGTTGCTTTGATCAGCCTGCCACTTTTCCAAGCTTTCAAACTGTTTGCAATCGCTCTCTTCTTTAACGAGTCGCAAAAGTTGTACGCTACAGTCTACACCCCTTTTCTAAAGCTGTCGTAAAAGAGGTGTCAATTTCATCTGGAGATTGTGACTTCTTGTGAACATATTGCATAGTCATTTGACTGTTTAATATATTTGATTTTCTTCAAAGCATTTCTTGTTAGTACAGTAATGCTTGGTTGAGATTACTATGTAAATATTGTAGTCCCTTTGATTGTTACGGATAACCTTGTAAACTTGCATTACTGCACAGCTCCAGTTGAGAAGCCCATATTTTCATAGGGGGGTCACGTCTTTTTAATGTCTCTAACAATGTTTCGAGTTATTTTAATTTTTAGTGTGGTAGCGCAGAAAATTTACCTATATCATTTCAGAATTTTACACAATCGCATTCTGTAATCACTACATGCCAGCCTGAGGTGCTTTCTGGCCTGTTTGTAAGGCCAATTCTGCCTTTGACACCTTACCTCTTTTTTTTCCTTTTGTTTTAGCAGCAAACTTTTCAATGTGGTATTGTCACACGTCCCTAGTGTCGTCCTGCACCCGTTTTTCAAACGCCACACCCTCCCTCTTTGTTGTTTGAAAATTGAAAATGATAATAATAGACCTCTTTGTCTCTCGGTGTTGGAGTTGGTGATATAGTGTAATAGTACAGATTGAGTTAAGCCATTCTTTCAACTCGTTGTTTCAAGCTAATGTCCTTCCCTAGATCACTCAAGTTTGGGCGAAGGAAGTCACTTGCCCCGTTTATTGCTTGTGGGGCCTTGTTTAAATACTTTCGCTTAATGTAAGTTTCACTGCAGAGGAGCTTTCACTGCGACAACTAGTCTTACCGGCGGAAACAGTCGAAAAAGCAGAGGAAGAATTCTTAAATTTTTACAATTTAAATTATCTGTGGGAACCTTTAGAGTCGGGACGACCATTTAATAGGTTTTGTTCTTTCCCCCGACCGGACGGCTGAGCAGAACAAGCCGCTCACGGAGGCCGAGAAGATCCAGGACGAGGTTCAGCGGCAGGTTGCCAAGTGCACCTGCGTGCACCGCTTCAAGGTGTTCCAGGTCGGGGAAGGGAAATACAGAGTAAGTGCCCTCTCTTTCCTTCTCTTCCGTCTTCATTCTTTGGCGTTGTGTTTTAGACTGGACGCTTTGTTTCCTCGTACAGCGCATTGACTGTCTCCTGGCTTCAGCGATTTACGATCGGACCGATGACCGTGTTCATTGCCGAAACCTCATCACATTTATTATATAAATGTTTTTGAGATAAAAAGTCTCGGTAGGCCTGTTCAATTGACCTGCACTTCCGGCATCTTGTATGCTCGGTGTTGTAATATACAACGTTATGCATCAGTACAGATGCAAGTAAGCTCACAACCACTCTAATGACTCTTTAAATTGTTTAACCAACACCCTTTCTTGACCCTATCTGTTCTGTAGTAGCCATATTCGTTCCCAGATATGTGACAATCACTTGACACTTGTTGCTTTGAATCTGGTGACAACAATGGAACGTGTTGAGTGGCCGTTTGCTCGTTGAGTCTTTCGGACCCCCCCCCCCCGTGACCACTGCGACCGCTTAGCGGCCACTTTGCCCTGTCCTCAAGCGGCGTCTTTGTCGTGGTTTCCTTCCAGTTTGGCGAATCTCAGAAGCTCCGTTTGGTGCGCATTCTGCGAAGCACGGTCATGGTGCGTGTGGGCGGAGGCTGGGTTGCTCTTGACGAGTTCCTGGTCAAGAATGACCCCTGCCGAGGTCAGTCCCTCTTCTTTGGCCGCTCTGGCTGCTCTCGCATTACGCGTGACGCTCGTTGGTGACTTGTTGTCGTACCAGCTCAATGAGACAAGACCGTACGAGATAACCATGTCTTTTTCGTGGCTATCTCTGAAGAATATTTGTTGCGGGATGCAAATCCTTTTAAAGGGAGACACTGCTTTTTAATGCAAGAAATACAAAAAAAAAACACATTTTTGAAATTGTGTTTTTTGAAGGATGGCAGGCACTTACCTCGTCCTTGAACGATTTCTGTAAAACAAGTGTTTCTTATCTTTAAAAATTTTTTTGGAAATAAACTGGGTCTGTGGATGTTTTTTTTTAGCTATTATTTCTGAGTGAACTATTTACACACTTTGCTCTTTTATGGAAGCCGTATCTCCACTTGCACATCTCCTATCTTCGAAATTTTTTCTTTCTCTGGTAGGTGTATGTGTCAAGTATGCAATTAGGGGTGTAAATATTAAATATAGTACATATCGGGCTTCTTTTAGGTGCCTTTTAGGCATCCTGCAATAGATCAGTTTGGAATTGGAAAATTTAAGTGTCCTAAAAAGCCTCTAAATTGCCACAGAGCTTTCATTTATGCCTTATAGGATTCCACAGACCTTTTAGTTTACTGATTGTGTTTATTTTCATATTTCAGTATTCCAATTTCTCTTTTTTTTTAATTTTTTTAATAATAACAAAACTAATTGGGCTACATCAAAACAAAGTGCATATTTTTAGTCAGGTTGTAATGGCCGATAAGCGATGTAAATTATATTTGAATTGAATCACAAGTTATATAAAAAAGCTCTAGAAGCATTGTTGCCCCTGAAGCATTGGAGTTTCTTTCTAGCCTCTTCAATTCCTCATTCCACGTAGGCAAATGGCAGCGGTGATTTAGGGAACAACTGTTTGTGTGTAAGTGTAAAATGAGGCAAGTTGTATCAGTAGGTACCTAACTCATATCGCACCCTGCTGCGTTAATCCCAGTGGGCTCTCTCGATCGAAACGTCGACAGCCGTCAATATTTCTATATATGATGGAAGCAGGCAGCAAAAAATTATCCTTCACATTTTTTTTGAGATATAGCAAAGTGTGATCACCCCCCAAGAAAAATTAAGTTCAATAGAGGGTACATAAAATATTTCCAGACATTGTAAATTGTATGCCTGAGAGTTCTCTCAAGTAGTCTTTCGCACGGTATTTAACAAAGGGTTAATCGACCGCACGGTACTTAACAAAGGGTTAATCGACCGCACGGTACTTAACAAATGGTGAATCGACAGCAATGAACGTTGTTCATTGCATATGGAAAGCTGTGCAAGTCTTTTCTCGTTGAACTGGTGCAAATCAATGTTGCTTAGAATTTAGAAGTCTTGGCTTCATTGCAGAAGGCAAACCAAACCATACACGTACATTAAGTAAAATAACTTTCCCGTTTAGCTTAGAGTTTAGAATCATGTTATGTTTCAATCAGTCATTTAGAGAAATGCAGATGTTTGGGGCTGCACGTGATTCAGATATTAACTAAATTTTGTATAAACTGTGGTAAGCTCTCTTGAGTGAACTCTCTAAACGTCACGAAAATGGTTCACTGAACTGTTTTTCACCTGGGTATGACCCAACTAGAGGTTCCCGAAAAGTGTGTTTTGAGTGGGGTTCACCCGAGTGAAAGTTTACAGCAGTAATCGTCTAATTCAAGCTCTAGCATTCACATATTCTTGCTTTCTTGTGGTAGTAATGAAATGATGTTGGCTTAATTAAGTTACACATGTTAGTGCTTCTAAACATGACAGTGATTTATACCTATGCCTCTCTTCATAACTGTATTTTTGTGTCTTTTCTTCTGCCATTTTTTCTCTGCTTCCCTGTCACCTGTTTTTTTTTTCTCTTTCTTCTTCTGTGCCAGGAGGGAGAGAAGAAGCGTTGTTGCTAACACGACTAATAATCGAGCAGTACCGACGAAGCCAGTCCAAACAGTTTGAAGTGCAGATGTCACCCCACTGACCACCTCTGACATCCCCATTCCCTGCCTGACACCCTGAAACCATCGAAAACCCCTCATTCCCAACCCCGACTAACCTCTCCTACCATCGACTATCCCTGGGGAGCCTTTGTAGGGAAAAGTAGATGGTATATCCCTAGGATGATACAATGCCCTAGGCAGCATCCCTATGGGGTGTAATTCCCTAGACTGTGTCCCTAGGGGACACCCACGCCCATGTACATAGCTACAACGTCAAGCGGTAGTCCAGCGGTGGCCAAACTCCGTCTCGTGAACTGGACTCCGTGTCCTTTCCCGTTTTTTTGTTAGTGTACAGAAAAAGAGATGGACTTGGTCATGGCGACCCATGTGAGGCGAACCTGATTAAAAACGAAAAGGTTGGAACCATTGAGGTCGGCTCATGTGGTGTGGTTTCTTCGGGGAGAAAAATACTGCGCCTGGAGCATGCCTCTGACTCGGCGATGCACGTTTTCTTTCACTGGGCTTGGCATGACTTTTGGCATGTTTTTTTCTCTTGCCTGTTTTCTTTTCACCATCATTCGACTGCATGTTTTATGGTGTTGCGACTGAAATAACAGCATGCTTACTGTTCTCTTGCACATTTCTTTTCATTAAATCTTCACTAAAAACACTGGACTTATTATTTTTTTTTATCTATGTCACATTTTATAGTTTTGTTAGAAACCTAGATGAAGCCCATCAATGTTTGAAACTTGAATTAAACTTGACGTGTAGACTTGCACATGAAGAATTTATGGTACAAGACTAAGCACCTAACAAATTCTTGTGGTGGGTTTGGATATGACTAAAGACAAAGTTAGTTTGCATGGTTCTAGTGGTGCAACCGTTCTGTTGCGTGTTTTCGGCTGGCAAAGTTGTGGCTCATTTTAATGAAGACCCTATCATTGTGAAAACATATGGTGCTCAAAAATGAAAAAACTAAAAAATCAAAAACTTAACACAAAAAAAAAAGTAAACTCCCCAAACTTTTTTTAGTTTTTCGCACTTCTGAGCAACTGCTGCTTTCTAGATGAATTGCGTGACCACTGGCGAACACACGGGAGACATCCCATTGCTGACGGATTGTGCCTGAGCACGTTTTGGCGAACTGAAGTAGTACTTTGCATGATCATAGTCTTACCAAGTGCTTGTTTGTTTGTTTATGTCAGTGCTGTTTGAGTAGTTGTGTGGTTTACTGGACTTTTCCAACAGTCTCTCGTTGGTGGTTATTTCTGTGTAAGGGTGGTTGAATTGTCACATTAAAGCACCATTATTTTACGACTCAGTTTGTTGATTATGGCAGGGGCAGTCACTAGTTATATTATGTCTGGACCTTAAGGACATTTTGGTCTCGTTGTGCTGTTGACAGTTTAGTACTGCATAATGCTAGGACTGCATAATGCTAAGAGAAAATAAATATCACTAGAGCTACGTGACTGTAGTCGGCTAGGTCATCTATGCAACGAACAGCACTGAGGCAGAACTTGGGACAACTGCTGCCCGTGATCTCTTTCAAAATGCTCGTCGAGTCTCAGTTCAGAAATTGTTTCCGTGTTTTTTTTAACTTCAACGAGACACTGTTGGTACAGTCACACCGTCCCTGTTAATAATTGACCGCATTCGATTTATTTGTGCTGTCTATGCATTGGCATGGATGGCAGTTACACTGTATGTTGTTACATAAAGGTACTTCCGATCAATGCAGCTTTGACACTGATGTAATGGCAGTTTATACGTAGACTGGTGGAGAGCTTAATGTAAATCAACACAACAGTGGTGCCAGGCTGTCACTCAATTCATTCTGTGCCAGTGCAGTCTTGGTTGCAAACAAACCCTATGCAGGTAATCCGCTGGCTAAACAATGAAGACACAGTTCATAGCTCGCTTTCCTTCTTTAGCATCAGTATCACGTTGCAGCCAGACCCGTACCGAGCTGAATAATATGCCAAGAGCCTAAGCTAAGCCTTAGCATGAATTGCAATTATTTTGGCACTTAAATGGTTTCATCTTGGTTCAATTTGGCACGGAACTCACAATATCTTTATAGAAAGCTTATTGAAATCAATGGTAACTGGCTCAGTACTTCTTAGACCGAATGACATACTACCTTACCGGTACTATGCCAACTTTGTGCTAAACTGGTGCCATAGTTTTCTTCGAATCAAAATGCTGCCATCCCCAGTAAACCAGCACGACATTGGTTCTACACGTTTGGTGTTGCACCAAAATTACGCCAGCGTTTTGCCGGCTCGGCGCCATCACCATGTTGAAGCCACTGTCGTAGTTCCCCTAAATCGAATGCGGCCATTGTTGTTGCGCTCACTGGTGTTGCGGTGACACCTCCCAAGTGGCGAGGCCTTGGTACCAAACTTTCTACTTCGCCTACCGGAGGCCTTCTGTAGGCGACGTAGGAGGCCTCGTTGCCGGGGAGGCGTTGGTTGCGGTGTGCCCCTTTAACTGTGGCCCCCGCCTCTCTCTCCCCCTCCCCCGTCGCATGTCTGTGTGCGTGGCGCGTCCTCCTCGTCCCTCCCCTCCCCCGGAATGCACGTGCACGTGGCGGTTTGCGCGGCAACAACAGCCAAGGGGCGCACAAACCTGGAACTGCGGGAGCAGTTCATTCTGGCCGACGGCGTCAGTCAGTCCATGACCCCCTTCAAGTCCAAGGTGGCTTCGGCCACAGCTGCCGCGTCCCCGGGATCCTCTTTCACGCGCGCGGGTGGGGCCACCGGACCCATCACCAAGGTGCGTCCCCACTTCTCGACGCCATCCTTTTACGGGTCACGTCGGACTGAGTACGATCCATAGCTGCAGGCCCGGGACGAAAATGGCGAGGAGGTCTTTTGACTATCCCTCGTCCGGCGCGAGCTGCTTACCTTCTATGGTGCTTCGGTCTCTCGCAACCCTCGAGCGTGCACGCGCAGCCGAAGCACGGCAGAAGGCAGTGAGCACTTGCCGGAGGATCCGAAAGAGGCACCCTGCCGTTATCGTCCTTTTGGTTGCTGTAGAGGATATTCTTGTTTGTGTTCCATCCCACAAACTTACCATAAAAAGGAGCTACAATAGACTTTTTTTTTCCTACGTGGGTATTGTAGGAGGTTTTGGGAACTGTTTATATCTAGTAGGTTATTTTTGAATGCTACGTTTGCTTTTTTATGTCTTAATGCTATGTTTGCTGTTTATGTTTGCATGCTATTTTAGAAGTAATTGGCTACTATTAACTCGTATCCACATAAGATAACTAACCCTATAGGGGGGACGGCGTAGTTGCTTGTCTCTTTTGTTATCGGTTTGTTAGAGCTAAAACCGCATGGTGTTTGGGCGTGCTCGGAGTGACCCTTGAAGCTTCTCGACATCCAATTTGTATGGGTTAGGATCAGGGCCGTACCCAGAAAAAAATTTCGGGGGGGGTTTTCGGGGACAACGGCGGCCATTTTGAAAGTGTCTATTGTCTTGTTTTCGCCTATGAATCATGTGCATCGGTGGCATATAATGGAGAGTTACAGCAAACCGGAGAACCGGTCCCGGTTTGGTACCCGATAGCCGACCGCCGCCACTGCGCGTGCGCAGAGGTGAAGATTAAAATTGGCTGGCTGCCAGTGCACCGACCAGGGCCGTACCCAGAAAAAAATTTCGGGGGGGGTCAGAACCCCCTAACCCCCCCCCTGGTTACGGCCCTGGTTAGGATATCTAGACACTATCTACGGGGAGAGTATTGCCTCGCAATTATCTTTATGTTGTCTATTTGTGTCGCAGCTCCGGTTGTTTTTTAGTCTCGTTGCATCTCTTGAGTTTCTTGCCTTCCTTTTGGCTCGTTACTGTCACCTGCTGTTGGGGCTTGCGTTTGGAAAAGGCGGCACTATTTTGTTGGGTCCTTGGTTCGTCGCTGCCTTCGTCCACTCGTTCCTTTGTTTGCTTTGTTTTTCGGTTTCTGTCCGCCTCAGTTCCAGTATTCTTGTTTCGTCTTTATTCAGTCGCATTATTTTATGTCGCACACAACGGAACTTTAACTGTTGCCTATAAGTATATATATTTTTATCGGTCTGAACTTTGACGATTGAATCTCGAGGCAGTTGAAGAATGTGGGCCGCACGACGGGGGTCAGCTCGTCCTAAACTATTTCTAAGCCGCGCCACATTTTCACCCCTCCTTCCTACCCTCCCTTTTTCACCAATCAAACAATCATAAAAAAAAAAAAGAAATCTATTAGCAAGGTAGTTGTTAGAACGATGCATCGCAAGCACCAGAAGTTCGTCCTCTCCCCCTGGCACCGCAAGAAGAAAGGACCGAGGTTCGTTCGCTCCAACTCCGATTCGAGAGAAAGGGCGAACGAGGCTCTCTCTCCCTCGTCGAACACATTTTGAGCAACCCGTGTTTTCTTTCCTTTGCTGGGAAAAAAAAAAAATGGCGACGACGGCTGCAGGAGCTCCACTCCAGTCTATGCCGTGCCTGCCAGTCCAAGGCTTCAGTCCGTCCTTTTACAGACCGGTACCGACTGACGACGGCTCTAAGATACCGATCTTCGATTGGGTAATGGCGAGCGGCACGGTTGCACACGGTGTCTGCTGTTTCTATCTTGTCTGTGCATGGTTGCATGTGCGTGGGCGGGACATTGTGTGTCGCATAACCACGGTTGTGCGAGAGTTGGTGTGGTTTGTGGTCCTACCTGCAATGACGTGTCGGATTTTGTCTCTTCGTTTTGGCGTTGTTAATTGTTCTGGAAGTCCTGCTAGGTACCATGGCCTATTCTTGTGGGTGCAACAAGATAAGTCACATTTTGGTTGGGGGTGATGCGATCGTCAGCGGTGTCTTTCTGGCCAGTCAAAAATGTCTTCAGACGTGACCACGCACAAACTATTCTAAAACATAACGAGGTATTTAATTTAATTTTTGTGTTCCGTATATGGACTGACTTAAAGGTGTAAATGGGTCACAGTACAGAGCCCATTATAGAAATGCAGCGTCATCAGAGATTGGCTTCCAAGTTTCTGGTGAGATTTGTCGCTTCTGAGGAGTGGGTATGGTACCTAGTTGGCCTTTTAACAAACCACTTGTGCACCAATTGTGTTTGCACGAAACTAGTAGGATTCAGAAACGCTGGTAAACTTTGACTGCAACTAAAACAGACAGCTACTACTCCATCCTGCCATTTTGTGCCGGGCCCACGGGTCAGAATTTTCAAGCACTTCCGACAGTTTTTGCCGGGCCCCGATGAGGCAAATGAAGTCTAAAGTAGCGAAAGAGGCTCGCCATAGCTAATTTTTTGTCAACAAAGTTGCACTTATCACATTTATTTTCTACAGTGCAGGCACGTGTACGAGAATGAATGAAAAAAAAGCTGAAGTATTGTCTCGAAGCATTTCCAGAAATTGTCTGAAAACGCTTGTTTCCAGAGCCTGCGCATGCTCGTTACGTACTGTCAAGATTATTTGGCGAAATTTCGTGGATTTAATGGGTAATTTTGTATTCTTAAAGGCGAGCCTCTCTGCAAAACCTTTTTTTTGGCAAGGCTGAAAATGTTTTCTGTCTTTTATTTGTAGACGGGTGAGGGAACAATGAGTTTAGTCTACAAAGATCACAAGGACAATATTTGAGAAGGATTCAATGGGGGTTTATTTTATTTAGCTTCCTCACTCGTAGCCACCGAGGGATGGGTAGTTTTAACACCATCTTAGATACCGAGGTTTTAGTGCTGGATTTTCTATCTCATCTTCCGGAGGCCAGAGATCAAAGGCGAGTGCTGTGTTCGGCTGGTCGTCGTGCCCTCACCAATTGAACATGACCCCTAGCCGACCGCTGACACAGCCAGACTCGTTGGTGACATCAAAATTTCAGAACAATGGCCTTGTCCTCTTAGAAGAGTTGGCAGTTTTCCTCCTTCTCTTTTTCACTGCAGGCTGGCCTCTAAGGATTGCAAAAAATACAATTTGTTGCTGAGTGGAGTGGAGCCATTGTAAAACGTTTATGTAACCAATATATCGTAGCAGAGTGCAGTCGTAAACATTGAGTCGGTTGGATTTACTCGCACCAGCCTACACCGGTGCAGAAAAGTGTAGTGCAGTGCAGAAAAACGCAGGGCGGTGTACTTCCAACACGTGTTTTAAGACAGGCTGCGCTCGTAGATAGAATGCGGCGGTGTGCGCTTGTTGTAGCTGGTGTGGGAGGTATAAGTAAATCCACGACCTACCGTAATCCCGACCTGCACACGGAAGAGAGCGCCAGCGCGCGCCTCGTAGTAGTGCAGACCGTAGCCACATCCTTACGTCACGTCACGACTGCACGGCGGTGCAAATGTCTCTTTGCTTCCGAAGATGTCTGCATACCAACCGAGGGCGTGCAGGGCATGGCGACGTTATCTGGTCCTGCCTCCGCACAAAATTAATCTTGTGCGATATCTAGTCAGCGATCTCGTATATCCGCCAGCATGGCGTGTGCCATTTGAGCCGTGAACACGTTTCTTTTTGTTTGCTTCGTATTGTAGTTGTAATGAAGAGCAGTCGGAGATAAGGAAAACGCCCTTTTGCTACTATGCCCGAAAGACGCTTTCTTTCGATCCAAGCAAACATGAGAGCGACGCGTCCTGCTGCGGCGTCACTGTAGCCTGCCAGCGCCACATTAGGGAGGCTTTTCCGAAAAACAATAATCGCATATCATCAGCCGCGCGCTGTGCAGACCATGCACTAGATTGAATCGTCTTCGCGTTGCAGAACATTTCGTACCGAATGCTCCCGACGGTGAGCAAGCCGCTTTGTTGGCGACAGCCTTTCCGAGGGAGCCATTTTGTGGGCAGGTCAGGATTACGGCAGGCCGTGAGTAAATCAAACAGTCCCTATCATGGGCGCATAAAAGTCTGTTCGAGTCGAGGCAGGACAGGACTATGCAGTCGAGAGATTGACTTGCGAGAGATTGGTGTGTGACGGCACCCCGTGTGCTCTCTGCCCGGCATGCACGGCAGGTGCGAGAGAAGACGGAGCGCAGCGTGCCGCTGAGCCGACAGCGCCCGACCGGGGCCGGCGATGCCTCCGGCGACAGCGAGATGGACGGCGCTCGCTCGCTTCCGAGACCACCCCGCACCCCCCTGGGAAGCCGACTCACCCCCGGAGGTGAGTGCACGGACTTTAGACTGTCCTCCCGACAAGGGTATGGTTCGCGTCATCTTAAGGGGGTTCGATTTAGTCAATCCCGACTGTGTCGAACCCGTTTACGTCGAATTATTCCTTATATCGAACAATTTTCGTGCACAGTAATGTTACAGTGATAATATATAGTGAAAACTATGGTTACATCGAACAAAAATAGCAGCCGCTACCGATATTTCGAACTGCCAAGACCGCCGTTTTGCTCTGCTAGCTGGCTTTCCCCTAACGCAGCCTCCTGCCTTAGGGAAAAGCCAACTTGCAGAGCGAAACGGCGCACAGCAGGAGGTGCCCCTGCTCGGATGTGCTCCGCACTCTTGGCATAGTTCGGCGCTAATGTGCGAATATAGAAGGCAGCGGCCTCAGCATTTTGGAGTCCGTCGATTACATAGAAAAATATTATTGCGGATGCAATGAAGAAAAAGCAGCAGAAGATGAGACTATTTCATTGTGTAATATGTCAGCAGAAAATGGATTTTTGAGTCAAATCCAATAAAACTTTTGTATAGAATACCCACTATATCGAACTGGTAGACATTTTTTTTGTGAGTTCGATATAAACGGGTTTGACTGTAGTACTACTTTTTTGAAAATACCTAAGAGCAAACTTTCAAAATTACAACTAAAAAAAGCAAAAATTCAAAAATTTTTGTCACAAGACTATTTTGGTGTTAACTGTCTCAAAGTAGAGGCGAGTTCTGGAATCGCTCCTAACTTCAAAATGTTTTGCAATGTAAATAAATACTGCAAAAAAAAATGTTTTTTCTTTCTTTTTGGTGGGAGCGATTTTTTTTTCACAACTTATGCATATCTTATTTAGGCACTAAAGGGGTACGGAAACGAAATTCCAGCGCTCATTTTTCTGCGGTAATATGTTGCTTGTTGCAACATAACCTCAAAAATACCAGTCTTTTGTTGAAAGGCACAAGAAAACTAAATTTAAAGCTAATTAAACAATCTTTCAATGTGCACCTGGTGGATGCATGTGGAGCCTATTTTGGAGGTAATCTAGCAACGCTGGGGAACTTGCTACGTAGTCATGACCTAGCAAGTTCCATCGGAGCAGCACCGCTCTCTGGTATTAAACATTTTCCTTCTTAGCTGTCCTCAACTCACAAATTGCGCATTGCACCAGACAGCTCAAGAAGACGGAAAGGAGGGACTCCCCTGTTGCTCGGACCATCGTTAGTGTACCCGGACACAGTCATTTGCCCCTAGAAGATTAATTAGACAGTCACTCAAAACTCTGACAAAAGTTGCTTTCCCCACCCTACTCACCCCTAAGCTGACAGCGCTGTGGAAGCTACGTGCTCCTTGGGCCAGCCACACGCTCGTCACCCCGCGGGCTCTTCGAACGGCTCGGTTGTAATGCATTGACACTATTGACACCGCCACAACGCTGACAACGCCACCAACAGCAAAACTCATAACCACGCCAGCATTGCTACGTCACGAATGCAGGAAATTTTTTTTTTCTTCTGTTTTTTGTTTTTTTAGATATCCCATGATGCATCGCGCTCTCCGTTCGCTTCTCTCCAAGCACTTGCTCGAATGCACCGTTTCGAACGAAAAATATGGATCGACACGCGGCCCTGACGTCGCGCCGCTGCGGTGGCGTTGTCGACGGCACTGTGCATGCGCAGACGCTTCACTTCATGCGAATTTGGTTTCTGCGCACGCGCAGTGCACACACCTGGTGTGGGCGAACGCGGGCTTGTTTGAAAGCAGCGTGTCGGTCTATAGCCAGTCATTCAAAATACAAACCTGCGATTATCATTTACGGTTATTATCCGTCATGCTTGACTCATTTCCGAACGAAATTTGAATATTTAAATTTTCGTTTCCGTACCCCTTCAAAAACTTCTAGTTGGCAATTCAGCATCCCCTAAAGCAAAAGCACTGATCGCTCTGTGAATCATTTTGTCTTGCAGATAAGCGTGCATTCCGGTATAGTTCCAGCATTACCCGTTACTTTTGCACTTTTGTTTTTATGTGGCACTTTTGTTTATTTTGCGTCAATAAAAGATTAACAATGTCAGTTGTGCCGTTCATCGTGCTCCCGGAAAAACCTTATCTCTTTGGTAAAACATAACGTAATCATCCGCCATTTTCTCCGAAACGATTTACCGCAGCGCGATCGAACTTGTACACCAATGGCTGGTCGCCCCTCGCAGCTCCCGGAAGCCGGCCGTCGAGCCGGCCCTCTAGCCGACCCTCGAGCCGGCCATCTAGCCGGCCGCCAAGCCGTGCCAACAGCGACCTGTCCGCGGACAGCATGGAGGGCTACCGCAGCCAGCGGCGCACGCCGTCTGCCACGCGGCAGCGCACCCCTAGCGGCTCTTCGCAGACGGGCACCAAGACTCCCGGAGGAGCCGCCCAGACCAAGATCCCGACGCCACGCCGAACCACGCCGACGTCGGCAACCAAGGGCGGGAGCCTGGACTCCGAGGTCAAGCAGCAGCGCGAGAGGTGGAAGTAGACCTTGCGCCCCACTCTGAAAGGCCCCACGAGTCCAACAATCCGCCGGACCGTCCCTCGATCCCACGAGCACATAATCAAGAAAAAGAGAGGCGGGATTAGTCCAAACGCGCGGAGGAAGAAGAAAAAAAAATGGCTTGTGCTCTCTCGCTTTAAACCACGCTTTTAACCGCGAAAGAAAAACGGAACTAGGAAAGGCGTGTGGCGCCGTTGTCGCTGGCACTACTTAAAGACGAGAGAAGTCGCTTTTTGAAGAGTTTGTGCATTGCCCATGTTTCACGTGTTCTTGTTTTTCCTAATTTTGTTGTTGACACCTTAATTATTTTTTTAATATATATATATTATATATATATATCGCTCTCACATGTCCTCTTATTTAATGCTGCGCGCTTTCGAGTCTAGAGGTAGCAGCAAATGACAACGCAAGTACTAGGAACGTTTGTGCATGTACATAGTGTTTTGTGTTTTTTTTTTGTGAAAACAAAAAAGCCGTACCCCCCGTTGCTTACTGCACTAGTCGAATCGAAGTTTGCAATGCTTGCGGCTTCCCTGTCTCGCGCGCGGGAAATGTTGGCACCCGTTCAAACATTCCGACGTCGAGAGATCATTTCATTTTTTTTTGAGTAACTGTCGCCCCTTTAGGTTCTTTGAAACAAGCTTGCCTACGAGCATTTTGCCTGCCACTATCGCGTTTTAGTAAAAGTCTTTGTTCGAAGCAAAAATAAAAAAGACTGCTTTTCTCGTTTTTTCGTTGTGTCGACCTCGTTGTTACTTTAGGTCCTTAGGGTTCATGACGACCAAGTCTTTGTCTCTTTCGTTTTAGCCTTTTGAAATACACAGGAAAAACGAGGATGAATTGCACGTTACTCTGGTTGCGTCACTTTACATTGCTTTCGTAGGTCCTGTTCTGGCTCCTCACTCTAGAACAAAAAATTATAGAAGGTTTTTTCTTAGAACTAACGATTATTTTTTTAGTTTGTTTCTAAAGAGGTTGGAAGAGGGTAAAGATGGATCCCTCTTTTTTATTGTGTTGTATTAACCGAATTTGAACTGTTATGTTTTTATATGGTTTTCAATAAAGAGACTATTAACTCTGACTGCCCACTGTGTCATTCAGGCCAGCTAGCTTTGCTGGACATCCTATTTTTCCTCCCTTCTTTCCACCAAGTCATTTGTGCATGAGCATAGTATTCCTATGAGGAATTAAGGGGAGGCACGGCCTATGGGGGTCTGATTTTTAAATACTTTGTCGACTGCCATACTCCTGCACTTTGTCGAGTGCAGAAATGTGGCGAACGCTCGTGCTGCATCACTGGGACATCCGGGGCATTGTCCTTCAGGACACAAGCGTAGGAGTTTGTCAGCTGCTTAATTTTTACATTCGTCAGCTTGCCCCGTCTACCAAGGCCTTTCTTGGCCTTCTTCAGAGCATCCAGGCCAGCATACATACACTTTGCAACATGGTTGATGCAGTCTTCTTTTTTCACTTTCTTGTCATACAGACCGAGGCTAGCAACCTTCGAAAACTCTGTGCTGTCACCATTACAGAGGACAGTGGTATACTGCACTTTGTGTCGTTCCACAGAACGCCCAAAAATACTGATGCAGCTTCCACTTCCATTGCACGAGGAGACCACCGGAAATTCTTTTGGCAGTCGGGGTCGTGGCTTTCAAATCATTCTTCATATTCGTTTTGGACCTCGAGTGCAGCCCTGGCAGCTTTGTACGCCGTAGTCGAGCACCAGGCCGCCATTCGGTTCCACGCCAACACTAAAAAGTGGGAGGTGGCCACATTTGTGCCAAGTCATGTCGTACGAAATGCACGCATTTGACAGTTTGTCGTCTTCAGACATCTCCGCTTTACGTATGGACCGTGCTCTCTATCCCTCTGCTTGTGGCCTTTGTTGTTGCGTCATTCACTTTTGTTGCCATCTTCTGGGAAGACTTCGGGCATGTCGGTGGAGGTGCGTTCATGCCGGAAAAAAGGTTTGAGAACTTGGTGAAACCAATGCCGCAGTCGTGTACAGCAAGTCCGATATGCGTGGAAAGTTCATTGTGGCCGTCCCTCGATCCCACGAGCACATAATCAAGAAAAAGAGAGGCGGGATTAGTCCAAACGCGCGGAGGAAGAAGAAAAAAAAAATGCTTGTGCTCTCTCGCTTTAAACCACGCTTTTAATCGCGAAAGAAAAACGGAACTAGGAAAGGCGTGTGGCGCCGTTGTCGCTGGCACTACTTAAAGACGAGAGAAGTCGCTTTTTGAAGAGTTTGTGCATTGCCCATGTTTCACGTGTTCTTGTTTTTCTTAATTTTGTTGTTGACACCTTAATTATTTTTTTAATATATATATATTATATATATATATCGCTCTCACATGTCCTCTTATTTAATGCTGCGCGCTTTCGAGTCTAGAGGTAGCAGCAAATGACAACGCAAGTACTAGGAACGTTTGTGCATGTACATAGTGTTTTGTGTTTTTTTTTTGTGAAAACAAAAAAGCCGTACCCCCCGTTGCTTACTGCACTAGTCGAATCGAAGTTTGCAATGCTTGCGGCTTCCCTGTCTCGCGCGCGGGAAATGTTGGCACCCGTTCAAACATTCCGACGTCGAGAGATCATTTCATTTTTTTTGAGTAACTGTCGCCCCTTTAGGTTCTTTGAAACAAGCTTGCCTACGAGCATTTTGCCTGCCACTATCGCGTTTTAGTAAAGGTCTTTGTTCGAAGCAAAAATAAAAAGACTGCTTTTCTCTTTTGTTCGTTGTGTCGACCTCGTTGTTACTTTAGGTCCTTAGGGTTCATGACGACCAAGTCTTTGTCTCTTTCGTTTTAGCCTTTTGAAATACACACGAAAAACGAGGATGAATTGCACGTTACTCTGGTTGCGTCACTTTACATTACTTTCGTAGGTCCTGTTCTGGCTCCTCACTCTAGAACAAAAAATTAGAGAAGGTTTTTTCTTAGAACTAACGATTATTTTTTTAGTTTGTTTCTAAAGAGGTTGGAAGAGGGTAAAGATGGATCCCTCTTTTTTATTGTGTTGTATTAACCGAATTTGAACTGTTATGTTTTTATATGGTTTTCAATAAAGAGACTATTAACTCTGACTGCCCACTGTGTCATTCAGGCCAGCCAGCTTTGCTGGACATCCTATTTTTCCTCCCATCTTTCCACCAAGTCATTTGTGCATGAGCATAGTATTCCTATGAGGAATTAAGGGGAGGCACGGCCTATGGGGGTCTGATTTTTAAATACTTTGTCGACTGCCATACTCCTGCACTTTGTCGAGTGCAGAAATGTGGCGAACGCTCGTGCTGCATCGCTGGGACATCCGGGGCATTGTCCTTCAGGACACAAGCGTAGGAGTTTGTCAGCTGCTTAATTTTTACATTCGTCAGCTTGCCTTGTCTACCAAGGCCTTTCTTGGCCTTTTTTAGAGCATCCAGGCCAGCATACATACACTTTGCGACATGGTTGATGCAGTCTTCTTTTTTCACTTGTCATACAGACCAAGGCTAACAACCTTCGAAAACACTTTGCTGTCACCATTACAGAGGACCATGATATACTGCATTTTGTGTCGCTCCACAGAACGCCCAAAAATACTGATGCAGCTTCCACTTCCATTGCACAAGGAGACCACCGGAAATTCTTTTGGCAGTCGGGGTCGTGGCTTTCAAATCATTCTTCATGTTCGTTTTGGACCTCGAGTGCACCCCTGGCAGCTTTGTACGCCGTAGTCGAGCACGAGGCCGCCGCTCGGTTCCACGCCAACACTAAAAAGTGGGAGGTGGCCACATTTGTGCAAGTCATGTCGTACGAAATGCACACATTTGACAGTTTGTCGTCTGCAGACATCGCTTTACGTACAAACTGCGCTCTCTATCACTCTGCTTGTGGCCTTTGTTGTTGCGTCGTTCACTTTTGCCATCTTCTGGGAAGACTTCGGGCATGTCGGTGGAGGTGCGTTCATGCCGGAAAAAAGGTTTGACACCTTGGTGAAACCAATGCTGCAGTCGTGTGCAGCAAGTCCGATATGCGTGGCAAGTTCATTCTGGCGAGTGTCACCGATGTTGGACGACTGGGGTGCGCTCGGCACCACTTCACGCGACGATAAACCCCAGAAGCGCACCTTTGCCACGTTCCTTTAGTGCCAGGCAAGACCCTGCACACCGTGGGCACGGCAGAGCTCCCACCAAAGTCCTGATGCAAGAAACTTTGATGAGCAAACAATAACCTTCGAGTTTGCTGCTGTCGTCTAGGCCTGGCGGCCCTCCGGAGCACTCTTCCTGTCCTAGCATTTCTATCTTGTGCTCAATCCCGATCAGCTCATCTTCCTTTGGGGTGTCAGGAATTAAGAGGCGACAGAAGCATTGACTGTCCCGCGTGGTCCATGTCTTCAGGCAGTGATGAACGAGGATGTTTTCGCGAGGGTTCTCTCTCCTTAACGCATGGCATGAACAACAAGCTAGGGCGTGAACTAAAGAGAAAGAATTGCTCTTCCGAGGGGACTCGCGCATCGTAGGAAAGAGTTTTCTCTTTCCACCTTGACATTTTATGACTGAGTGATAATATCCTGTCTTGTCAGCCATTGCAATAGCAGATATCCAATTTAAATGAAGCTGGCAAAGACTGCAGAGTCGTAACTATGTGCATTCTAAACTAAACATAAAAGAAACTTCCAAGCCCTAGACTTGTAGTTGACTTTTCACTATTTAGTTTTAAAGTGAAATAGCTTCTCGCATCTTGTCTGTCCCTGTGGCAGTTCTTGTGGTAGTATACATTCCAAGCAGCTTGTGTAATCTTTGAACCTTATTGTGTCAAGGCAGTTGGGCGAGTACAAAGGTCACGATGTGATTTTTAGTGGAGTGAATATAAGTGTGCTCTTTCTATTTTTAAGTCTGCTCCAAATATATCGAACTGCCACATGCTTGTAAACTTTGTTGGTATCTTTGAAATGCTTGCCAACAAAGACAGAAAGAGGAAAAAGCATGTTTGCAGAAGCCACAGTTACATATGGCATAGTTGAAATCTTCGAGCAGCTACTGTCTACCTGGCAAAGGTACCTTGCAGTAATGTTTTTTTCTTCCTTTTGCGCATGTAACATCTCTGGGAGCCGTCGCCTTCCCGTGATGTTCAGTTGTGGAGGTTGTGCATCATTCGTGCCACGTGTGTGCCTACAACTGTCGCTGCTTTAAATTAAATGTCGGCTTTGTGTTATCATGTTGGCGTCCCTCGCAAGGTCTTGTATATTAATGCCCGGTTTAAATGACACGTGACATTTGATTTGTTTTGTTCGTTGTCGCATTACACAACAAGAGGAGTGGTCACCCGATCACCAAAGTTGTGTAAAGCCTTTTACCCGACATTGAGAGGGATGAAAACAAATCCAAGGACGATGGGTGCACATGTCCTAATATGCCCCAACCTGGAAGTTGTCCCAGTAGGTTGTCAAGTAACAGAAGCTGTTGCATTGGTAAAGTATCAACAAAGGGATCGCTCGTAGTCGTTTCTACCGAAGCATCCAATCATTTCCCTACACACCCCCCTTGTTTTCCTGAAGGCACCCCCTTAATTTGCAACGACTTCTCTATTCTCGTTCCCCCCCCCTCCGCTTAAAAATTTAGACACCCCCCTAATTGCATTTCCTGGGGAAACCTCTGGAAGCATTCACGTTCATGCAACTTTATGTGAATATTTTAGTAGGCACATGCAGTCTGCCATGAAGTGCACCACCGGTGGCAATCAGTTCATCGAACGACGTTTCATTGACACGTGATGTTTCGTCGACAGCTCAAATTAGCATTTTTCTGTAATAAGCTGCAAGACTGTCGCCGCGAGGCGGCGTGTACGGGTCGGTCAGGTGGGTCAACATTTTTGTAATAAGCAACTGCAGAGTGTCGTCACGAAGCGGCGTGAATGTAGGGGGGGGAATGGAGGCGGGGAGGGTGAAATGCGCACCCCAGTGATATATGCATGATGAAACGTCCCTTCAGCGTGCAATTCGCGTAACGAGCATCGATGAAACGTTTGTGTCAATGAAACGTGTATCCATGAAACGTGTCCATGAAAAGTTGTCCACGAAACATACTTCCACGAAACGAGTTTCGATGAAATGATGGGGACCCGTGCACCACTCCACCCTTAAAACTGCCTCGTCCAATTTTTCGGCTCTCGTACGAAACGGGGGTTCCACAACATCCAACAAAGTGCCTACGTGGTGCAGACCTATGCAGAAGGGATCTATTTATATTTCATCAACCCCTTACTTTTTTACCACGACTTGAATGGGCAGAAGAAATTAACTTTGTTTCACCTTATGATGAACCGCAGCGGACGCTACTATCTTCACGTGACTTCGCACCCCGCGCGTCACTGCCTTGGTTGCAGCGGTTGCAGCGCCTCTCCTAAAGATTGCGTGACACGCTGCATGGGATTGGATTGGAGGGCTCGTGGTGTCCGCTGCAGCCCGTCGTACCGCTGCGGTACGACGGACCGCTGCAGTACGATGTTTGTCTGTTCCGCTGCGGTACTTTGTTTGTCTGTTCTTTGAGGAAATCAAAGAACAGACAAACAAAAAGTTAGGGCGTAGTTGAGCTGGTGAAAGTGTGTTGTGTTGTCCTGCGTCTATTCCCCAGTCTCAGGGGTCTATCTTAAATCAAAGAACAGTTATTTTCACGAGAGGCGTCAGAATAAAGAAATTGCAAGTTTCCCGCCGTCTCTCCTGTCCAACCAGAAAGAGGCCCGTCTGCGTATGTACGAGTATGTGTAGTACAAAGGTTCACATAGTAGGATTTGTCGATTGGTGTGCCAGCTGCGCCATGGCGGCTGGTGGCAATTGTTGCAGTCACCCACTAGTGGCCTAGGAGGGCTGGCACGCGTGGTAGGCACGCAACAGGACCAACAGTTTTGTCGTGACTGTGCGACTGTGTATCATTTTTGTGTTCACAACTGTTGAACAAAGAGAGAAAGAAGCGAGAGGTGCTAGAGGAGGCCTGGCAAGGTCAGCTGGAGGAGGTGAAGGCCATGGAAAAGTCCAACAAAGATAAACATATGAAGCAATGGAATGGCAACTGGAGGTGAAGTTAACAAAGGAGAAGCAACGGCGAGAGGCGGTGGTAAAGGAGCTAGAGAGGGTGGGACGTGAGCTGCAGAAGATGAAGAGACAGGGGACGGAGGGAGGAGCAGTTGACGTAGTGCCTATGAGCGAAAGGGCAGAGGACGTAGACACTTGTGCGGTGGCAGAGGCAACGAGGCCGTTGTACAGTATGGTGGTGCAACAGCAGACCGCTATTCCAGCAGCCGCCAAACCTGCGATGCAGGAAAAACAAAAGGGAAGGGGGCAGAGAGAGTTGATCTCGAATGTGTCTAGATGCACAAAGCGGGGATCACCAGCAGAGTCGGGGGAGATAGGAGAGTAAAAGTTGCACCCTTCCAGGCAGACGGATGAAGGAAATGATGGACACGGCAGTAAAAATGTTGACTTTGAACAAGGGGGAGGATAAAACATAGTTGGTGCTGTGTGCACATCTGTGGTGCCTGCGTAATTACCGTTAAGGTTTGCTGACTTCGCCACTTCGCTGTCTTTGTGCTGCTTTGTGTCAAGACCACGTGGTCAAGCGAGATCGGAGACTGGCCAAACCATGGAGAACCGAACTTCTAACCTCCTTGGGCCAAACTCTCCCCACATACGACTTTGGTCCGAACTAGTGCCGCCAAATAAGCTACGCTTCCTTCCTTCTTGCTTCAAAGTAACGACACTTAGTTATCTAAAGGTTTTTTCTGAAATCACAGGAAACGCTTTTCCTTTCTCCACAAATGTTTAAACAGTTCGCGACAGAGCAAACATGAGCTTCCTAACACCGAATAAGTCGCACTTCTGAATCATGACGACCGTCAGTTGCGTCTGCTCTCTTGGTCTGCTCTGCTCTGCAGAAGCACCAAAATGGCGGCGCCCACAACAATGTCGGGGAACAGAGTGGCTCTGATTATAATGCAATTAAATGCAAAGCTGCAAGCGAGCAGAGTTCGAGCAACAGATTCTATTCTTCCATATTTTCGCATGATCATAATTAAAAATTAACATCACGTGCAGCATATTTTCAACCATGAAGAGTTACTAATTTTAACTCTTACCGCTTATTCATGGCCTCCGAGACGTTTATTGTAATAACTCAATGCTCCGAGATCTTCACGAATCAGGATCTCGGAGGCCAACTGCTTCTCGCTACTCTGGTTGGCTAAGAGAGCATGTCGAGCAAACGTATTAACCAACCCAACCAACCAACGCAACCAACCCTCTGTTTGCATCTGGTGCACAGCACACCCTGGCTCTGCTTTGATTAGCATCCGTCCATTCATTCATCCGGCCAGCGCGAGATTGGCCAGGATTGGCGGGCTCGCGAATGCAGTGGAACGTAGGGTTTTAGCGTTTTAGTGTTGTGTTGACTGTGTCCTCCTGTGTGCACGCACATCTGCGGTGCCTGCGTTATGGCCTGATTACCGTTTTGTTCGCTGACTTCGCCGTCTTTGTGCTGCTTTCTGTCAAGACCACGTGGTTAAGACGAGCGCCTCGAGGATGACCCGCAAAGGTTATGGCGCGTAGACGTGAGATGGAGCTTTGACGCTTCGACACGCCTGTTCTATTTGGAGGCCTTGTCTACTCTTCGCTACCTGTTGGAAATTGGAATCAGTTGGAAGCGACGGCAAGCGCTGTTGCGTCCCGTAAGTATCAGTTGCTTTTGACAACTCATCGGGACATGTCACGTAAGGCGCATAACTAGGAATAAAAAAGAAAAAAAAAAAAAAAAAGAAGGTATTTGAGACGGGGGACGGTCCAGCTAGCTAACGGCCGCAAACTAGGTAACATTTACCTCATTTCGAGCGAGAGAAGGGCTTACTTACCCGCATGAAGCCGGTTGTTTTGTCCGTGACATAAGCGCTGACAAGGCTGCTGACGCGAGCGTATGGCTTAACCTTGCGTTTCATTTGCATGCACCGTTATGAACTTTACTTTTTCCAGGAGAGCTACCTAAGGTGCCTCAGAAAGACGAGTCCCATGCTCGTGCAGCGACACATTTCATGATGGTTCGAACTGAAAAGTGATGACCGTGATTAATTCGCCCTAGGACCTCCCGAAAGCTAGCGTTCTGCCGTGCTTTCTACTTACGAGCGTCCGCACAACTTTTATCAGGCAATCCTATTATGCCGTTCCTTACACTCCCCTCCTAACACAGACGCCCCGGGTCTCATCGTTTCGTCGAAACACCTTTCGTGAACACACGTTTCGTCGACAATCCGATGTTTCGTGGAAACTCATTTTGTAATGCTCCTGCGACGTCTTGTCAATATTCTTTTTTTTTTTTTTACTAAGTGAATTTGATTGCATTGCTGGCTTCATTTTATTTGTTGAAAGTCCGGATCGAACCAAAGCGCACTTACCCAGGTGGCTCCGATATGGCAAAAACAAATTCACTAGCCCAAATCCTAGGCTTCCAAGCAGACTGTGCCAGTGCAACCTTGGGCCTGACCGAGCTTGCACTAGGCCTCATAGAAACTGCCAAGGGTTTGGCAATCTAGGCTACCATTCAGATGCCGGCGAGCGAGGTGATGTGCAAGGAAAGACTCTTTTGATGAAACGTCGTAAAACATGTCGACAAAACGGTCTTGTTAAAATCTTGCTCGACGAACTGATTGCCACCACCCTGTCACGCATTTCCTTTGTTTTGCAAATGGTGCATTACCAACCTCTATGAACGGAGCATTCTTCAATCAATTTCTAACCTGATGAGGACAAAATGATGTGTTTGTTATGTGCTGTTGGGTGAACTGATGCCCAATTTTCCCCTCTTTTTTATAATTTCAGCAGCATAATGGGCAGAAGAGGCCTGAACCTCAGGGCTTACGCTGCTCACGTCAGCAAACTGTTGCCATTTGAGTGGACTACCAAAAAGATTCATGCGAGCCTCTGCAACACAAGAAGCCCCCAGACTTCGCGGAAGATCAACCTTAACCAAAGCTGCACCGAGAGTGACAGCCAGTGCTGCCACATTCTCGACAATCTCACCTTGTGGAATGAATTTCTCTGCCTCTGGCACATGGAGCTGAAGGAAGTGGTGCCGGGTGAGTTGGGCATCGAAGTCTTGAATGGTGGGCGAGTGGATTTTGCCATGGAAGCGCAAAACAGCTATCCTCTGGTGCTCCTTCATTGGTTGTTGAAGGAACACCACTGTGTGAAAACCCTGAAGGTCCAGAGTTCCATCTTTCAGAGATACTCGCAGCTTCTCTTTGACGCCATACATCTGAATGTTGGCTTAAAAACTCTGGAGTTGCAGGGCTGTCACAAAAGTGGAAGAGACTTCTTTAACCAGACGGACAAGGGTTCACAGCATTTGGTAACTACCCTCGGCACCTTGGTTCGACTCCAAGAACTTGTACTTAGGGACGTAATTCTGTCGAAGGAAGCGGTTGGTCTTCTTGGAGCTGCTGTGGAGAGCATCTCTTTAAGGTCGTTTACGTACGTGAGATCCCACAACTTTGGAGAGTTCTACAGTCTTATGCCCCAAGAAAGTGCAGTGTTGCTGATAGAGAGCTTCAAGCGCAGCAAGAAGCTCAGAGAGCTGGACATCGACCACTGTTGTCTTCACGACAAGTCTTGCGAAATGTTTGCGGAGTATCTAGCAGGAAATGACACTCTTCAGAAGCTCACCATTCACATGGTTTCGGTGTCTGGGCATCGGCTGGAAGAGCTGGCACCTTTGCTTTGTGCACTTGAAGAAAACAAGGTTCTTCAGACATTTCGGGTCATTGGCTACCCCAATTATGAGCTTCAGCGGGATCGACTTTCTGGCACAGTGACCGCAAACAGAGGTCTCCGAAGTTTACTTGCAAAAAGCGCAACAATACCAGACCTGATAAAGAACAACTGTGCTCTGCTCAAGCTGGATGCTGCGAGTGCAACCATAAAAGACATGAAGCCATTGGCAGAAGCAGTTTGTGTCAATAAGACAATGCAGAAGCTTAGTCTTAATTGGTTGGGACTGTCCCTCTGTGACACTAAAGAATTCTGTACTGCACTGGCAAAGAATGAATCTCTCAAGTTGGTTATAATGAATAACATTGATGAAGAGTTGGTGGACGGTGTCTACAAGGTCCTGAGAGAGACAGGAACAGAGCAGAGGGTGAGGCTTGCAAGCATCATCAGGAGTGCCTTGGTTCTGCAGACGACCTTGGAGAACTGCTGCGAGTTGACGGAGGTCTGCTATTGTGCTGCGTTCCGTAACACCACCGGTAGTGATAGTGAGTCCTTTGCTGCAGAAGATGATGACAGCCACGAAGATAGCAATAACAGTGCAAGTGAAGAAGATAGTGAGTGTGTCCGGGACAATCCTGAAGATGGTCATGCCAAAAATGATGGAAACAACAAAGATGATGATAATATCCTAAAAAAAGCTTGTGGGGAAACTGGTGGAGCTAGTAAAACAGAGGGTAACATCCCAAAATTTGATGACGAGGAAGCTAATGGTGGCACGTCATCCGATGATGACCTTGATTTTGACTATGATGGGCACGAATACTACGATGACCATGATGATATGTTGAGGTACTATTATGACGGTGATGTCTACGAGCACTACGGGCACTACAATGACATGGACTATTATGACAGTGATGAAGGGGATTACTTTTATGATGACGACGATGATGACAGCGACATTGATTACTTTTACGACTTTGAGCATATGGACAATCTAAGGGATGCCGAGGAGGTTGCTCCAGAAATCCCTGCATTTCGCTGCCTGAGCCTGTGTAACCATCTGGATACACTGGTTATCGTCGTCAACGAGAGGATGTGCGAGGAGCGTGCGGGACTTCTCTCGCAGTTCTTGTCGTGGACAAAGACACTGAAGAGCACCACTTTGAGCTTCCCAACAACTGAGCCGTCCACACAGATGCTTCTGGATGGACTGTCATCCAACACAAGCATCTCGGCCCTAGAGTTGGGGTACTGGCGTTTCAAGCAGCGTCACGCCGAAGACTTCGCACAACTGCTGAGGAAGAATGAGACCCTGAATAATCTCGTGCTCCATGACATAAAAACAAAGTTGATACTCCAAGAGCTCTCAAACTACATAGAAGACAACAAGTTTCTGGTCAGCTTACACGTGGATGACGGAGGCTCCTTTACTCAGAAGCCGTGGATGTTTAAGATTCTGGATGTACTGCGGCGGAACTCGTCCTTGCTGCAGTGTGCAGTCCACTTCGTCATGGGCAACCATGGCAAGCGGTTTGGGGAAGCATTTGAACAGATGTTTCGGAGTAAAGCATTGCTGAAGAAGGTCCAAGAACTTGCCAGTGAAACTGAGTCTGGTGCCTTGGAAAGGATCCGGAGTGGCAAGAGATACCTTGACATCAACTTTTTGACCGTGGCCGGTGTCGTCAAGGGCATGGTGGTTTGCAACAAGGGCGATGGAAGACGCATCAGGCTGGATCAGATCGGGGAGGACAACTGGCTTCGGGTGCGGTCGTATCTCAAGTTGGCAGACATCAAGGAGAAACTGGAGGTGCCACCTTTGCAGGGTCCGAGGAGGAGAAGACGGGGTCATGCTCGCAGGAGAAAGCTGAAAGCCTAGCTTGGTACTATTGCAGTGCATTTTCTTTTTGTTTTCTGTAAACATTTGTTTTGTACTCCTGTTTCAGTATGTTTTGGTTTTGTAACATAGATTTTGTGCTAACTCCGAGACGGGCGGTTTGAGTGCCTAACTTGAGATCTGTTGTTAGATCTCTTCCATCTCTTGATTGCTGTAGGTGTTGCATCTAATAATGCATTGAGCCCAACGTTTTTTTGTGTTATTTTAACATTAACATGCACATTCAGGTGTGTGTACTCCGGAGAACAAAATGTATGTCTTAAAACCCACAGCGTCTATCATAGATCCCATTCAGTGTAACAAACTTGCTCTGAAAGGCAATTTTTTTTTCTTACTTTACAAACCTTTTGTAGTTTGCTGAACATGTTTATTATTTTTGCTGTACTAAATATTGAGCAGAAGTGTTTTGATCTGGTCTGAGTAATAATAAAAATGCCAGTTTGTACTAGTAATGTCTTTTGAAACCAGAATACTCATTCTTTGTTTCCAGGTCAAAATTGACACGCCAAGTCCCCCATCTTCAGAATTAAGAGCCTGCATGGGTAATTTTCCTTGTGCCTGGATTTAGTACTACCAACACCCTTTTTAAATCCGCATTCTTTTCTAAGCATTCTTCACCTTCAGAAGCAGGCTAGAGAAAGTGTGGTAATGCTGCTAAACAGCGGCATTGATCCTGCGTGCAGTGTCAGAACGCTGGCTTAGTAAGGCTGTGCGAAAAGCAAACCTGCTGGCGGTCAAAGTTAGCCTCGGATGCCTGCATTTCCTCAGCAAATTACGTTTTTTTTTTTTTCAATGTCAAGATAAGGTATGCATTGCCAAATGCTCATCCTTCACCCCAAATGTTGCACTAGTGATCCGGATTAGATCCCAAGGTTTGAGAACTAACCGTTATCTCGAGGCTGAAGTTTTGAATGGGAAAATGACTGCCAACAGATATCGAATACATGGTCAAGCTAAATGGCACAATGTAAAACCACATGAGGAGGTGTGTGTTTGTCCCCTTATCGAAGCCACCGGTCTTCAATCAATACGGTGATTTCGCTGCGTTTCCATAGAAGATGAGCCTTTTTTTTTTTTTTACTTTTTCCTCAGGTAAGTTTGCTCTTTGCAAATTTTATAGCGAAAATGCACCACCTTTGGGCAACGCTGCAGAAAATCGTAGCGCGATAAGTTAGGAAATCGAACTTTACGGTCGGTTTTAACATACTGGCCGCTACTTGAGACACCCAGTACGTTTCCCCCGTTGAATGAAAATCTATCGGATCACGTTCAGAAAATCGCGTAACTTGTGAACAAGATAACGATTAGTTTTGCAACTTTTGCATCTGGGGCTATAGTTGGACGGAGATTGGGCGTTTGGTAAATCGTAATTTATTTAAAAAATATTAATAAATTACGATTGAAGCTTATAGGATGACTACCACCAAGAATAACATTGCTTCCCCATCCCTCTCGTTGACAAAACCAGAACTGGTGTTTCTGAGGCCGGCGTTTCCTCGGACTCCAATTGCACAACCTTGAACAACAAGACCCCCCCTCGGCCTTCGGCCGTCAATCAGCTTCGTATGCGGAAACGCTATCTTCCCTTCCCCCCCCCCCCCCCTTTTCTTCCCTCTCAACCTTCTCTCCCTTCTTTTCTCCCTCTTGCTCGTTCCCCCTTTCCCCACCGACGGTTGTTGGTGCAGACTTCGCTGGCGTCAAATATATGTTGTTGTAAACTGAAAGCTTGTACATGTCTGTTTTTGTCCCTCTGTTTGTTTTGTGCTTTCTTACTGTTACGATTTACCAAACGCTCACTATTTTTATTTACATTGGAACTAGTGATTGAAATCGAAACCCAAACACGAACTCTCCTATGCTGGCTCCACTGCTATCGAGACTAGCATCCTAGCATGCCCTTGTAGCCACAGCTTGTAGCCACTGACTGGCTCGCGCTGGTTTGCTGCTGTCGAGACTAGAAAAGTGGCGCGCGGTATCGCGAACGTCGCGAACTGAACAGAGCCGTGGAACTGAAGACAGCAGGGCGCGAACTTTTGGTTTCCGTCTGATAACTGGCATCTACGCTCCTTTCGTCGGTGGCAGTACCGTGCATGCGGTGGAGTTAAATGTTGAGGGCTGGCAGCACCGCAGCATCACGTAAGTTTGGCCGTACCGTAGTAGACTCACGGTCGCACGTTTCGGAAACAGTTTCCTTTTTTTTCATACACGTGCACAACTGTCTTCGTTTCACCAAGTCCAGACGCAGCCGACGCTACGAGCTGATGGTGCCAATCATGATGTAGAAAACCCGAGACTGTGGTAAAAGCAGGGAAACTTGGTCGAAGACCACGTTTCCCTGCTTTTACCACAATCTCGGGTTTTCTACATCATGATCAACATCCACCAGCTCGCCTGTGCACTCACTGTTTTTTCTGTGCCAATCTGACAGCGTCAAAAGCGTGCCATCATGGTGTTCGTCGTGTTCTTGTACGTGCTCGATAAGCGCTGAGCCAATATCGTAAACTGAAAAGGCCTAGTGACTTGCGCAGGAGCGTCAACTCGTGACGACCCCTTCACTCTAATTCACTGTAAAACAGTGATTCCCCCCCCCCCCCCCCTTGTTTTTCTGAAGGCACCCCCTTAATTAGCAACAACTCCTCTATTATCAATGCTCCCCCCCCCCCCAAAAAAAAAAAAAAAAAAAAAAAAACTTTTTTTTTTCCCTTTCCCCCTAGTTTCAGTCTTGGCAAGACCCCTGATGTAAAACATTAGTTGCCAGTCCAATTTTTCCCAGTAAAATGTCGTCCCCCAAAACAAAAATAAATGAAATAACGAGGGGAGCATGCAGTGTTGCAAACATACAAAAAACTCAGTGGCACAGGGAAACACATACGGTGTGGTAAAGAGTAGACTGGGCACATGTAGCATTTCTGACACAAATTTTCACCAGACTTACTGGTGCACCTGTGTGCACTAGTTGCCTAGCTAGGCCATCTGGCACCCGGGGCCCTTAGGTCTTTCGTTGCCCCCTTACATGACTGGGACATCTGGCACCCGCGGCCCAGGCCCCCCACCCCGGTTGCTACGCCTACCTTCCGCATTGCAGCCGCACGCGCTAGGGCTGCTGGTGCCACCACCGCGATACCAGCTAAGCCTACCGGGAGACTGGCACTTTGATTCTGACCCCCACATCCCCTCACCTGGCTCCTCCTCGCCAGAAAAGTGCCTCCGAATCCTGCCCCGACCCCCTTCTGCCTTCGCTGTTGTCGGCCAGTTCTCAAGAATGTGGCTGCCCTACGGTGCGACGGCTCCACCAAAAATGCGAATCCCAGTCCTCCCAGCGTACAGCAGGCTCTCTACGTCACCCGACAAATGGTGTTACGGAGTCTTTGTGCTACCACCCTTGAACGACAACCTTCCCCTGACTCCGGTTAGCCAACGCGCAGACCCAACTTCCCGTCCGGTCACCCCGTAGCTGGCTCTGATGAAGCCTTTGCACAGGGGCTCGCACATTGGTCCATCCATTGATTGGAAGGCTTATTAACACCACCAGCCATCTGACGTACAAGAGGGCCCTTACGTCTTGCGGGGTTGTTGTAATGATCGTGGTGCCCCATCAACTACCCTGCCATCATAGGCTCGAGTCTGGACCTTGAACCCTTATTTGTTGAAGTTGCACACCTAAAGGGCAAGATGTTGCTTAGTTGTGTGTACCACCCACCTACCACACGCATCGCCTTCTCGACGCCTTGGCCTACCTCTTCATTTCCGTTGACTTTATTGCCCACATTAACTGGCCTGACCTATCTACTCCAATCCCACTCTGTTCACACAATGATGCTCTCTTCGACATCATAAAAACATTAACGGTATTCGAGTTGTGATGAACCAACATACACATTCAATTCAGGCACAACCTCCTTCCTAGACTTGGTATTTGTCAGTAAGCTCGCCCTCATCACAGACTGCCAGATGGGTCTGAGCATAGTGCCATCAGCTTTTGACTTTCTACACCTCAACAATCTCCCTCACCTAGCAGCCTGGAATCTGATCCTCGGTAATCTGTCTGTTGATGCATATGACCTGTGGTAGGGTAAAACAAATGCCATTGAAAAAGACCGTTCCCAAGAAGTCACAGTCATGTCTCTGGAAATGCCCCCAGATCTCCAAGAACATTGGCGAATGCTCTTCAAAAAATCCAGGACGAATTTTGCTCCAGCACAGAAAGTGCAAATGGACCTAAAAAGGCTGGTTTACACAGTCCATAAAAAATATCTGTGCATGATTGCTGAAAAAGCTGCTCACTCTCCCAAGCGCTTTTGGGCATACATCAAAAATCAGTGCAGGACGTCTGCCTCCTTTTCAGTGTCCTTTTCAGTTCGCTATGGGCTAGCCCCCCCGCTGATTTCGATTTGCCCCTCGCCCTAAGTGCTGTCCCCCTCCATACTCTGTCAAAAGATGTTCATGGTAGTCCAGTGCAGCACGACAACGACCTTGGGAGGGTTCTGCTTGCTGAAGCTGACATTACTGAAAAAAAAAAGCACCAAGAAGGCACTGTAGCAGAGCAATGCCTTCCAAAGTGCTGGGCCTAGCTTATGGCATCCACTTAGCACTTCTGCGCGCTTGCTGTGGTGGATTGTGCCCAGTCCTTACCCAGTTGTTCAGTCACTTTTAGCTGGAAAAATACCAAAACAGAAAAAATGCCACGACAACTGCATTACATGAGGAAAATAATGCTCCGAAAAACACCACTTCATCATGCCGCCCAATTTTTGTCTGCAGAACCGTGGAGCGTGTGATAAATTGCAAGCTTCTCTGACACCTGGAGCAACAACTGCTACCTTGCACAGCTGCATGGCTTCAGGCCAGGACGCAGTTGAGAGTTTGCTGTGGCTGATGTCACTCACACTGCCAGTGAACATCTAAATAGTCATACTCTCTTTGCACTCGTGCAATTGGACTTCAAACAGGTAATCAATAGTGTGGATCACAGAATCCTAATCAATAAGCTCTATGTTACCACACATACGCACGTGGTGTGTTCTTTCTCGGCGAGGCCATTTTGAGTTCAGTCATGGTTTTGTCTGGTGTGCCTCCTGGGCAGCGTGCTGGGACCCACTTTATTTGGTATTTCAACTAATGACGTTGCACTTCCCCACTGCAAACCTCTGCTTTATGCAGTTGACCCCTCTTTCCTGCATCCAATCTCCGACCCTACTCACCATCAACAGATTCAGCATGACTTGGACACAGTATATGCCCAGTCCTGCCAGAACAGGCTTCCCCCGAATTTTTTCAAGTGATTGGCCATGGTATTTTCGTGTGCCCAACAGCTCCTCTCCCCTCCTGAGCTGTGGCACTTTCCTCAGCTGGACTTTGACTGCAAAGCCGTTAGGGGTCACTTTAGACGATTGGCTTCATTTTTTCTGCCCACATCGGAGAGGTAACCTCGAAGGCAGTTAGGTTTCTGTCTCAAGGCATCCAAGGGTGCCGAACCGAAGACCCTACGCGCCTTTTCACGGCACTCACTCCCGCAACCAAAGTATTGCTGTTCAATGTAAAGACCTCCCCAGGTGGTAACACCTTGTGTCATTGCTGGAAAGTGTCCGACTTCGGGCTGCCCATACCGTTCTAAGAAGGCTGACTTCCTTGCGTCGCACGATACCGATATGCGAATTGCAGACCTGTTGCAAGCTGACGAGTGACAGCCCCTCTTGCAACGACGGGCGGTGGTCTCCCTGAGACTGCTGGCAAACCTTCTAATAATGGAGCAGCCAGATAAAGTGCTCCACGGTGCCTTGTGCCTTAGCCGGTCTGGTGCTTTGCAGCCTCTGGTGGCCATGACTGAGAGACTTTGTCAGTCCTTCGTGGTGCCAACGACAGCTGATCAATGCTCACTGCCCTTTAGCATAATGGAGCATCTACCCACAACCCGTGGCAATGTGAAGTGTTTCTGCAAGGACATGTATCATCGCCTTCATTGTGCGTAACTATCACTAGATATTTTTTGTTCATTGTTTGTTAATCTATTTGATCCCTCTTTTTTTTTGTCGTAGTTTGGCTGGCGCAGGCCTTTGGCTTTTCTGCGTTTCTCTCAACTTCCCTGAGCCATATAAATTAAATTAAATTGTGTCCTTTTTTAGAGTTCTAGCTTTCCTACCGTAATATCCCAGGAGATGTATAGGGTGTTCCAAGTCACCGCGCTCAATCTAAAATGGACCGTGAAAATCGACGTCTGCACATAGCAATCTCAACTTTTCGTCAAAGGTGTATTTTTCAGGTTTGGTTTTTTCCTGTAAAGTTACAAAGCGTAACTTCCTTTTCGTAAAAAATAGGGCCAAGACACTTACCAGGCTCAATGGCGGGCGGCGACACAGACGACCAAGTTCAGTGGCGGGGTGCACTTGGCGCTCGTATTGATAGATGCCGCTACCTTATCGAGACGGCTTGCAACCGCCGTTGTTTATTAAAATGAACATTATCGTTTTGTTAAAAAATAAATGTGGACAATAAAAGCAAACCTTAAAGTAAAACAAAACACGTCTGCATAACGACGGTATTTTAGCTCTCAATGGATTTTGTCTACGTGTCGTATGCTTTCTTTCGCTGGTCAGCTGCACCTTCCAGCGCTGCTCCGATGCACTCTTTCGATACATGCACCCTGCAAATCGACTCGGTCGTCTGCGTCGCCATCCGCGTTGACCCTGGCATGTTTCTTGGCCCTATTTTATACAGAAAGTGAGCTACACTTTGTAATTTTACAAGAAAAAAAACAACCTGTGAAATACGCCGTAGACGAAAAATTAAGATTGCTACGTGCAGGCGCCGATTTTTACGGTTCATTTTAGATCGAGCCTGCTGACTTGGGACACCCTATAGTTCCTCGATATGCTTCCCTGAAGGGGGAGCAGAGTTGCGCATTTGTTTTCCCGGACCTGCCACTCTGCTATTCGCCCACTTCAGTCACGTGACGAGCAAAGCATCCAGGGCCGTGCAGGAAAGCCGGCACTACGGCCACCCGCCGAGGCCGATTGTGCAACTCTGCCACCGTAGGTAGCTGTATACAGGAACTCTAAAATGTCCCACCTAAAATCGAAGGCAAACCGGGTGAAAAAGAGCAGTGGGCTAGCTTCCAGTGTGTAGTCGGAGAAAAGTTG